AATTCGACCCCAGCAGTCGGTGACAGCGAAACCCTGCCCCAGGAAAGTCGTCATAAAACGTGGTCCATAATCGTTACCTCGACGTCGCCGACGTTCCTCGTTTTTCCCACTTCGCGGGGCATTTCCTTTTCCCCTCTCCTTTTTTCGCGGAGTTCCTTAATGGTCGTCTTCCTGGCACACGCCTTTCTTTTGTCCGAATTTTTTTTATAAACGCGAGCCGAACAGTCGGAGAAGACGAGACTCTAATCAAGAGTAATCGAGGAGGTTCGCGGAAACGTCGCGGATATTCTCGCTCGACTTGGCTCGCCAGGATATCCGGGAATCTTGTCGAGTTTGCGACAGTTTTCCCTCGTCGGAGATTAAACCCGTTTCCCGAGTGAATTTTCCTCGATTACTGGAAATCGCGTCGCCGTCAACGAGTGCTTCGCTTTGGACCGCAAAATATTTTCCCACGAAATTTCGTACAATTTTGCCCAATAATATTCAGTTATTTAATCGGAATCGTGGAAATTGTGGAAAATCGATATTAAAATACGATGTACCGTATTATTTATTTAGTTCGAGGAGACATTTGTTATGCAATATTTGGAGACCTGTCGGTACACATATTATTATTTTTTTAACTATCCTGACGGCAGCAACGCTGGTCGGGAGGTTAAGCGCTCCGCTCGGTTCATGCCGGGCGCGAGTTCGAATCTCGGAGTCTACCGGAAAATTTTAAGCAACGACACCGCGTCGTTTTCTCCGCGTTTAATCCACACGATGATGATATCAGTGATCATTGCAGAGATCGACGAACATTGACAGCGGTTGTTCTGACCGATGTCATGTCGATCGATGACAGGCATGTCATAGTTACTCTGAGTGTGAGCGGGAACGACGCGACGTAACGTTAGTGGCGTGTTGTCACTTCCAGACCAGCTGCTGGTGGTTAATCTTTAATTCCGTGAGCAAAGCCGCGTTTCTTGTTTCGTTTCCATTGCATCGCAGGTGCTGCGGTAAAAGAGTCATCGATCGCGCCGTTTTTTTCCCCAAGGAGAGCGACCATTTTCCCTCGAGGTCCCGTAGTCTAAACTCGCGCAAACCTAACCTTTATCGGTGGACCCCCTACTTGGGCCCGAACGCGTCTCGGGGAAACGAAGGAAGAGAGAGAAGGAGCGATTCCCCGGGAGAGCGAGGTGGTGTGACGCAAACGGCGAGTCACGTGAGCAAGATGGTGTCAGTGGCCGGGCACAAAGCGAGGAAACGGGGCCCGAACTCGAGCGGACTCGGCCGAACTCGGCCGAGCTCTCTCGAGCGAACCTTCGCTTCCGAAACGGCCCGCGCGGTCCCCACCACTCCCCGCTCACTCCCGCTCACTCCCGCTCGCGCAACGCTCAAGAGTCGTAACCAACATTGAACGATACATTTCGAGATTTAAGCTCCGCCCCGTGGACCAAAAGAGAGGGAGTTTCGAACAGTTTCCCAACAAAGGGTAACGTTAAACGCCTCGATCAAGCGTCTCCACGACCCTGGTCGGCCCGTCTTGTGCGTTGTCCGAACCTCGCCATCCTCCGCAAGGAACTTTTGCGACTTTTAGGTTAGGCTATGCGGTGGTTGCATCCAAAGACCCCGGGGATTTGTAGTGAAATTCGCTCTTGGAGGGCCTCGTTCCGTGGTAAAAGGCCCGAAGAGCGTTCGAGCGGACCCAAGGTGGCGTCTTCCGACGCGGGTCAGGCAGAGCGCCACTAGTCGGGTGGGCCCCGTCCGAGGTATACGTGCGCGCGCACGCCAGGGGGCCCCCGGAGCCTTTCCGTCTCGTCCGCGTGGGTGGGCCCAAAAACGGTAGGCTGGCCCGGCCCAGGCCCAGGAATCTTTCGACTCTCCCGACACGGCCGACTGGCTCCGGTGCTTTTTGCTTACATAACCCGCGTCGCGAGTCTTTCGATCGTGGACGTGACCTTGCCGGGACTCCCTCGGGCCCAAAATCTCCGAATCACCCTCTTTCTCCTCGAAAATGGAACGCGAATTTGCTTGTCTTCGGGGTGTCGCGGTCGAGATGACGCTTCTTCCGCAAGAGCGGAAAAATGGCGGGGGTTCTTCGAACGCGCCTCGAACGGCCAACCCTAACGTTTGCGTTTCCACGATGCCCGCCTAATCGAGCGTGCGTTATTCGGACCAGATATGAAATCCACTCGGCGAGCTCCTAGGGGTCGGAATCACCCCTTAAACCGTCAACGCACAACGCACGCAGCTCTTCGAGGCGATCGATAGCGGCCCCCTTTTCGGCATTTTGCCCTGCCTTCGTGTACACGCGGGATCCCCGGAACAGGGACAGTTTTTCGAGCGAGCTCCTTTAAAGACGCACGCTTTTCTTTTAGTTCCGGGCCCCTCGAATCTTCAACCCTTTTCTTCGTCTCTTGGGGACGTTGCACCTCCCCCGCGACTCGTCGACCCCTTTTCCGGATTTCTTCCAAAACGGGTTCTCCTCGAAGATGCCTCTAAGAAAGGAACGGTTTATCAATAAATTAGTGGTCATTGCTCCTGGGTGGGCAGGACCTTCGACGGCACCTCGAGCTGCTGCAAGACGTGGCCATTTTTAATGTCAGTCGAGTTCGCGTAGGTTGTTTAACGTTTAACGCGTTTTATGCACTTCGGACGCCATTCGACGTCCTGGACGCGCACTTGTCCATTAACCTGCGGTTAATATTAAATCGAGTTTTAGTTTTTGCTTGCCTCATCGATTACCTCTGCCGGGGACAGCTCGTTACTCTGACGTAACCTGCTCTTCGGCAGAGACAAGTTAATAATTACTGCACTTAATTACTGCGAAGCCAACATGAAAGCGCAGCTTTGTCTCCGCAATGTTGTGCTCTTCCCTTCATCGGGTGACGAGGGTTGCCGTGCGAGGGTTTTCCGCGTAAATCATAACCCCACGCGAGGAAGGACGCGTGCATACATTTATTTACAATTATTCATAACCGTAACACCTCCCAGCGACGCGAAATCGAAGTTATCCAGGGAAAAGCTCCTCACTGGAATCTCCTCCATAGAGTTGCCAGAAGTTTCTCGAAGATTCTGAAAAAACTCAAGCCAGCGAATCTTTTAGGAACACCTTCGAGCCGCACCTTCAATCCCGAGTCCAGATCCCGAAAATCCATCGATGAGTGATCGAGGATCGAAATCTCGGGGAAGATCGGCCGCGACGCGCCCCTGAAACAAAGACAGCGAGCCCTTCGAGAAAGTCCTCCATCACGGATCCGTGGTTCGAGGGCCCGCCGAAGAGTAGAGCAGCGGCGCTGCCGTGCCGAGACTCGGCCGTTGGAAGCGGCGACTAGAGAGGCCTTTGTTCCGTTTGGGCCCGCTCGCGTGCGCGGGCCCCGAGTTGAGTGACCCCTCGGCGGCGGTCACGTCCACCGACGCGGAGGCGCGAGCGAGGAGTGGCCGAGAAGAAGAAGAGCAAATTGGTGCTCCTGGGAACAGGGCAGCATAAGGCCCATGGAGGAGGCGGGCCGGGTCGGTGCGCGCCGCGCCGCCGCCGCGACTGCCGATTGGACCCTCGCCGACCCCTCCACCAGCGCCTCGACCGGGCCCCCCGGCGCCGCGCGGCACGGGCAGGACGGCGCCCCTCAGGCCCCACCCGAGCACTGCGACCTCCACTGCAAGGTCCCGCGCCAAGCGCCATCTCGCGGCCCCGCCGCCGGAGACGGGACGAGGGTCCCGGGCGCCCATAGCGCCTGCGCGACTCGCTCCGTCTCTCTTCGTCGTGGGACATGGCGGCATTTTTTAAATCTTTGCGCTTTACTAAATCGAAATATCGGAAAGACCGCTTAAGCGAAAAGTCGCGCTTTCGCTAACCGTTCTCGCATGATCCACGCTGGTCGAAGGTGGGAGCGCCGAGCTTTCGGAAAAAGGCTTCACCGGGACGACGTCGTAGGTTCTCGAGTCGGTAACATCCTGTGCATCGAACGGAACGAATCGTTGACGTTAAGAATGCTTCGAGGATATTTTCCTACGAAAATACCGCGGTAACGTCGATCGACCCTCGTGATTACGGGCGGCTGTCTCGTTAGAATTCTCGTCGAAAAGTATCCAATTTTCGTCACTTCGCTCTGCTCCTCGGGAAAGTCTAATTTCCTGAGAGGATTACTTCCCTCCGGCCCGAGGACGGCCATCTTGAAGGTTCTCGAAGCACTTCCGCTCGTCCAATCTCGTCGATCCTTCTCGAGCCAATTACGGTGGCGAAAAAAAGGTTAACCCTCTCGGTACGTAACGATACCTCGTTGTCAGTTCCTTCTAAGAACCCGCAGAAATAACTTGGAAAATTGTCAGGCGTCGATGGCGATCACTGGAGCTTTCGGAAAATCCCACCTTCGACTACTTCCGAGAGGACAGAGGAAGAGAAACGATTTTAAAAAAATATCCTTAGTGAATGTACAACTTTTTTTTTCCCCGGTTGATCGACGTTCCATAATTTATATTTCTTCCTCGACGAAACAGGTACTTCTTCTCGGCGACAGCGGCGTCGGCAAGACGTGCGTTCTGGTGCGTTTCCGCGACGGCCTCTTCTTATCCGGGAACTTCATATCCACCGTGGGCATCGATTTCCGGGTGAGACTTGGTTTGGTCTCGTGACGTAAAAAAAAATCTTATGACATTGCCATGCCTTCCTTCGACGGACCTCCGAATACACTGGCACACTTCGACGAATTCCCCTCCTGGTTTATTAAGGGTGCCCCGGGGGAGTTGAATGCACGGCACGGTGGTTTCGCGGGGTTAAGGGGGATTTCTCCCCCTGAATTTGTAATCGAAGAGTTGCGGGCATTCACGGGGAAGGAGGAAACAAATTTTCGTTTCGTTTATTGCGATACATTTGAACGCGAAGGAGCGAAAGAACTCAACTCGATTTCGACGAGACGCCGTTTGGCGGCTGTCGCGACGTTCGCGGTTTCCGGCCCCGAGGATATCGACACGTACTTGTCAAGAGAGGCGACGACGTGCATAATTTCTCTTTGTTTCAGAATAAGGTCATCGTGGTGGACGACGCCAAGATCAAACTCCAAATTTGGGACACCGCGGGACAGGAGCGATTTCGAAGCGTCACTCATGCTTACTACAGAGGCGCCCATGGTGAGTCTCGCCATTTTTAAATCGACTCCCTTGACGCTACCCCAATTCTAATTATAAACGTATAAATAACCATGCCACGAACGATCCGACAACCCCGATAATCCCGACATCCCGACAGCGGAATATTGCCGAGCGAAGAGCTGCCCCATTCCGTCGCGTCGATGCCTCATTAATGGATCATTTATTCCCGAGAATAATTTTCCCCTTTGGCGCGTCATTTTGGTGTATCCATATGTCAAGCAAAGGGGTCAGATTTAATCTGGGAGAAAGTACCCCGATTTTTGACCGGCAAGCGCGAGCCACCTCGACGTGAAAACGAGATGGCGGCGCGTCGATCTCGAGCGGGGGTGCTCGTTTGCCTCGCTCAAAGTAGAGGAAAAACAGGTTGCACGATGAACGAGAGACTCGTCTCCGCTGATTTCAGCTCTCCTTTTGCTCTACGACGTGACGAACAAGACCAGCTTCGATAACATCAGGGCTTGGCTCGGCGAGATCCGGGAATACGCACACGAGGACGTCGTCATCATTCTCCTGGGTATGCCCGAAAAATCATCGACGTTGGGTTGTCATCGCTGAAATACTCGCGGGGTGTTGGAGTTAAAATGTGTTGAAATCGCGGTTTTTTGCGCAGGCAACAAGTGCGACTGCGGCTCCGAAAGGGCCGTCAAGAGGGAAGATGGCGAGCGACTGGCGCGCGAATACAGCGTCCCTTTCATGGAAACCTCAGCCAAGACCGGACTAAACGTCGAATTGGCTTTCACCGCGGTCGCGAGGTACGTCATTTTGAGAAGGATAACTCAGTCGTTTGGATTAGAAAGTTGTCCAGAGCTCCGAGTCCCCGTTGTGAGGTTGGCTGCCTGCGAGTCAAAGCGTTGCCCTCGGTGATGCAACCCGGAGCCGTGCACTTAACCGCGGAAGATGCGGAAAACTTGGATTCCAGGTGCCAGCCGTATGGACAGTTAGAGTTGACGTTCAAATGATAATCGTATCCCTCCGTTTCGACGGTTGCTCTCGTTTTCGTTCCCCAATGAAATTCTGGGGAATCTCTGGTAATTCCTGGGGATTATTTTTCTGCGCTTACAAGGCATGTCGAGATTCAATTCTGGTACGCACGTTTGCTTTCAGGGAACTAATGGCGAGGAAGAGCGGCAACGTAGACGAGGCACGGTTTAACGTACAGGACTACGTCCGCCAGCAATCCCAACGCAATTCCTGCTTCGGTACTACCTGCCTTCCCACCTGAGCTGCATGCCATCCACCGAAACTGGGAAAACTTATCTTAAGTACGCCGAGTTCCGAAATCCTGCCGGCGAAGTTCCACCCTTCGGAACGACGACTTTGCGACACTCTTGCCGTTTGGATTTCCGTTCGCTTCAAACTTGAACCGATCAAACTTTCGACCGTTAATTTACGCCGTCACTGTGATAAGAGGAGCTCTGCACGGAAACGACGTCAAAATTACCTGTCTTTTCGTGTCTGTGTACAATTCACGGATTCGGTTTCATCGTCGATCGTAACGATTTTTTTTCGAACGAGTCGCAGCCGGGGAAATTTTATTAAAGTTTTATAGAGATATATCGACGGATCTGGTGCGGTGTATATTAATGTTAATATATGCAAGCGATACGACCCCTCGTGTATAACGTGAAGTGAGGCGTCGGTCTCGTTAGGCATCGCGCATGCGGAAATTAAAATGTACAATCCGGCATTGAAGTGGATTTAGATACGACGATAGGAAACGTGCGATCAATTCCGGCCCGATTTCCAATATTGCGTTAATCTCTCATTTATTTATATTAGTTTTTTTATTGATTATCCGATAGTAAAAATTAATGCAGCGTTACCTGGTTACGTTCAAGGGAACAATGTTGGAGTTGGTTAATACAAATTTTACAAACCGTGAACGAGAAGTCACCGATTATCAGGATTATACGAACCGATCCAAAAATGCTATTTACACTGTAGAATGACGCAAGTACCGAGGAATTAAAATTGCGCCGCTCTTCGGCACATGTACAACGCACGTTATGAGACATGGCGACAATTTGCACAAATTTTGAATCCGTTATACTTTTTTATCACGCCGTTAGTTTAGACACTTTTGTCGATCGATTTGTATACAGTTAATCGCGAGATGATTTTTCACCCGTCGACGTCGCAAAACTTTTATACGTTTCATTGACTTTGAATACGAGGCCACTCGCGCGGATAGCGTAAGACTGTATCTCTACATGAATATAGACATAACCTCGTATCAAGTTGCGTGTACATAAAACCGTACCTTCTTCGTCCTTGCATGTAAAAGAAAGAATAATGTCGTTAGAAATATGATATTGAAATAATATATAAAAATAATAATGCCAAAAGGAGTCGATCTCAAAATCCTCCATAAGCGAAACGCGAATATTCGCCAACTACAGCAGCGAGTGGCGTCATCTCTCGACACGGTTTGCGAACTGAATATCTTCTTCCTTTCTCTTGGAACGATAAATCTCGATATTAGCGGCATCTTCACCTGGCAAGTACAAACTAAACGAAGCACTGCATCTCTGCCGATATAGGTCGATAAATTCTATACTTACCGACATCACCTTTTTACCTGATGTAAAATGTCTCTCGATGGTAACCAAAGTAGACATTCGTAGTTGCGAACTAAGACGGTAGATGTCGCTAAGATCACGAAATCGGAGAGACTCGAACGACGGTCGAACGTCCTAGAACGCGTTACCGTTCTGCATGAAAAATCGAGAAAAAGACATCGACGCAACGAATAAGAAGAACAGGCAATTTTACTACATCGCGTAACGCTCGAGATCATTTTAATTATATATTACCATCGGAACAGACCAGAAAGTGATCCAGTATTTTAATTCTTTTAGCGATTTCGATTTTTTAAAATGGTTACTTGGACAGGATGCGTACATTTGAATTCTAATTTTAAATCCCACCTCGACACCCGGACGCTCTTGCCAATTTCCAATCCTCACTTTCGTTGAAATCGGCGTGAAAGCGGCCGATAACGTCATCGCGAACGATCGACTTCGCTTTAAGCGTTCACAAAATGTCAAGGATTGTAACAGAGCTCCAGAAATCCTACGTACAGGGAATTGCGTGGAAAGTACAGTCATTTCTTGTACATTGGCGGTCATGAATGGCATCCTCTTGTACAAGGTGCAGCCTGGTGGTGGTAACGTAAACGTAACGTAAAAAACGAACTCGAGAACTTATGTACTTGCGGTACCTGATGTATAATAAACTGTAAAATAATTAATGTAATAAAGCAACTTATTGAAAAATAACAATGAGTACGTTTAATTAGACGAGCGCGTCTAGCAAACCCTCTAATCTCCTATTCCTGATCCTTAAAAATCACTCGTAGATCTAAGGCACGAAACTCGGTGCCACCTCTTCGGTTGTCCTATGATCCTGTTAGAAATCGAAAATTTCGGCCTATGAAATTTTTGCCAGGGAGAATTCCGTGCCACCTCCTCGGTTGTCCTATGCTCCTGTTAGAAATTGGAAATTTCAACTCCTAAAATGTTGGCCCGGGAGAGTTCGGTGCCACCTCCTTGGTTGTCCTATGATCCTGTTCCACCTCTGGCGATTTCTCCCGAGCAAAAATTTTGAGGTTTGAAATTTCCGATTTCTAACAGGAACATAGGATAACCGAGGAGGTGGCACGGAGCTTCTCCCGAGGAAAAATTTTAGGGGTTGAAATTTCCGATTTCTAACAGGATCATAGGACAACCGAGGAGGTGGCACGGAGTGTCTCCCGGGCAAAACTTTTAGGGGTTGAAATTTCCGATTTCTAACAGGATCATAGGACAACCGAGGAGGTGGCACGGAGTTTCTCCCGAGCAAAAATTTTAGGGGTTGAAATTTCCGATTTCTAACAGGAACATAGGACAACCGAGGAGGTGGCACGGAGTTTCTCCCGAGCAAAAATTTTAGGGGTTGAAATTTCTGATTTCTAACAGGAACATAGGACAACCGAGGAGGTGGCACCGAATTTCGTGCCTTAGATCTACGAGTGATTTTCAAGGATCAGGAATAGGCAATTAGAGGGTTTGCTAGACACGCTCGTCTAATTAAACGTACTCATTGTTATTGTTTAATAAGTTGCTTTATTACATTAATTATTTTACAGTTTATTATACATCGAGTACCGCAAGTACATACGTTCTCGAGCTCGTTTTTTACGTTACGTTTACCTTAACCACCACCAGGCTGCACCATGTACACGAGGAAGCCGTTTATGACCGCCAGTGTACGTAGCTCCCTGGGTATAATGCCGTAAGGTTCCCTGACCTTCCCAAGGGCGCCATTCCGTGGGTTGGAGTCGCAGGATCAAGAATAACCGTCCACGAGAACGTATCTCCATTTTTAAATGCAAATCGTACGTTCCGTGCTAACCGATAAAACGAAACTCCTAAAAACTACGCCTCCCGATTTTTATTTCCTCTCCTGACGAACCCCATCATGAAAAAAAATTCATCGAAACAGAGAAATATTGAATAAATTCAAAGAATCGACTCAAATAAACTTAAATAAATTGTTTTAATTCCGAAAAAGCGCTGCATTGAATTTAATCGGATTTATTCGAGTGAAATAATTATTTATCGAATCAACCAACCGTTTCTTTGGGACCGCTCGATGAAATACTTTTTCTCACGGCATTTTCGAGCGACCGCGTCTCTCCAAGACTTACCACCCACTCGCCGAATTATTCCGCAACCGACGCCACCGCGACGTTCGCCTAAAACAGCACGGAAGGCCGTGGGTGTCCTCGTCCAAGGCTCGAGAAAGAGTTCCAGTCGAACGAGCGAGAAGAAGGCAGCCGAACCATCTCCGAGACAACGGTCCCTCGCGGCAGGTCTGAAAACGAGCGGGCATAAAATCGGCAGAGATTCGCGATCCCGTTCCGCTGCATTCCAGGTGCATCTTCCAGAAAATGCCCCGAAGAAGAGGCGCCTCGACGGCGTTCGCTCTCTGCCCACGGACTTTCTTCCCGGGTGGCGTCATCGCCAGCTGGCATTGAGCTCACCGACTTATCTAGACTTGGGCCTAGGCCCCGGCTCGGAACGGGTTTGCGTTTCGTGGGTGCGAGCCAAAAGCGGCGACGCGAACGCCGAGGAAGGGGCAGAGCGCCGGGGGGAAAAGGGAAAGGACCGGACCGGCCAATCGGGAGTCAGGGTCGAGCCGACGTCGCCGTTCCCTTGTCGAAGTCTCCGCGCGACCTGTTGCGGAGCGCCAGTCCGTCCATGGCGTCGAGCCAGGTCGCGTAGTCCCGGTGCCGCGAGTTCTCCAGTGAGCGACCGGACCGGATGTCCCGCCGGATGTCCGACCGGACACCCACGGCCATGGGTAAGACGCGAGCCGGCTTTCTCTCGACCGCCGAACGACTTGGCCGTTTTCGGCGGCTGGTCCCCCCTTGCGCAACCGCGCGACCGCGCGACCGCGCCTCCGGGGCTCCGTGGGCGAGGTTTGCTCTCGAGTGACGCCTAACGGTACCTCCTGGCGCCGGAGACGCCGGAGACGCCGGAACCGGATGAGCCCAGGGTCGAGGAAAATTATAAGCGGTGGAAAAATTCAATTCGGTTGGAGCGACGCGTTAAGGGAGTTAATTGTCGTTCGAGTCGCTGAAGCGAACCAAAAAATCTGAGAAGGTCGCGAAATAGTTGTTTCCATCCAACTGAATTCATTCCCTCGGGGCTCGAGGAGGGCATCGTCCAAGGGCGCCATTTTGGAGATGTTTCCACGTTCGCCGAGATGAATCGATCGCGAATCATTTTTAGACAGTGGCGACACGACGTCGCTATGCGTGACGCCGTCTCTCTCTCCCTGTAAAAGGAAATGAGTTCTCACGTCCAAGTCTTATTTATAGAACACTACCGATGCACAAGCAAATAGATATTGTCTTCGACTTGAAAATAGCGATGACGCGTATTTATATTTTTCAAGAATGTAAAAACTAATATGCATAGTCTTCGATTCCTGGCCGACGATTGTACGTGATTCTCGAGGAGATTCGCTTCCTCGAAGGGCTTCCCGAGAGGTTCGACGATTTTGCGAAGGCTATCGTCGAGAACAATGGTCGCGGCATGGTAATCAGGGAAAATCATTTAGCGTTAAGGTACCCATCTCCCGTGTATAGGAATGATTCACGAAATTGCGTAATCGGATGACTTACGTAATCGCCGCATAAAAATCTTTCACCCAAAATTAGCTGAAATCGTAAATCATCCTCCATTAAATGCTCCCGCGATTGTACTTCTCGTCCGCGTTTAATGTACCTTTATGTTTTGGATAATTATTTAATTATTCATTTTCTTTACTGCAGCGAGAATGAAACATCTGTGGATCTTGGCGCTATGGATGCTGTCGTCTCATCTCGTGAGTTCGCCTCCCTTTCCGTTTTTATTAATTTTTTCTTCAACGATTAATAGAGCAATAATTTGTAAAAGTGGAAGCATTTTCTTTAAATTGAAATTCTCGATTATTCCCAGGTCGAATCCCGGGACGGATTCGGACATGCGATGAGAGGACAAGTATTCTTCCTGAACCTCGAAGACGGATACTTCGGTTGTCAGATGAACGCGTCGACGGACATTTTGCAGCTCCTCGAATTATCTAAACTTTGCGATGGCCATGCCGACTGTTACGAGGGAACCGACGAGAGACCCAAGGAACTCAAATGTACCAGTAAGTATTGAAGATCGTTTTAAAACCTCACTTTCAAATCGCCACATAAAGGGGAAAATTCAAGGACCCGTAAAATTCCGATTTCAGGCGACTGCAAAAAAGGAGCGGACGACGAGTGCCAAAATGGCGTCTGCCTGGACTCGGTTTGCCACTGCAACGACGGATTTGGAGGCTGCAATTGTCACGTTCCAGGTAAGAATGTTAATCAAAATTATCGCCAAAAAAAGGTTCTCGATAATTACGTCCTTCTTCTCTACTTTTCAGACGAGAACGAGTGCAAATATCGTCCTTGCGACATTTTCGCGCACTGCACCAACACCCTCGGTGGCTTCCAGTGCTCTTGCTTCCCCGGGTATCAAGGTGACGGCTTCCACTGCAAAGGTAAAATAAATTCGATTCTCGTATAAAAAATTCACATTTGCAAATGCAATTTTATATTCAAATTGTCTCACGTCCCATTTAGACATCGACGAGTGCGAGGACCCCGCCATTGCTGCACTGTGCGTCGAGAACGCGGAGTGCTGCAACTTGCCGGCGAATTTCCTTTGCAAATGCAAACAGGGCTACACGGGAAACGGAGAAGAGTATTGCGAAGACATCGACGAATGTTTAACACCGAATGCGTGTGGCGACAATGCCCTGTGTCGCAATATACCTGGCAATTACACCTGCGAGTGTCCCGCGGGGTATACGGGAGATCCACACGTGACGGTACGCCACGAAGAGCCCGACTCAATAATTAGAGAATTTCTTTCTAAAGCAATTATCCTTGAACCGGGGCTAATCATAGATACGTGAATATTCATGCTCGCAGTGCGTCGACCTGAACGAGTGCGAGAGCAAAGGGGCCTGCGGCCGCAGGGCAAACTGCATCAACATCCCAGGTGCATATAAATGCATCTGCCCTGACGGTTACGATGGAAACCCCGAAGAAGAGTGCAGCGACGTCGACGAGTGTCTCGGAAATCCATGTCATCGGTCCGCCCTCTGTACCAACGTGGAAGGCGGCTATCGTTGCTTGTGTCCCGAAGGAACGGACGGAGATCCTCTGTCAGGATGTCACGGTAATTCACGAAAGCACGTAATCTCCACCTTCCATAAAAAGATCGACGTAAAATATTGATCTCTCGAATTTTCAGACATCGACGAGTGCGCGTCCTACAACAATCCTTGCGGCGTTAATGCGATTTGCAAGAACTCGGTGCCGGGATATAAATGCGTTTGTCCCCAAGGATACTCAGCCAACCCCAAGCCCGATGTTTCGTGCATTCAGGTATGCCTGCACTTGCATTTTAATTTTTAGACGCTTCTGAACCCTATCGGACAATCTTGCCCTTTTCAGACGAACGTAACGACTCGATGCAAATCCAACTTCGACTGCGTCAACAATGCGGAGTGTAAGGAAGAACAATGCTTCTGTAAAAGTGGCTTCGAAGGTGTCGGTGCCGAATGCAAGGACATCAACGAATGCATAACGAATCCTTGCGGACCGGCTTCGGTCTGCGGCAACACGAAGGGCGGTTTTCAATGCGACTGCGAAACTGGATTCATCGGCGCTCCACCTCACGTTCCTTGCAAAGGTATGGAAAACTTCGAAAAAAATTAAACGCTGTCGTTACTAATATTTCCGTGCGTAATTTTAATTATATTATTTAACGGTTCAATTCGAAGCACCCTGCGACGAGGTGGTTTGCGGTGCCCATGCGTTCTGCAAGGCTGACGGACAGGAAGCGTACTGCATCTGCGAGGAAGGCTGGACATTCAATCCGAACGATATCGCAGCAGGCTGCATCGGTGAGGACTCAAGTTTTGAGAGAAAATAATTAATCGCTTCATTTAATTACTTAATTATTGCGCTTTGCAGACATCGACGAGTGCGACGTTGTAAACGGTCCATCCGGGCGCTGCGGTCAGAACGCGATTTGCACGAACACCCCAGGAGGCTTCAGCTGCCAATGCAAAGCAGGCTACTCCGGAAATGCGCTTAAACAATGCATAGGTAGGTGCCGAATAAACAAAAACGTGTTAAAAAAATGAGAACAAGAAAGATTGCCCGAGTCGTCGCGTGTTTCAGACGTGGACGAGTGCGCTAACCGAGATGCCTGCGGACACGGAGCCACGTGCACCAACACGGAAGGTGCCTACTCCTGTTCCTGTCCGAAGGACACGATTCCGAATCCAGATCCTTATATAAAGTGCGTTGGAGTGGTGACATGCGGCACGGACGACGACTGCCCTGGAAATGCGATTTGCGACAGTCAGAAACGATGCCTCTGCCCGGACCCCAACATCGGGAACGACTGCAGACGTAAGTGCATCTGTCGGACTATGGATATCGTCGTTGCACGCGGAAAAAAGCTACATTTTCAGTTCCAGCAAGGAACGGCACTGTTGGCAAACAATTATTCTTGCTGCAGGAATAATTGCATCGACGGCAAAAATGCAAGTCTAATTTTTCCGAATGTGCAGATCCGTGCGAGGACGTGACTTGCGGACCCAACGCCAGGTGCATGCTGATCAACGACGAGGCTACGTGTCTATGCAGCAGCGGGTATACCGGGAAGCCGAGGATCGGCGAAGGGTGCAGGGACATCGACGAGTGCGGAGCCAACCCCTGTCCCCCGGGGGCAGTCTGCAAAAACGAACCAGGGTCCTTCTCCTGCGAGTGTCCGGGGGGCATGTCAGGAGACCCCTACACGGGAGGCTGCAGGAAGTCGGAACTACCGCACGTGTGTGGACCGCACTTGCCATGTCCCACCGGTGAACAATGCGTGAAAGATGAGTTCATCGGCAGCAGTGTCTGCATCTGCCAGAGGGGGTACACCAGGAACGCCGAGAGCGGGAAATGCAGAGACATCAACGAGTGCATCGAGTTGACGGACAAGCAAGCTTGTGGACTGAACGCCATCTGCAAGAATCTGCCAGGAAGCTACGAGTGTCAGTGTCCTCCAGGGTTCAACGGCAACCCCTATTCCCTCTGCGAAGGTGGGTTGACTCGTGGAAATTTTTTCGCCAATTTTATAACGAGTGGAATTTTGTCTCTTCAGAGTGCAACAGCATCGAGTGCCAGTGCCAGCCGCCGTACAGAATCGTGGAGGGCAAGTGCATCCTGGCCGGCTGCTCCAAGGGCGAGAAATGTCCCGGTGGGGCGGAGTGCATCACCATTGCCGGTGGGGTCAGCTACTGCGCCTGTCCCAAGGGTTTCAGTACCAGGTCCGATGGCCTGTGCGAAGGTAGGTGCATCGACGTTTACCGGTATCGAAAAGACGACGACCGGGAATATTCTATCTGCAGACATCAACGAGTGCACCGACAGTCATCAAGTCTGTGGTTACGGGGCGGAGTGCGTCAACCTTCCCGGCTCTTATCAGTGCGTCTGTCCACACGGATACGACGGGGATCCGTACAACGGGCTCTGTTCTCCAGCCCAGAAGAGGTGCATCAGCGACAACGAGTGCAAGCCGAACGAAAAGTGCGTCCAGCCTGGCGAGTGCGTCTGCCCTCCACCGTTCTACATGGACGTGTTCGACGGGAACTCGTGCAAGAGTGCGTTGATTTCTCATATTTTCAGTCGTGGGATGCATTCGCGAACGTATTTCTACGCTCGTTTCCTAAATTGCAGATCCCTGCAATCGGTTCCCTTGCGGCATCAACGCCAAGTGCACGCCGAGCGACCCTCCCAAGTGCATGTGCGAGGCCGGCTACGAGGGGGATCCTCAGCACGGATGCATCGACGTTAACGAGTGCATCAACAACCCCTGCGCTCCTGGAGCCCACTGCGTCAACACCAAGGGAGGCCACAGCTGCGAGTGTGGAAAGGACCTGAGCGGCGACCCCTACGGTGCCGGATGCACCGGGGTGCCCGTAGCCAAGCAGGGCTGCACTTCCAACAACGACTGCGAGAATTACCTGGCCTGCATCAACGGCAACTGCCAGAACCCCTGCGACACCGTGTCCTGTGGACCGAATGCGTTCTGCGAGCCTGACAAGCACACGGCCTGGTGTAGGTGCGTCGTTGGCTTCAACGAGGGCCAGAACAACGAATGCGTGTCTCGTGAGTATGAGTCATAAATCTCGGTTTACAGAAGGCTCTAAGACCCTTCTTCGAGTTCTCCACCTGTTGCGTGAAGGAATTCTCCAGTTTTCGATCAACGTTTGGTCTTCTTTTCCAGCCTGCGATGGATTCGTGTGCGGGATCGGTGCACACTGCATCGTCAGCTACGACGGGCCGACCTGTAAGTGCATCGAGGGCTTCATGGGGAATCCGTTCCCGGGGGGTCGGTGCACTCCGGACGTGTGTTCCCCCGATGTGCCTTGCGTCGAGCCCAGCATCTGCGTGAGCGGCCGTTGCAAGCGCCGCTGCGAGGACGTCATTTGCGGCGTCGGGGCGTCATGCGACCCTGTTTCAGGGAAGTGCGTTTGCAACCCATATTTCGTCGGAAATCCAGACCTCCTGTGCATGCCGCGTAAGTAGGAAGAACGTTTTCGTCGTATCACCATCGGTAACACCCGAGATAATCGTTTACCTCTTCACAGCCGTCCAGCCACCGCTCTGCGATCCAGCCTGTGGTAACAATGCTCATTGCGAGTACGGTCTCGATAAGGCAAAATGTGTCTGCAACCCTGGCACCAGCGGAAATCCTTACCATGGATGTGGCGCTCAAGAGAAATCGGACTGCTCGAGTGCATTGTGTGGTAAAGACGCACAATGCATCGCGGGTCCTAACGCGGTGGAGTGCCTCTGCCCATCGGGCTTCGCTGGGAACCCGTACATCCAGTGCTATGGTAAGCGATGATCGGAAAGTATGACGAAGTTCTAAAAATGGTTGTATATAATTCATGGTCCCTTTGCCACAGACATCAACGAGTGCAACGGCAACGCCTGCGGCGCCCACGCGGTGTGCATCAACACGAACGGAGGCTACGACTGCAGGTGCATGGAGGGGTACGTCGGGAACCCCTTCCGTATGTGCCAAGAATCGCAGGCGAATCCTTGCAGCGACCCGACTACGTGCCAGTGCGGCCCCGAGAAGCTGTGCCCACGGGATTACAGCTGTATCGAGGGTCGGTGTGTCGATAGGTGCAGCGACGTGACGTGTGGACCGAAATCCGGGTGTCAGGACGGCATTTGCATTTGTCCACCGGGGTACAGCGGGGATCCGAATGACCAGGAGAACGGTTGTCGCTTGACGGGACACTGTTCCAACGACCAGCACTGCGACGCTCAGCAGATCTGCTTCCAAGTGGGCAAGGGGGTCCGCAAGTGCGTGGACGGCTGCAGCAAGCTGCAATGCGGCCCCAACGCGCTCTGTCTGACCCAACACCACGTCTCCTCCTGCATCTGCATCGACGGGTACCTGGGGAACCCCAGCGACCTGGTCGAAGGCTGCCAACCCAAGAGATCGGGGGCGGTCCCTACCTGCAGTCGCAACGAGGACTGTCGGCAAGGGTTCCTCTGTCTGCAGCAGGACGACGGGATCCACGAGTGCGTGGACGCGTGCAGCAAGACGACCTGTGGAGCCCATCAGCGATGCGAGGCCGACGCCGGAGGACACGTCGTCTGCGTGTGTCAGGATGGATACGAGTGGAATCCGGAGTCTTTCTCCTGTGAAAAGCCTGCCGTGCCGGACTGCACCGGGGATCAAGAGTGCAAGTCGGATTCGGTCTGCCGCCCCGATGCCGTCGGGGTTCTGAAGTGCGTGTCCATCTGTGGGATGTTCACCTGCCCAGAGAACTCCAGGTGTGTGGCTAGCGAGCACAAGGCCAGGTGCGAGTGTTTGCCAGGTTTCGAAGGCAACCCCAACGATCGCACGGGGTGCCAGACCGCTCGCAGGGACGCCTGCAGCTCCGACTCCGAGTGCCCCGAGGATAGCACCTGCAGGTCCACGGACGAGGGCGTGCTGGCTTGCCGACCGGTCTGCGACTTCGTCCGCTGCGGTCCCAACGCGCTGTGCGTGGTCAACAACCACGCGGCCATTTGCGAGTGCCCGCCTGGCCTCTACGTTGGCGACCCCGATGGCGGCGATGGCTGTAAAACCGTGCCCTGCGTGTATAACATCGATTGTCCACCCACCCAGCTCTGCAACAGGCTGACCCACACCTGCTACGACGCGTGCGACGACTCAGCCTGTGGTCAGAACGCGGTCTGCGTTGCCGACGACCACCGTGCGGTCTGTAGGTGCCCACCGGGTTTCAAACCTAATCCCCTGCCTGACGTCGAGTGCATCGGTGTCGACGTGTGCAACTCGGACTCCTGCCACCCGTCTGCGATATGTGTGGCCGACGCGTCCAATACTCCCATCTGCAAGTGCCCCGAGAACCACGTGGGGGATCCCTATTTCGCAGGGTGCCAGCCGGAAGGATACTGTGCCGATCAGCATGATTGCCCCTTGCACTCCGTCTGCAAGAACCATGGATGCGTCAATATTTGCGACAACGTCTGCGGCCCCAACATGGTCTGCGAGATCGCCAACGACGAGCCGGTCTGCAAGTGCAACTACAAGTTCGTGCCATCGACCAAAGGGCTGCACCATGGATGCATCAGGTACACCAGCTACTGCACCATCGATGCCGACTGCGAGGGCACCGTCTGCCTCGAAGGGCAATGCAGAGGTAAGTCGGAATTTCCGTTATCAAGATTGTGGGATTTTTTGCGTGTTGTTTTAATCATTTAATTCTCTGATTTTCCTGCCAGCCGTTTGCCGCTCGGACACCGACTGCTCCCACAGCGAGATATGCCAGAACAAGAAGTGCGTCGTGTCCTGCACCTCGCATGGAAATTGTGAGGCTGACGAGGCCTGCATCAACGGAATCTGCATCCTGGGCTGCCGTGGGAACAAGAACTGCCCCTTGAACCAGTCCTGTATTCAAAGTAAATGCCAGGGTACGTGACTTTTCCCTTGTAATTGCGGCACCCTGTCCCACGTGGTCGTTGAGTGCAGCACGCAAGGCCACTTTCAGATCCCTGCGCGAGAGACAACGTGTGCGGTCCGAATGCCGTCTGCAACTGCGTGGACCACATCGCAACCTGCGCCTGCCCGCTAGGGTTCCAAGGGAATCCGACGCCCGATCAGGGGTGCGTGAGGATCCAGAATGGCTGCAGGACCTCCAGCGAGTGCCCCTCCCAGCACGTCTGCTCCAACGGGTTCTGCCAGTGCCAGTGCAGCCAACAGGTGGACTGTGCCCAGGGTGAACGATGCAAAAGTGGACTCTGCGTCAAGGTTTGTTACGGAGAGAGCAACTGCTTGCCTGGCGAGCTCTGCATCAACGGCAGCTGCGAGGCTGGCTGCACCTCCGACGCGGGCTGCAACGTGGATCAGATATGCATCAACAGCAAGTGCAGGTGAATTTGGTGGTCCACTCGGTAGCCTCGAGAGATCCTTGGGAAGGTCGAAACCAATGATCTCGGCCCATGCATTTTAGGTGCTCCCACGGTTTTGTCCCCGGTCCCGAGGGATGCGTCGACGTCGACGAGTGCGAGAAGCAACCGTGCCATCCCACTGCGGAGTGCACCAACCTGCGAGGAACTTTCCGCTGCAGCTGCCCTCAAGGGCGGATTGGCGACCCGGTGGTGACAGGTTGCGCGATCCCGCATCACTGCAGCTCCAACAGCGATTGCCATGATTCCCAGGCCTGCATCCAACGCAATTGCTCCGACCCCTGCTCCTTCGTCAGCTGCGGATCGAACACCGTGTGTTCCGTCTTCGACCACGCTGCCAGTTGTCAGTGCTTGACGGGGTATATTGGCGACGCCACCGGCTGTTTCAAGGTGGAGTGCCTCTCGAACACGGACTGTTCCAGCGACAAGTACTGCAACCAGGAGACGAACAAGTGCACAAGTAAATAGCGATGCACTTTTTAAATTCCCAACTGCAATTGCTTAGATTGAAAATCATCGAGATTTTTGCATCTCCATTTTCCATTTCGCTCAGGTCCCTGCAACCAGGTCAACTGCGGCTATGGGAATTGCGTGGCGATCGATCATGTCGCTGTCTGCAAGTGCTATCCTGGCTTCACTCTCGTCGACGAAATATGTGCGGATGTCGATGAGTGCGCCTCCAAGCCGTGCCATCCTACCGCAATGTAAGTCAAAATTACTAAACGGAGAAAGGAATAAATGGAGGAGCCTGAATTCTGGTTCTTTACTGTCAGATGCCACAACACCGAGGGCGCGTTCACCTGCAAGTGCCCTCACCACCTGGTGGGCGATCCACTGACCCTGGGCTGTAAACAACCTGGAGAATGCTTTTCGGACCTGGACTGCCCGAGCTCCGCGTCGTGTCTGGAGAATATGTGCAAGAACCCCTGCGACGACCCTACAGTGTGCGGTCAGAATGCGGAATGCATCTCCGAGGACCACATCCCGTTCTGCAGATGTCCGGAGCAAACCACTGGGAACCCGAAGGTAAGAGGGGAAAACGGAGGGAAATCAAAAGCGATTGCAACCTCTTTATTAGAAATTGACAGAAATTCATTGTCGCTCCGCACATCCCAGATTCGCTGCGACCACCTGGAGTGTAACTACCACAGCGACTGCGACCCCAACAGCGCCTGTTTCACCAACAAGTGTGTAGACCCCTGTTCCGTGTCGAATGTGTGTGGAAATGGCGCCGACTGTTCCCCATCGAATCACAGCGCGGTTTGCGTCTGTCAACCTGGGAAAACTGGGGATCCGAACCTGGGATGCACTCCGGTGCAGTACTGTCAGACCGACACGCAATGCCCCACGGGGCTGGCGTGTAAAGGAGGGATCTGCACGGGTACGTTTTTTACCGAGGATGTTTGGGTGCCTAAGTCAAAAATGAAGAAACCTGAACTCGGGATGTCTGGGCGTCCGAGTCTGACTCGTGTATCTTTTCTCAGCTCTTTGCACCAACACGAGAGATTGCTTTGGCGAGCAGCTGTGCATAAACGGGCTGTGCCAGCCGACGTGCAGAAGCAACGCGAGTTGCCCGGATTTCCAATACTGCCGCAACAACGTGTGCGTACAAGAGTTCCGTTGCGTTCACGACAGCGATTGCGAGCAGGAGGAGAAGTGCGTGCGGAATGACGTGGGCCAGGCGGAGTGCAAGAGAGCTTGCGACCTGATCTTCTGCGGTCGCAACGCGGAGTGCAGAGCGGAGGTGCACCAGGCCGTCTGCTTCTGCAGGGAGGGCTTCCACGGGGACGCGAACGACGAAAAAATCGGCTGCCAGTCGATCGAGTGCGAGACCGACGACCACTGTTCGCAGGAGAAAATCTGCACGGATCGCAGGTGCGAAATCGCCTGTCTGACGCGCAACCCCTGCGGAGTCAACGCGGTCTGCTCGGCATCGAACCACGTCCAGGTACGTACCGATCCAATTCCGTATCCCTCGTCTTCCAACGAAGAATCAACGCCGATTCTCCCACCTGCAGACGTGCACCTGCCAGTCAGGGTATACCGGGAATCCGTATCAAGGATGCGAGCTGGTGGACTTGTGTCTGAACGGCCCCTGCGCGCCGGGCGCGACCTGCGACAACTCTAGGGGGTCTTTCCGCTGCAACTGCCAACCCGGCACAGTTGGAGACCCCTACAACGGTGGTTGCCAACAACCCGTGGAGTGCGTCCAGGACGACGACTGTCCACTATCCGCGACCTGCGTGCCTTTGGACGACACCTTGAAATGTGCCGGTAAAAATCATTGGAACGAACGCGTTGTCTTCCGTGGCCCACGAGTCCTCCGACCGATGCCGATCCTCTTCTTGCAGACATCTGCGCGCGGTTGCAGTGCGGCCCTAATGCGGAATGCGTAGTAGATGCCCACGTGGGGTCCTGCAGATGCCATCGAGACTACGATGGGAATCCCAACGACTTGAGGATCGGCTGCCAGCCCAAGCCCATCGGCTGCTCGACCAGCTCCGACTGCTCCCCCAACATGTACTGCTACGAGCAGATCTGTCGACGTAAGTTGCTTCGCCTCTCTGCGGACTCTGTTCCGGAACAAAGAAATTAATCTCATCCGTTCCAGCGACCTGTCAACTGGACGAGGAGTGCAATCTGTCCGACATCTGCTTTAACGGTCAATGTCTGAACCCCTGCGACGTCAAAAACGCCTGCGGCCTCAACGCCGACTGCCAAGTGCGAAACCACGTGAAGCAGTGCAGCTGTCCTCCGGGCTTCACAGGAAACTCCACGATCGAGTGCGTCCGGTGTAAGTACCTCTCGATCGAAGGCAATGAGACGATCGGACGATTTTGAACGCCAGTGAATCGATACTTCCAGTTCCCGTCGCCTGCCGAGACGACAACGACTGCAGCGCTACCGATGCATGCCGCGAGAACGTGTGTCTTCCTCTTTGCAACATCGACAACGACTGCGCCCTGAACGAGAAATGCATCCAAGGGAGTTGCCTGTTGACCTGCAGGTTGGTCAACGACTGCTTCCTGGGACACGTCTGTCTGCGGAATATCTGCACCGCAGGGTGTCGCGGAGACCAGGACTGCGACGCGAACGAGGCCTGTGTCGGCAACAAGTGCATCAACCCCTGCGAGTTGATGCCCTGCGGACCGAACGCGAGGTGCACCGTGCTAAACCAGAGGGCCACCTGTTCCTGCCCCGCAGGGTTCATGCCGAACCCCAGTCCGAAGATCGCTTGTCTGAGGTCTCCGGGCACCCAGTGCCACGAGAATCGCGACTGCGAAATCGGCACCAGGTGTCTTGAAGGTTCTTGCACCCCTGTATGCTCGTCCCACGCCAACTGTCTGAGCAACGAGCGATGCGACGTCAACGGGGTCTGCAAGTCCCTCTGCAAAAAGGACGAGGACTGCAGGAGCGGGGAGATCTGCGAGGGCTTGGTCTGCTCCAAGGGCTGTCGCTCCGATGGGGAGTGCCAGAACGACTACTCCTGCCTGAACAACCTGTGTACAGGTGAGTTGGACAACTCCTTTATTTGTTGAGTAAAAATATGGAAATGCATCCAAATCCCCTGGTACGAGTTCTCGGTATCATTTCTTGCAGACGAATGCGCGCTGCCCAATGCGTGCGGCATCAACGCAAAGTGCAAGATGGCGAACCATGGCCGGCAGTGTTATTGTCCTCAGCCTTTGGTAGGCGATCCCAACGTGGGGTGCAAGCAGCCCTTCCATCCCTGTTCCCTGAACGACGACTGTCTTCCTGGTCAGACGTGCTACGACCGACGCTGTTCCGACGCGTGTAGAAGGTAGATCCCGATTTCGATCGCCCAAGCAATCCATATTTTGGAAGACGATCTAATGATCTCTCTTCATCAGTGACGCCAACTGCCTGAACGACGAGCGCTGCGATGGAGGACTCTGCAAACCCATCTGCAATTCCGATGACCATTGCGCGGCGAATCAGATCTGCAGGAACCGTCTTTGCACCGAAGGGTGTCGAAACGACAACGCCTGCTCCGCCGAGGAGTCCTGCATACAAAACGCCTGTAAAAGTAAGAGATGCTCTCTACCAATGATCGTCAACCCGAAGGAACAGGGATCATCTCTCCTTTCCCTTTTTCCTAGATCCGTGCCTAGATTCCAAGGTGTGCGGCGAGTGTGCGGAATGTCGCGTCATCAACCATGCCATTCAATGCAGCTGCCCTGTCAATTATTATGGCAATGCGCTGATCAGCTGTTCGAAGTCGCTGATTCCTTGCGATGGCTCCTGCGAGTGCAACGAAATCGGCTTTTGCGTCAAGTCTTGTGGTTCCCAAAGCGACTGCTCGTGTGGAGAGGTCTGCTACAATGGAATGTGTCAGATGAAATGCGACAACCACAACGCCTGCCACAAGGTAGGTGGTCGAGCATCGTCACATCGATCAGGGATGGTTGACGTTGAAGCTGACTCAATGGTATCAACGATCGGTGGTGATTTTTTTTCCAGGGCTACATTTGTCAAGAAGGCCTTTGTCTGGTGGGCTGTCGCATCAACTCGGACTGTCCGTCGTCCTTGACTTGTATAAACGGCAGATGCACGGATCCTTGTCTGAACGGAAACTCGCCTTGCGGGGTGGATGCGTTGTGTCGCGTCTCGAACCACCGCGTGGTGTGTTTCTGCCCGGAAGGGTTCCAGGGCGAGCCGAGCGTCAAGTGCTACCAGCTGGAATGCCAGCAAGATAACGATTGCGAGTCGAATAAGAGGTGCGGCGAAGACGGGATCTGCACAAACCCTTGTCTGAAACACGACGCGTGTGGGTTGAACGCCCAGTGCAGGGTGGTGGACCGAAACGCCCTATGCTCCTGCCCACCGGGTCACTTTGGAAACCCGAAGATCAGCTGCAGGAGAGGTAGCCAGATTTCTCAGATTTTCTTCGCGTGGGGTCGTCATTTTGAAAACGTTGAAAATTTGACAATGGATAATTTTGAAAATTGTGTCCGGTTCCTCAGGTGGGGACGAGTGCCTGAGAAGACCCTGCGGTCCCAACGCGAAGTGCAGGGACAACTCCGTAGGAGGTGTCGAGTGCATCTGCGAGCCCGGATGCTACGGGGATCCCTACCGAGGGTGCGTCTGCGAGAGAGGAGACCCTTGCAACGAGGTGCAGTGCGGAATTAACGCGGAATGCAGAATTTACGATAACCAACCGCAATGCTTCTGCCCGCCGCACTTGCCATCCGGCGACCCGGCCTATGCTTGTGAGTCCGAGTCGCGTATTTTCACAAACCCGATCGGTACTCCGATTCAGGGAAACGTTAAAAATCCTTCGGACGTCCCTTTCGCGTCATCTTAACATCGATTCGAATCGACAGGCACTTCGGCGGGAAGCTCGAAAACGGACTGTCGCACCTCAGGCTGCGGAAAGGGCGCGGAGTGCATCAGAGAGGGCACCGTCTTCGTGTGTCGATGTCCACCCGGAGCGAACGGCTCGCCCAACGTCGAGTGCTTCACAGGTAATCCCCGACACCTCCGAACCCGACTAATCGCACCAGGACGCGGTCATTGTCTTAACACCATTAGTCGAAAACGCGAGACTAACGTCGCCGAGACGGTTCACAGCGGCTGGAAGTTCTTAACCATTCTCCTTGTTCGTCGAGGAATTAACAACGGCATCGAGCGCATTAATCCGACTCACCCTAGTTAGCTGAAGTGGCGGTGACCCACGAGTACTCGAACACATCCGACGATCATTCGGCGACACGTAGACCTCGAAGTACCGGAAAGTAGAAGTAAAAACGACCAACGACGACGACAGCGACGACGACTCGACGACTCGAAGTCCCCTCGACTTTCCCCGCTCTCTATCGAGGTTGGGAGTAACGACTTTGCTTGGTGAATTGCACTCTGCGTGGGGTATCTATGGTGGGTCTCTTTTCTCGTTCCGCAACCTATGACCCCGCGGTCCGCCCCGCGTGATCGCACCCTCGTAGTCGAAGAGGACCCTCGCCTCCGCCCCGTAGAGTCGCCTCGACCTCTTTCGACCGCAGTCTCCTCCTTTTCGGGTCCTATCGGGGGAGCTAAACCGCATCCAAGACACCCTGGCACGAGGAAAACCACCCTGCCCCGATAACACCCAGCACCTCGAAAACTCTTCCGCGGGCTCCAGGGAACCCAGCAAACGATCCCTGGGAAGCGAGACTCGCGAGCACCCCCGCGTAGAACGGGGACGGGGTCGCGGCAGCGAGGACGCCACGACGGGTCGCTTGCCTTCGGTCCAAAGTATAAAAGATAAACCACCCTGAGAGAAAATTGGTATTAAAAATGTCCTTCCCAAAAAAGACGCGCCACGCGTCTACGGTCTGTGAATTGACGAGTTTTATATTCATCCCCCTATTCCTTGCCCCTCTTGAGCGCATTTTCTCTCAGGGAGGCGTCGTAAAAGAACGATCCCCGACTCCGGGGGGAGAATCGGGCGTCCCGGCCCTCGGTCCGTCCCCGGGCCCGACGAACGGGACCACCCTCGCCGCTCGAGGAGGCCCCGTTCCGGCGCAACGACGCCCTCTGACGTTTGGCCTTTCTGTCCGTCCCGACCGCCAGAGAGCGAGTGCGGCGAGGACGCGGAGTGCCCCAGCGAGAAGGCCTGCCTGGGCGGGCAATGTCTGGACCCTTGCGCGCTGCGCGGGGCGTGCGGGGCGAACGCCCTGTGCCGGGTGGTGGCGCACAAGGCTCGATGCGCGTGTCCGCAGTGCCACGTGGGGGTCCCGCGCGTGGCGTGCCGGCCGGACCCGAAGTGCGAGCGGCCGTCGTCGGGGGCGCCGGCACCCGCGCCGCCGTCGGGGCCGCCGGCGGCGTCGCGGGGCTGCGCCTCCCACGCGGACTGTCCGGGGGGTCTGGCGTGCCACGCGGCGACCGGCGAGTGCCGCGACCCCTGCCTGCCGACGGGCGGGCGGCCTCGCGCCTGCGGGCCCGACAAGCGGTGCCAGGTGCGCAACCACGAGCCCACCTGCGTCTGCAGGGGCGGCTTCGTCGTCAACGAGCTCGGCGAGCTCGCCTGCGCCCCGGACACCCTCGCGTGCACCCAGGACGCCGAGTGCCCGTCCAACGCCGCCTGCATCGCCGCCCGGTGCCAAAACCCCTGTAACGCCCGCGGCAAGCCCGCCTGCCCCGACGATAAGACCTGCAACGTGCTGGACCACCGTCCGATCTGCACGTGCACCCGCGACTGCACTCCCTCCCTCTCGATCTGTCTGCGCGACACCGGATGCCCGCCGGACCTGACCTGCCGCAACTATCGCTGCGTGGACCCCTGCGCCGAGTCCACCTGTCCGGCCGACGCCCCCTGTTACGTGGAGGAGCACAAACCTATCTGCAAGTTCTGTCCCGTCGGCTTCGTGCCGGACTCCCAGTACGGATGCCTCAAAGGTAAAGACCACATTTTTACCCCCCCCCCTGCTCCTCCTCCGCTGCTTATCTCGCTTTCTCCCTCTCTGGCTCTCTCTGTCTCTCTCTCTCTCTCTCCCTCTCTCCCTCTCTCCCTCTCTCCGTGTGTCACCCTGTCTCTCCCAGCCTCCGTTTTTACCTCTCTCTTTCTCTTTCCGCTCGCCTGCGACCCTCCCGAGCGCCGCGCAACCGTTGCGTCGACCCTCCCCTCGCCTGCCGTGCGACCCGGTCGCCGTCCGCCTGGAGTTCCTGCTAGCGACCGTTCCCACCCGAAGATCGACCCGGGGAGCTCCTCCCCGAAGGTTCCGCGACCACTTCGTCGGCGTCATCGGGACACCACTGACACGAAATCCGCTCCTACACGTGCCTTGCTCGTTACCTCGGTTCGTCGCCTCGGTTGGGCCAGGGTCGCTCCGAACCTTCTAGCCGAATCGCAAAAAATTACGGGGCGACCCTGGCCTCGACCCGGTTCGCCCGGGGGTGGAAAGGGAGGATGGTTGGCGACAGTCACTGTTAATCGGTCACGATTGCGCCCCGATTAATGTCCATCGGTCGTGTCCCTCCGTCGATGGACGTTAACGTCGAACGGAACACGATACTCGAAAGGACCCGCATCGAGTGCCCCGGGTGCTCCGGGTGCCCCGGGTGCCCCGGGTGCTCCGGGTGCCCCGGGTGCCCCGGGTGCCCCGGGTGCCCCGGGTGCCCCGGGTGCCCCGGGTGCGCCGAGGGTGCAGCCAGGACTCGAGGAAGGGACGACGCGAGCTCGCGGATCTCGGCTCGCCGTTTCGCTAACTCCGCCTTTCCGGTTGCAGAGGTCGACATCAAGGTGGAGTCGCCCTGCCACCCCTCGCCCTGTGGACCGAATTCAGTGTGCCAGGTGAAGATGGGCAGGCCGGTGTGCTCCTGCCAGAGCAACTTCGTCGGCAGTCCGCCCGACTGCAGGTCCGAGTGCCTTCTGAGCGAGGAATGTCGCAGCGATCAGGCCTGCGTCTTCCAGAGGTGCACCAACCCCTGCCCTAGCAGCTGCGGGCCAAATTCGGACTGCACCGTCGTCGACCACTCGCCGTACTGTAGCTGCGAGGTCGGCTTCGAGGGCGACGCCTTCGTCGGGTGCACTCGCATCATAGGTACGTCATTTTCGTGAAACTCGTCAACATCCTTCCTTGAACGAATTCGCGGTGTCGGATATTTTCAACGAGTTTGTCCGACCTCAGTGGAGCCGCCGGAAGTGCACGATCCCTGCGTGCCGTCCCCCTGCGGTAGCAACGCCCTCTGCAACGTGAAGGACCAGGGCCCGGTCTGCACCTGCATCCCACCGTACGTAGGAAATCCCCATGACGGCTGCAAACCGGAGTGTCGCATCAGCGCCGAGTGCCCCAGCAACCTGGCCTGCATCAACCAGCACTGTTTGGACCCCTGCCTGGGAGTCTGCGGAACGGAGGCCCGCTGCGAGGTCAGCAACCACGTCCCTGTCTGCACCTGCTTGGCCGGGTACACTGGAAATCCGTTCCAAGCCTGCAAATTGGAGATATCACGTGAGTTACGGTAGACGTCCGCATCGGTACCCACCGGTGCAGGTAGATGACGTTGGATGGTTTACTTTTCAGCCCTGCCACCGCAAAATCCGTGCACTCCACCTCCCTGCGGACCCTACAGTACCTGCAGGGTGATGGATAATCGAGCGGTGTGCTCCTGCATGCCCGGGTACCAGGGGACGCCGCCGAGCTGCCGACCCGAGTGCGTGGTCAGCTCCGAGTGTCCCCTGCACCTGGCATGTATCGGACAGAAGTGCGCAGACCCCTGTCAGAGTGGCTGCGGATTGAATGCGCATTGCCAGGTCAGCAACCACAACCCCATCTGTAGCTGCCCATCGGGATATGCCGGAGATCCGTTTCAGCAGTGCATCAAAGAAGGTGAGTCGACATTGTGGGGTCTTTCGAATTTTTTTTGTCGGAAATCCTGGACCTTCGTCTTGCTCGATCCTCCAGAAATTCGGCCGCCGACGAACCCCTGCCTGCCGTCGCCCTGCGGACCCAACGCCGACTGTAGGGTCCACGCGAACCGCCCCACTTGCACCTGCGTTGCAGGCATGTTCGGCGCGCCGCCAAACTGCAGGCCGGAGTGCGTCATTCAGGAGGATTGTCCCAGTTACCTCGCCTGCATCCGCAACAAGTGTTCCGACCCGTGCATCGGGTCTTGTGGCCTGAACGCCAAGTGCACTTGTCAGAACCATCGACCCATGTGCTACTGCTACGAGGGGTACGAAGGTGACCCGTTCTCCGGTTGCAACCCGAAAGGTACCTGTCGAGGACTTAGTTTAAGCCTGGGAATTTGGAAAATGGATTAAAATTGCTTCACGTTTCACTTTCCAGTACAAGTGTCGGTTACTCCACCTAACCAGCCTTGCAACCCGTCTCCGTGCGGCTCCAACGCGATTTGCACGGAACGCAACGGAGTTGGATCCTGCACCTGTCTGTCGGACTACACCGGGAACGCCTACGAGGTTTGCAGACCGGAGTGCGTGCAGAACTCCGACTGCCTCCAGAACAGGGCCTGCATAAACAACAAGTGCAAGAATCCCTGCATCGGAGCTTGCGGCTTGAACGCCGAGTGCCAAGTGTTCAACCATCGGCCGTCCTGCAGCTGCGCGACGGATCATACCGGGAACCCCCTCGTCTCCTGCTACGCGACCCAACCGAGTGAGTCCCGTGGAGTGTTTTTACATCCGCCACCCGTGGATTTGTCCACTAATTTATGGTTCCATCCAACAGCGGAAACGAAGGTTCCCACCGAGCCGTGCCTCCCGTCGCCCTGTGGTGCCTACAGCAACTGCAGGGTTATCGACGACCATGCGGTCTGCTCCTGTCAACCTGGGTACATAGGGAGTCCTCCGAGCTGCAGACCCGAGTGCGTGGTGAGTGCCGACTGCGACCAGAACAAGGCGTGCATCGACCAAAAGTGCGAGGACCCGTGCACGAACACCTGTGGACAGAACGCCAACTGCCACGTCATTAACCACAATCCGGTCTGTAGCTGCAACCCAGGTTTCACCGGGGACCCCCTGATCATTTGCGCGAAGGAGTCAGGTAGGTGTGCCGGTGGATCGGAGTCGATTTGCATTTCCGCGGACATCAAATAACCGATTTTCCCGGATTTTCTCCTCTGCAGTTGTGACCCCCTCGCCGATTCCAAGCGGGAACCCCTGCCTGCCATCCCCCTGCGGCCCCAACTCGCAGTGTCGCGAGATCGACGGTTTCCCTGCATGCTCCTGCCTACCTGGCTACCTGGGCAGGGCTCCGAATTGTCGTCCAGAGTGTGTCATCAACGAGGAATGTCTCGGGAACTTCGCCTGCCTGAACGAGAAGTGCATCGATCCTTGCCCAGGGTCCTGCGGTGTGAACACGTACTGCAACGTCGTCAGGCACCGGCCACTTTGCACCTGCAACGCCGGGTACACCGGCAACCCGTTCACCGAATGCATCCCTATCGTGCAAGGTAAGTTCACTTTACAAACACAGGGGTTTCCACCTGAGAATAGACTGAAGATAACCAAGTCGTTCCAGAACCCACCACGACGGAGTCGCCACGCACCCCCTGCGACCCTTCGCCCTGCGGGGCAAATGCAGTCTGCAGCGACAGGAACGGAGTAGGGTCCTGTGTCTGTATTCCTGAATACTTCGGAGATCCTTACACGGGATGCCGACCGGAATGCGTCACCAATACCGACTGCAACCGCAACAGAGCCTGTCTGAACAACAAGTGCGTGGACCCGTGCCCTGGAGCCTGCGGTCGCCAGGCCACCTGTTTCGTGACCAACCACACTCCCTCCTGCACCTGCATGCCAGGCTTCAGCGGGGATCCTTCGCAAGAATGCGTCCGCATGGAGGTGACCACCCCGCAGGTTACTTCCGACCCGTGCGAGCCGTCGACCTGCGGACCCAACAGCAACTGCATCGCCTCCAAGGGTTACGCCGTGTGCTCCTGCAAGACCGGCTTCATCGGCAGTCCACCTTCCTGCCGACCCGAGTGCACCACCAGTACCGAGTGCCCGCAGAACAAGGCTTGCATCGACAATACTTGCGCCGACCCCTGTCCCGGCAGCTGCGGCCAAAACACCAAGTGCCACGTTGTCAACCATAACCCGGTGTGTAGCTGCGCCCCAGGTTACACCGGGGAACCTTTCGTCCATTGCGCCAAGATCGAGATGCCTCTCACAGGTGATAAGACGCTGGAAGGTGGAGTCAACCCCTGCGTGCCCAACCCCTGCGGCCCGAATTCCCAGTGCAAGGTGGTCGGTTCTCAGCCGGCTTGCTCCTGCACCCCAGAATATTTTGGACGTCCTCCGTTCTGCAAACCAGAGTGCAAGGATAACTCGGAATGTCCTCCATTAACGGCTTGCATCAACGAGAGGTGCAAGAACCCCTGCCAAGGCGCCTGCGGACAGTATGCCAGGTGCGCCGTGCAGAACCATGCACCCGTGTGCACTTGCTTCGACGGACACACCGGGGAACCATCGCTCGGTTGCACTCCTATACCCGTGACGGAGCCCGAGCCAACGAACCCCTGCGAGCCGAACCCCTGCGGACCGAATGCGCAGTGCCGCGAGAGGAATGGCGCCGGGTCCTGCACCTGCCCCCTGAATTACCTGGGCGACCCCCACGACCCTGTCAGAGGATGCTACCCCGAGTGCGAGGCAGATAGAGACTGCCCCTCTCACTTGGCTTGCGTGGAATTCAAATGCCTGGACCCCTGCACCTCCACCTGCGGACTGAACGCCCTCTGCCAGGTCGCCAACCACAACCCTGTCTGCAGCTGCCCACCCAACTATACCGGGGACCCTTACTCCGTCTGCATAGTCGAGGAGCTGAAAGGTATCCTTTCCACTCTGATATCGTTTCAATTATGAAATGGGGAATATTCATATTTAATGCAACATCATTTATTTCTTAATCATCGAACTCTTCCGAGTCCGATAAAATAATTTAATCGGCCCTTTGCCTCCAGTTTACCCCAAAGCTGACCCTTGCCTTCCGTCGACCTGCGGACCCAACAGCAAGTGCAAGAGCGTCAACGACCAGGCCGTGTGCACCTGCATCCCTGGGTTCATCGGGCTTCCGCCCAACTGCAGGCCAGAATGCACCGCCAATTCCGATTGTCCGGTGCACCTGGCTTGCGTGAACAGCAAATGTGCGGATCCCTGCGTGAACACCTGTGGGCTGAGAGCTCAGTGCACCACCAGAGGCCACAACCCGATCTGCACCTGCCCTTCTGGCTTCACGGGGGATCCGTTCAATCTCTGCTCCCCTCATGGTAAGGACCCTTTCTCGATCACCTCGTCCCGAGTATTAATCCGTAGCTTCATGTCGATTCTTTGCCCTATTTTAGTAACCGAGGTGATCCCGGTGGTGGAACAGGTGCCATCCTGCACCCCGTCACCCTGTGGGCCTAATTCGCAGTGTCAGATAATCTCTGGCACGCCTGCTTGTTCCTGTTTACCGAACTACATCGGAGCTCCCCCTGAGTGCAGACCAGAATGTGTCTTAAGCTCGGAATGCGAGAGCCATCTCGCCTGCGTGAACCAGCGATGCCAGGACCCTTGTGTGGGGTCCTGTGGGATCAACGCTCGCTGCCACGTCTCGAACCGCATCCCTGTCTGCACCTGCATGGAGAGTTTCACCGGGGATCCCTTTTTCCAGTGCACCGTCATTCCGATCAGTACGTGTGGGCAAAAAGCTGTCCTCGATGCTTATCGTTTTTCTTCGATTTCCTCCTTCATTTTTCCTCAGGTACCCAGCCAACGGTTCGAGATCCTTGCAACCCCTCACCTTGTGGACCGAACACCGTGTGTCGAGACGGAGACTGCGAGTGTCTTCCGGAGTACTTCGGAAGCCCCTTCGAGGGATGCCGACCGGAGTGCGTCCTCAGCAACGAGTGTCCTCGAGATAAGACCTGCGTGCGCAATCGATGCAAGGACCCTTGCGTGGATGTTTGCGGAGAAAACACTCGTTGCGACGTCGTCAACCATATCCCTGTATGCTCCTGCGTACCTGGATTTATTGGCGATCCTTTCGTCAAGTGCAGGGAACAACCTAAAGGTGCCAAAACATAGAAAAAATGTACCGAAACGGGCAAGCGATTATTTCGTTCGTTACTCCGTTTAATATATGGATTTAAAATCAACAGAGGTGACAGAGTACGAGGATCCGTGCAGCCCCTCCCCCTGCGGACCGAATAGCAACTGTAGGGCGAACGACCGACATGCGATCTGCTCCTGTCTGCAAGGGTACCTCGGGGTGCCTCCGTTCTGCAAGCCGGAGTGCGTTGTCAGCTCGGAATGCTCGCCTACCAGAGCTTGCATCAACAAGAAGTGCGTGGATCCTTGTCCGGGATCCTGTGGGTTGAATGCGCGCTGCGAGGTCATCAACCATTCTCCGATCTGCAGCTGCCTGCCCAATCAGACCGGAGATCCTTTCAGGAGTTGCTACGATAATCCAGGTAGTGTTAAATTTCCTGATGAATTTTCTTTTGGTATTTGAACCCAACGAGACTGAGAATTTGTGCACTGCGTCCGCAGTTGTGGTGGTCGAGCCCGAGGACCCCTGCAGCTCCAAGCCCTGCGGCCCTAACGCGCATTGCCGCAACGTCAACGGAGTTCCATCCTGCACCTGCCTGCCCTCCTACATCGGAAGTCCACCCTCGTGTCGTACGGAGTGCATAATAAATCCTGATTGCTCAACGAACAAGGCGTGCGTTAACTCAAAGTGCATAGATCCCTGTCCTGGATCTTGCGGAAACGACGCCGACTGTAAGGTCATCAACCACGCGGTTATCTGCACCTGCCCCGCAGGGTACACCGGAAATCCGTTCGTCCAGTGCATCGTGAGGAAAGGTACGGATTCGAGATGCGCGGCATTCTTGTAGGCAGGAGAGCAGCTGCACCCGTTGTCTGATTGCAGAGGAGGTGAACCCCTGCGAGCCGTCGCCCTGCGGACCCAACGCGGTCTGCGAGAAGCAGGGCAGTGCCGGAGCCTGCAGATGCGTCGAGTTCTACCATGGGGATCCATATGAAGGATGTCAACCCGAGTGCATCATCAATCCTGACTGCCCCGCGAATAAGGCTTGCTTGGGAAATAAGTGCGAGGATCCCTGTCCAGGTGTGTGCGGAACCCTGGCGCAGTGTACCGTGGTGAATCACATCCCCGTGTGTACTTGCGTCCCCGGATACGTCGGTAACCCGTTCACCCTGTGTCGACCCGAGGAGCAGCCAGGTAGACCAATTGACGACCGAATGACCAGGATAGACTCCATCAATAATTTTAATCACTAATAAATGCATTTAATATCGAACTCAGTAACGGAGAGCACCCGAGTGGAGCCGTGTACGCCGTCGCCCTGCGGACCGAACAGCATCTGCCAGGTGGCGAACTCTCAGGCCGTGTGCATCTGCCAGGACAATTACATCGGTGCTCCTCCGAACTGTCGACCCGAATGCGTGGTCAACTCGGAGTGTCCCCAGAATCGGGCCTGCCACAAGTACCACTGCAACGACCCCTGCCCTGGCACCTGCGGGGTGGACGCGCTGTGTTACGTGGTCAATCACAACCCTCTGTGTACTTGCCCCTCGGGCATGACCGGAGACCCCTTCTCGAGGTGTTACGTCCAACCAGGTGAGACCAGAAGCTGAAGAAAAATTCTAAAGACGTTGGATGCGACGTTACCCGTTGTCTATTTTTCATGCAGCCATACCACCGGCAGCCATGAGAAACCCTTGCGCCCAGAACCCATGTGGACTGTACGCGGAGTGTAGGAGCGTTGGCGACCAAGCCGTGTGTTCCTGTCTGAAGAACTATATAGGATCGCCTCCGAACTGTCGACCAGAGTGCTCCGTCAATACCGACTGTCTCCCCAGCCAGGCTTGCATCTCAGAGAAATGCCGCGACCCCTGCATCGGCTCCTGCGGCCAGAACACCAACTGTAGGGTGCAGAATCACATTCCTACCTGCATCTGCCAACCGGGCTACACCGGGGATCCGTTCAACGAGTGCTCACCCATCATCGGTGGATATCTTGGCACTTAAAACTTTGTTCTCTAATTTTTTTTAATCATCACCTAATCGTTGCAGAAGTGCCGCCCGTGCCTGCTGACCCCTGCAATCCGTTCCCCTGCGGCCCCAACGCCGTGTGCGACAATGGAGTGTGCACCTGCAGAGGGAACTACTTCGGTGACCCGTACACCTTCTGTCGACCAGAGTGCACCATGAACTCCGACTGCGACAGGACCAAGTCTTGCATCAACCAGCGGTGCATCGACCCCTGCAACGGCATCTGCGGGGTGGATTCGCGATGCGACGTTGTCAACCATGTCCCCATGTGCAGCTGCCCACCTGGCACGACTGGAAATCCGTTCACATTCTGTCGCATATATCAGCCACCGAGTGAGTGCGACCTGCGATCTTCGCAGCTTAGTCGATCTGGCCCCGCAAGGGCAGCTTGCAACAGTCGTTCCTAAGGTTTCCACAATAATGGCATTTAAAAGGGTAAATCTGATATTTTTTAGCCGTACCCGCGGAGCCCTGCACTCCATCCCCCTGCGGACCTAACAGCATCTGCAGAGTCGTCGACGACTATGCCGCTTGCACCTGCCAGGACGGCTACATCGGCAATCCGCCGTCTTGCAGACCGGAGTGCATCGTGACTGCGGAGTGTCCTCTCACGCAGGCCTGTTTGTCGAACAAGTGCGAAGACCCCTGTCCGGGAACCTGTGGACAAAACGCCAAGTGTCAGGTCGTCAATCACAACCCTATCTGCAGCTGCGAGGAGAAGGACACCGGAAACCCCTTCGAGCGCTGCTACCCCATGGCTCGTAAGTGTAGCAAATCTCATCGTCAGATCGAGAATTATCGATCTCACGACCGATTTCTTTTTCCCAGTCGAAGGCCCGAAGTTGCCTAGGAACCCATGTGCACCTTCCCCATGTGGTCTGAACGCGGAGTGTCAGATTCGCGGCGACAGTGCCGCGTGTTCCTGTCTGCCGAATTACGTCGGAGTTCCTCCAAACTGCCAGCCAGAGTGCACGATCAATCCTCAGTGTCCTCCTCAGCTCGCCTGCATCCAGCAGAAGTGCAGAAACCCCTGCGACGGGCTCTGCGTGCTGAACGCGCGTTGTTCCGTCATTAACCATCACGCGGTTTGCACCTGCCTGGAGGACTTCACCGGGGATCCCTTCAACAGCTGCCAGCCAGTGATTAAAGGTAAATCGCGAGGCCTGATCTATTTACGATCGGACCCCAAGCCTCGAGATCGACTCTTTGCCCATTCTGTAGGGTGTCGGAATCAATTTTCTATCCCTTCAAATTTTTTAGAGCTCCCAGCACCACCCAAACCCTGCGACCCCTCGCCCTGCGGCGCCAACGCGTACTGTAGAGAGTCGTTCAACGGGGTCACCTGTGAGTGCACCCCTGGCTACAGAGGCAATCCCTATGATGGCTGTCGGCCCGAATGTCTGGTGAACAGTGACTGTCCGGCTTCTCGAGTGTGCACAAGGATGAAATGCGAAGATCCCTGCATAGACACCTGCGGCTTGGGCGCCATATGCACGGTCTCCAACCACGTGCCCATCTGCTCTTGCCCTGCCAAAACCACTGGATATGCCTTCACCTCCTGCGAGCCCATCGCCATCGGTAGTTAAACCACGAATGGATATAATCAATGGGAAAGGACGAAAAAAAAAGAAACTATTTTTTTCAGACGTCGGAATAGTGGACCCCTGCAATCCGTCACCCTGTGGATCGAACACCATCTGCGAAAAGTCTGGCTCCACCGCCACCTGCAGGTGCCTACCAGGTCTGACCGGCGACGCGTCCAGCGCTGCTGGGTGCAGACCCGAGTGCGTCCTGGCCTCGGACTGCCCTGGGGACAAGACATGCGCCGACAGCCGGTGCATCGACCCCTGCAGCAGAGACGTCTGCGGACGAGCCGCCACCTGCAGAGCGGTGAACCACAGTCCACTCTGCAGCTGCCCCCCGCCACTCTTCGGGAACCCGTTCGTGGAATGCTACGAGAAGGAAGGTACATCTTGAACCACGACCTCGTCCAATCTAAAGATGGATCGACGACGAAGAGACTAATCTGGTTTGAATTTCTCAGAGATCGATCCTTGCAATCCTTCGCCATGTCGATCGAATGGCGAGTGCCAGGTCAGGAATGGCGTCGCGTCTTGTATATATCCCGAGTGCGTTGTCAACTCGGATTGCTCGAGAGATAAGTCTTGTTTCTCGAGAAAGTGCAGGGACCCTTGCATCGGGGCGTGTGGAGTCAACTCGCTCTGTCAAACTGTCAACCACAAGGCCGTTTGTTCCTGCCCCAGCGGATACGAGGGTGACCCCAGGATTCAATGCAGGATCCAGGACCTGCCAGGTAAGAGGAGAAATGGGGCTCCACGGAGAAAGACCTTGACGTCAATAATTGGACAATAATTAATGCAATTGCTGGTTAATTTCAATGCGCGGGTAATTTCTATGTACTTTTTCAGTCGCACCCAAGCCGGAATGCTACCAACACGTGGACTGCCCGATGGAGATGGTCTGCGTCGAGCGGAGGTGCGTCGACGCTTGCAGCCTGAACTCCTGCGGGATCAACAGCCGATGCCACGTGCAGCTGCACAGGGCAATCTGTATCTGTAACCCCGGATTCACCGGGAACCCCCAGACGGGCTGCAGCGAAAGTGAGTGTCCTAAATTTAAGGCGGAGTCGATGGAGGAACTTTTATAAACTCTAAAATGCTGCATCCGCAGTCGGATGCAAGAGCGACAGCATGTGCCCGCCAACCCAAGCCTGCGTGAACAAAGAGTGCATCGACATCTGTCTGGTGATGCAATGTGGACTGCACGCACAGTGCCAGGCCGATGGATTCCACAGGGCCAGCTGCCGCTGCCCGGAGGGATCCTTCGGCAACCCCTACGAGGAGTGTCGAAGACCGGAGTGCTCGGTGAACCAGGATTGTCCGTCTTTCCTGGCTTGTCAAGCTGGAAAGTGCGTTGATCCTTGCAACTGCCCTCCCAGCGCGCAGTGTTACGTCGACGACCATCGCCCCACCTGCAAGTGCACCGCAGGTTTCGTGGGCGACCCCTACGTGTCCTGCACTATAGGTAACTTTATTGTTACACCTGCGAATTAACCGTTTAAAATTAATCGACGCTCGATAAACGACGCACTCCGTGGTGACGGTATTACAGAGCCTGTCAAGAACCGACCCGAATGTCAAAATGACGGGGACTGTCCAAACAAATTGGCCTGCTTCGACGGTACCTGCGAGAACCCCTGCGAGCATTCCGTACCCTGTGGCACGAACACTAAGTGCACCGCCGTTGGCACCCTTCCGACCAGGACGATGATCTGCGAGTGTCTGCCAAATTTCATCGGCGATGCCAACGTTGCTTGCCGACCATGTAGGTATCACCTGCGTCATCACTTGCGCGACGAGGGAACGCGTGCTAACGTTATCCGTCCTCTTAGTGGAAAAAGTCATCGAGCCGGAGTGCACCGCGGATTCGGAGTGCAGCCACGACGAGGCGTGCCTGAACAGGAAGTGCACCAACCCCTGCACTCTCAGACTGTGCGCGAACTCGGCGGAGTGTCGGATGCGCGACCACCGGTACACCTGCAGCTGCCCCCCTGGAATGATCGGCGACCCCTACGTCTCCTGCTATCGAGGTAAGTCCCCGTCTCTTCTGTTTTTTAAATGGTAGCGCCCGAGTAATCGAGTTTCAAAGAGAGTCTCGAAAAGCTAGGTCCGATGGAAATGTTCCCTCTGTCCGACAGAAGTCTCCATCACGCCGGAGTGCGAGTCGAACTCGGATTGTGCCCCGACCTTGGCCTGCGTGAACCAGGTTTGCCAGAATCCGTGTCTGGATAGAAATTGCGGATCGAACGCCGAGTGCTCGACCATCGACCATCACCCGACCTGTAACTGCCAGCAAGGGTTCGCGGGTAACCCGCAGGTGCAGTGCTTCAGACGTGAGTGTTCGATAGACTTCCGCGACCGCTGTGGAATTTGAATATATACGAAGTTGTACCGCTACGATAAATTTCAGCGAGTTGCCGAACCAACGACGACTGCCCCTACGACAAGAACTGTCGCAACGGCAACTGCGTGACCCCGTGTCTCGGCGACGACGTCACCTGCGGTCGAGGAGCCAAGTGCACCGTGATCGCCCACGAGGCGCAGTGCTCCTGCCCCCCTGGGACGCAGGGCAACCCTCAGATAGCCTGCATCTCGGCAGCCTGCCAGTACAACGAGGACTGCGACGACCACGAGGCTTGCGACAGGCTGAACCGAATCTGCCGACCCGTGTGCGAGGACGACACCTGCGCAACGAGTGCAACCTGCATCCCGAGAGACCATCAGCCCAAGTGCATCTGCGGGCCAGGGACCACAGGGAACCCTCACGTCGAATGCACGAGTAATGCCGAATTTTGTATAAACCACCCGAGTCTCGAAAATAATTCAATTGATCTTTCGTAATTAATTTTAGAAATTATTTCCGTTTCAGGGTTGACGCCTCAGCCAGGCGTCTCGATCGTGCCGGAATGCAGCCAGGATAGAGAATGCGCTTTAGGATTGATCTGCCTCAACGGGAACTGCAAGGACCCCTGCATCACCTCCAACATGTGCAGCGGCGACCAGGAGTGCAGGGTCCTCGACACGGTGCCGCTTCGAATAACCATTTGTCAGTGTCCTAAGGATACGATCACCGACGTCAATGGCAGGTGCAACAGAACGGTGTCGAGCGACGAGTGCAGGTCCGACCAGGAATGCCGAGACCACGAGAACTGTCTGAACGGCGGCTGCAAGGAGGCCTGTCTGGACACGAACTGCGGAATCAATGCTCAATGTCGGTCCAAGTCGCACACCGGGATCTGTACCTGCTCCCCGGGTTACACAGGGAACCCTTACGTGGAGTGCTCAAAAGGTGCTACTTGCTACTTGTCGATCGTGACAATCCGATCATCGGCGACGTTCGTTCAACTCCTCCTCCATTTTAGTTCCCCCCGATTCCGGATCGTCGGTGTTCGTGGACTGCTACAGCAACGACGACTGCTCGAGCGACAGACGATGCACCAACTCCCGATGCATCAGCCCCTGCCTCGTGGATAACCCTTGCGGCAGGAACTCCCTTTGCCACGTCAGCGACCACCGGCCGATCTGCAAATGCCCCATCAGCTACGCGATCGACCGCAACGGAAACTGCGTACCGCGTAAGAGCTCCTCCTTGACGTCCTATAACTCATCTCGAGGAGTTTTGGTTTCTTCGCTTCCGGACAAGGTCTCAGCAGTTTTTCCCATCCTTGCAGCCAGCATAATAGCGGAGTGCAGGTCCAACTCGGACTGCCCCAGCACGGACAGCTGCATCAACGGACTTTGCACCAGCCCCTGCAACTGCGGCGACAACGCGAAGTGCGTCGTCCTGAACCACTACCCATCCTGCAGCTGCCTTCCTGGTCACTCCGGGAATCCTCAGCTGGGATGTACGAAACGTAAGTATCCAGAAAATGCTGCTGGAATGTTTTCGGTTTTAATGCGAGATTATCTTTGCAGTGGAGTGCGAGTCCGACACCGACTGCGGGTCCCAGGAGACGTGCTACAACAATCGATGCATCAACCCCTGCAGCCTGGAGAACGTTTGCGCGATAAACGCCGAATGCTACGGACAGAACCATCGCTCCGCTTGTCGATGTCTACCCGGGTATAACGGGAATCCTCGGGCGGTCTGCGAAAGGGTGGAGTGTAGCAGCAATTACGAGTGCGTCTCCAACCTGGCCTGTCAGAACGGCAGGTGCGTGGACCCGTGCATAGAGAATTTCCCGTGTGCCCAGAACGCGATCTGCGCCGTGAGGAGCCACGAGCCGTTCTGCAGGTGCCCGGAGCACCTGCACGCCGGAGACCCTTACTCCTATTGCCAACGACCCGCGGTGATCGTCGACCAACCCGAGTGCAAGCTGGACGTGGAGTGCCCCAGCAAGCTGGCCTGCTTCGACGGGGTCTGCAAGGACCCCTGCGCGGAGATCAGACCCTGTCTGGCGAACGCCAGGTGCAGCGTGCTGGACACCGCGCCGGTGCGCACGATGGTCTGCACCTGCATCCAAGGCTGGCTGACCGACCTCGACGGAACCTGCAAACCGAGTAAGATGGAAACTTAATATCTTATTTGATATATTTTTATTTACGGACTGGATGACGACGAGAATCATTTTCAGTTCCTCTGGCGCCAGTCGGAGGCTGCACCGCGGACGACGAGTGCAGCGACCAGGAGGCCTGCATCGCGAGGCTGTGCAGGACCCCCTGTAGCTGCGGCTCGAACGCCGAGTGCTACGTGCAGAATCATAAGCCGGTCTGCTCCTGCAGGCCAGGGTACCAAGGGAACCCCTACACGGCCTGTACCTCGGTTGAGTGCAGGACTCACGTGGACTGCCCCTGGGACAGGTCCTGCCTGAACGAGAACTGCGTGAACCCCTGTCTCCTGTCGAACCCGTGTGGGCTGAACGCCGAGTGCTTCGCACGCGGCCACGTGGCCGACTGCAGCTGCAGACACGGTTACCACGGAGATGCGTTCGAGCGCTGCGACGTCATCAGGTGCTACACCAACGCCGACTGCCCGGCGAATCGCGCCTGCGTGAACGCCCAGTGCGTGGACTCCTGCGTCCAGGAGAATCCTTGTTCGTCCAGGGCCGAATGTCACGTTCGAGAGCACCTGCCCATCTGCAGGTGCCCGGCAGGTTACGCGGGCAACCCCTACGTGGACTGCAGCCTCGAGGAGCGACCCGAGTGTACCGCCGACGACGACTGCCCCAGCGTGCTGGCCTGCTTCTCCGGCAAGTGCGAGAACCCCTGCACCGTCATCCACCCCTGCACGGAGCCTTCCGAGTGCCGAGTGCTGCCGACCTCTCCGACCAGGACAATGATCTGCGACTGCCCCAGTGGATACGTCAGCAGCGGCAGTGGCACCTGCCAGGCCATCAAGTCCATTGTCACCATTGAGTGCACCCGCGACAGCAACTGCGCCAGCGACAAGGCTTGCGTCAACGCCCTCTGCAGGGACCCCTGCGGCTGCGGCTCCAACGCGGTCTGCAACGTCGTCGAGCACAAGCCCATCTGCTCCTGTCTGTCCGGATACGAAGGGAACCCTAACATCGAGTGCGTCAAAGGTAAGCGGAGTGGATCCCTTCCTAGGACTTGGCCCACTGCGTCGACCTGACCCGATCTTCCCGTTTCAGCCACGGGCTGCAGGTCCGATCGCGAGTGCAGCGGCACCGATGTCTGCGTGCAGCGCAGCTGCATCCAGGCCTGCACCTCCAGCCTCGTCACCTGTGCCAGGGAGGCCGAGTGCCGCGCCATCAACCACAGGGCGATCTGCAGGTGCCCCGCGGGATACGAGGGGAACCCCCGAGTCTCCTGCATCCTCGCGGAGTGCCGCAGCAATTCGGACTGCCCGACCAACAGGGCCTGCATCAACAGCAGGTGCGAGGATCCTTGCCTGGCCAACCCCTGCCAGCCCGAAACGATCTGTTCCGTCAATGCCCACGTCTTTGAGTGCACCTGCCCGCCAGGGTACGCTGGGAGCGCGAAGACGGGCTGCACCAAAGGTACGACGTTTCCTTACCGGGAAGTTTTCTCGAAAATAATCAGCTTCTAAATTCCAAACGTCCATTCCAGTGGCCGAAAAATGCAAGATCGACTCCGAGTGTCCTGCCCAGTTCGCCTGCTTCGATGGGGAGTGCATCAACCCCTGCAAGAAGATCCAGCCCTGCGGAGTCAACACCAGCTGCAAGGTGCTGGACACCGTCCCTGTGCGGACGATGATCTGCAAGTGTCTCCCCGGGTATTTCGGCAACGCCATCGTCCGCTGCACAAAGGGTATGCGACATTAAACGATCGATCGTGCCCTGAATATTTATTCGAGTAATCTTTTCACCGTTCGAACCTTCAGCTCCCATCTGCGAGGCCGACAGGGGTCAAATCCGCGACGAGAACGGCAACTGCGTGTGTGCTCCTGGCAGTGCTCTCAACGCGAACGAGATCTGCGTTCCCTGTCGCACCAACTCCGGGATGATCATCGACAACAAGGGATACTGCGTTTGCGCCCTGGAGAGGGGCATGATCATCGACGAGTACGGTCGTTGCGTGTGTCCCACGGAACACGGATACGTCCTGGATGCATTCGGATACTGCAAACTCGGTAAGTGACCCTGCAACGTTTTCGCGGTATCGGGATCATTTCTCGTACCTTCCCCAGTTGGACTTACATGCCTGAGCAACGACGAGTGCGTCGACAGCCAGTACTGCGAGAAAACCACGAAGACCTGCGAGGATCCCTGCAGGAAGCAGATTTGTGGGGGGAATGCCGTTTGCAGTGCGACCAACCACCAGGCCATCTGCTCCTGCATACATGGCTACAGTGGCGACGCCTACTTCTATTGCAGTAAGTGAACGAGAAGAGCGATCCTTTTTTCCGGCTACCCGGGGTCGTATCTAAATGGGCGTCGTTCGTCCGGTTCGTCCTCGCAGATAACAAGAGGGACTGGAGGACCGACTTCCCCACGCCGGGACTGGTGGCGAACTGCTTGTCGGACGGCGTGCAAGTGGAGATCAACCTGCTGGACGAAGGATTCGATGGCCTGCTATATGTTAAGGGGCACAGCAAAGAGGAGCAGTGTCGACGAATTATATTGATACCCGAGACGATGAGGAAGTACGTGGTGATCAAGATCGCATTTGGAAGCTGCGGCTTGATCCTCATCAATGTAAGTCGGGGTTTAGCTTGTCGTGACTTCGTGATTGCACTTATCGAGGTGACGTTTACGGGGCAAAATTTGAAACGGTTCGCCGTCCCTCGGAGGTTCCCGTTGATTTGCGTTTAATTTTTTCCCAGGGCGAGGCGAGCTTCGTGCTGGTCATCCAGAAGCACCCGAAACTGGTGACGTACAAGGCGCAGGCCTATCATTTCACCTGCATTTACCAGACCGGGGAGCAAAACGTCACCCTCGGCTTCAACGTCTCGATGCTGACGACCGCAGGGACGATCGCGAACACCGGCCCTCCTCCGACGTGTCTCATGAAGATCGTCGCCCAGAACGGGAACGAAATCAGCTCGGCGGAAATCGGGGACAACCTGATGCTGCAGGTGGAGGTGCAGCCGTCGTGTAAGTCGAGTCAAACCTAGAGTCGATTTACAGAGATGAGTGGAGAGAACGCTCGCGGTCTCCGCCTCATCTCAGCAATTTTTTAAACTATTCTGCGACCTGCAGAAAATTAATGCCGACATCATTTTTCAGCGATTTACGGCGGTTTCGCCCGCAATTGCGTGGCGAAGACGATGGAGGACAATCAGGAGAACGAGTACCTGGTGACCGACGAAAATGGATGCGCCACCGATCCGACGATTTTCGGCGAGTGGGAGCTCAATCCTGACTCCCAGTCTCTAATGGCCAGCTTCAATGCCTTCAAGTTCCCCAGCAGCGACAACATCCGATTCCAGTGCAACATTCGCGTGTGCTTCGGTCGTTGTCAGCCGGTAAGTCCCTGCAAAACGATAGGTTACGATGAAAGATGTCCTGGAATTAATGGCGCGATTTTCTCAGGTTAACTGTCGAGGGTACAACGCCTTCGGACGTCGGCGCAGGTCCATCGACTCCGACGCCAACGAAACGTTGAGCAGCGCGACCGAAGAGTACGAAGGCCAGTTGAGGGAAGAAATAACGATTCAGTCGAATTTGATCTTCACCGTGGAGAGGAGAGAAGAAAGATACACGGCGGACCCCGCCGAAGGTAGTAGTTTCTTTTGGCAGTGCGTGGCGTGGGCGGTCATGGTCGTCACGGCGTGTTTTCATTTCCGAACGGAGAGATGGATAAATCAGGTCGAATCGACGAGAGGGGATGAAACGGCTCGCCATTTCTGTTCCAGTTCCTGCTGCCCAGCGCGTGGAGGACATCTGCGTGTCCATGGTGGGCTTCGTAATCTCGTTGGTGATAACGACTCTCCTCGCCCTGGTCGCCGTCGCCATCGCCGTTTCTTGTTGGCTGATGGCTTACCGACGCCTGCCAAAGAGCACGGGACCCCTGCCACATCCCCCCGAGTTCCCGAACCCTCTGTTCACGACGGAATCGGTGGCCGAACCGTCGCCCGACTATCACATCTCCTAGACATTAGTTGAACGTTACTTGGGCGATGCTCGGTCAAGGATATTAATTTAATCCACTCTCAGCGCGGAACATCGTCCAACTTCTTATTGCTAGCGAAAGCTCGATCGTAATCTATCGGCATCTCCTTCGGCGACTGATTCTCGTATCTCTTTCGAAGGATCGAGCGAGACGCCTCCTTCTTAGTCTGATGAATCGTACTAATTTATCTCTTAATATACCTTTTACGTTAAGTTTTACGTAAGTTCGCTTTCAGTCGCCGGAAGACTTGTCTTTTTCTCCGCACGTCATACAACGAATTCATCCCCGGTGCATTGCAAAGCTAAATAAGCTGTACATTTTATACCTAATCAAAATGTATTAAGATGACGACGTTCGCTTTATTATTTAATAATGGGGTTCGCGGCAACCGAAATGGGGGAAAACACGGTCGAAGTGAAATCCAATCCGCGACTCTACGTGAACCCGGTGACCGTTCGCCAGACCAAGATGGCGATGCTCCCCCCGGTGTACATGAATAGCAGAGACTTCTCCTGGTAGGTCATCGAGAAGGAAAACGACTCGCCGACGATCACTTGAAACGGGGGACTGAATTTCTGGTCCACGGCGTGCTTTATCGTCTTTGCTGCCAACTCGTAATTGTCGGCGTACTTTTCGACGGCCGTTACGCAGAGCTCCGTCACTTCCTGCCTCATCTCCTCCGACATGTCGTTGTACTGCAAGGATACGCATCTAATTCACTTTCCCCGAGCACATTGACCATCGTTATTCCGCTATTATACCTTGCACAACGGGTAAGTGTGCGTCACCAGCGGTGGGACCTCCTTCTTAACCTCTCCAGCCGACATGGGAGAAAACTCGAAGGCGAATCTCTTTCGCAAAACTACGATTCAAAACTAGCTCGCGACCCCCCGTTTGACATCGTTCCACGTTTTTGACATTTCGGCAGTTTAGATTCTGAGCCCTTCGGACCTGTCGACGAAAATTTGCGAATCGCGAGACGCAGCACCCGGTGTTCGACTTCGTGCTAGCAATTTGTTACGCGATCGATACGATTCGAACTAAGATCGTTTCCAGGCTCAAGCGTTGCGGATTTCTCGCAGAAGCCGCGCGAGTCTTGGGTCCACCTCCACATCCTCGAGTCTCCGTTCCAGCGCCTTAAAGTCCGCCCTTTCGATCCACAGCGGGGGGTCGACCCCATAGGGAGGAAGCGGCGTGAACAATCTCTCGCAGACGGCACACACGCCGCACCACGATCTAAAATTAAGGGGCTCCTTAATTTCGCCAACGAGCTGCCGAAAACGCTCCCACTGTTCCTCGGTCAGCGGCTTGCCCATCACTTCCCGAAGACCGGGTCTGACCCCTTCCGGCAGAACGTATCTTTCCCCTTCCGGCGTTTCTTCGTACCTTCTCTTGAAGGCCCGCCCATACAAGAACTTCCTCTCGGGGATGGGAGACACGTGTTTGCCGAGATACCCCAGGGGTGTCAGACCTGGAACCCCGGGAAAAGAGAGTAGCGACTGGAACTCGGCTCGGCATTGGGGTGACCATCCAACGCAATGAAACGTTCTCTCGGCCAGGATCTTAAACTTACCGACGAGGCTCTGACTGCCCAGGATCTCGAATCTCGCGCTCTGTCGGGAAAAGACTCTGGGAACTATCTCACCCGGCTGGCCGGAACTCGGTCTCGGCGTTCTTGGAACGGGATGCACCTCCGTCTTCACTCGCAGCGCCTCCTCCAAGGCGAGTCTCCTCTGCAACGAGCCCGATGGCAAATTCTCCGCGTTACCTGCACCTGGAACTCCTACCTTGAGATCGAACTCCTCTTCCACTTTGTCCGCATCCAGTTCCCTGGCTAGGTGTTTAAGAAGGCGAACGTCGATGAAGCTGGAAGGCGCCCGCGGTTCCGAAATAGGCAACGGCGACACGGGTGGTGGCGTCGTCGGGACACTGGCGTCCCCCATCGAGGCCCTTGCTCTGGTATGGATCGTTCCATTATCGATAAACGTTAACCAGAGCTCCAATAAACGGTAAACTTGCAGTAATTATTAATGAAACGTACGACCCAGCTCTGGATCCATCATCGACCTGGGACACCTGAGTTTCCACCGGTTCGGGTGGGTCCCTGACCTCTCTTTGCTGACCATACGTCGAACCTCTTCTGCATTTTCGTTTTCGCAGTTTCTTCCCTCGGCGACGCATGGGAACCTCCTCGCTTTCGCTTCCGCCATCTCCGGAAGCGTTTCTGGAGGAATCCTGAAGACGTCTCTCGTGGGTCATTTTTTCCTGGTATTAGCAAAAGGTGCGTCTTACGTCGCTGAGCTCCTCGATCGCAGGCGGGTGTTCTTCGGGAGGTAACGAAGGATTCATCGACGCAGTCGACGGTAGTTGACGCGAAGCTGGCTTGGAGATGGTGACCTGGGTCCGGCGAAACGTCGGCGGCGGCTCCAAAGTCAGGGTGTGCCAACTCAGAGTTTCGGTCTCCTGGAGGTAAAAAATAGAAATAAAAAAAATGTCTCATACGTAATAATTACATAGAATGCAAGGTACGATCGACTGAAGCGACTGAAATGATTTTTGAACCGAGAACATTTGCCGTTTGTGTATTTTTGTTATGAACCGTGAAGAACTCTTGGACATGGAAATCGGTGGACGGAAACGTGGAGTTTTACGGTGGGTTCACCTGGTCTTGCTGGTTGGCTCTGAGATCGAGCACCAGGGTCGTCCTCTCGCGAAAGTTGCAGGTCGTCGAGGCGTCGTCGAGCGTTGGTCGGTACGACAAGGGTGGACCACTGGCCAGGGTCGGGGTCGGGGTCAGAGGCCGCGAGTCGGTGTCCGTGTACTTCCTGAAAAGCTCTTCCGGCACGATCGCCGACCCGTCCACGGTGCGACTCCCTTTTCCGGAAGCCTCTTCCAGGTGAATCCGACCACCTGCCAAGAGCGACTTCCGGATCAGCTCCATTTCCACCGGTAGGAGGAGAGCCTTCCCCTCGGTGGCCTGAGAGTTACAATTTTGATATACTTCATGGCTTCGAGATGAAAAATTCCCAATCATGATTTATGCATACCCAAGTGTCCTTGGCTCTTCTCACGACTTCCTTTGCCTCGCAATCGGCCGGATGGTTGCACAGAACCGAACATCCGTAAGGGTAAGGGTTGAACAGCCCAGCAAACGGCTTCAACGTGAACGGCGCGGGCGTGGTCGAGCCAGAAAGCTCCACTTTCTGAAATCAAGAGACAAATCTTCACCGTTTCCCTGTGGACATTTTTGCGGAATTTTCTCGTTATCGCGCGGGGCAAAGAGCGAAGCTCACCTTGGGCTGAGGTCTGTAAACTGGTCGCACCCGCGCCGCTATGAGACCGGTCGAGCTGGCGTCGCCTGGCATATTTTACCGGAAAAAGAAAAATGCAGAAACTGCAGCGAGACCCGCTTTACCTCGGTCGGCGTTGGAATGAACGACCTCCTGCCTCCTGGAATTCGGAAGGGCGCGTTGCCACGGACGCTGCTGGGTCGATCGAGAAGTTTTCCCGAAGCGACCGTGCGGTTCTCGGGGTAAACTCGTTATTTTTTCTTCTTTCCATTCTTTTTACCCATAATTGGTCCGGTCCCCAATTCGTGGATATTTTCTGACGCCAATTATGTAACCGATCGCAGGCTCGGTATTATTACCGCCGATCGATCGGGGGTCGGTGGAAGGATCCAAAAGTAGGATAGGCGCAAAAAATTCCGACATAGAAGTTGGATACCGGAAAGAGGGCAGAAGCTGGATTCTACTCTACGTACACTTCCTTTTCGTTTATTCGCGTAGCGGACGTCAAACCGACAAGAACTTAAGCAATTGTCGCCGACATTTTGCCCGCGGTATAGTATACGTTTACTTTGAGTTCACTTTAGAAGAATATCTCTTTATCTCTAGTGAGTTGGATATGGACACTCAAACGCATCTTCGACCAAGACACTTCGGTTATGCATTAAAACGGTGCCATTACGATGTACAAGCGTGCGACATCCGCCATTTTACGCTTCCGAACTCTTTGTACTTTTCGACGAAGCAGTCATCGTCTAAAGTCGCGGAAGGGTTTAAAAAGAAGTAGAGAGAAAATTCGTACGGGTACCTAGATCTGTACCCGCGCTTAAAGGTGCGCGGACGAGTACATTAAATCTAACGTTTAACATCTATGGAATCGTCAAAATCTGATGCACTATATTATAACATTCTCCGACGATCGCTGTATTTCCGGTACTTCGGGTTTTGGTCACGCCATTTCTACGCGTAATCAATTTGACTAGAGAATAGTGGCTTTGTTCGACTTGAAACAATAGTTTAACGAGACACTAATGTTTAGGACGATACGCATTATCATGTTCCGGCCGTGCGTAAATTCTTTCCGCGATTCACTGAACGGCGTGGAATATTTACTTGCACGATAATGGCAACGATGCGTTTTTTCTCCCGGAAACTAACAAAATATTTTACCTCTCTTAACAAAATAGTGGAGACGCGTCGATATAAAATTCCGTACAATATCAACATCCTATCACAATCATTACGAAATTGATCAAGTGAGGCCGTATCGAGAGATAGTTACTTCTATCGAAACTAAACCGGAGAGATTTGATTTTTCGTGCACGTTCTAGCGACATTCCCGAGATCGATGGGTTCCTCGATGACTCCTTTGTCTTTACGAGTTAAAACACTTAAATAACGATACATATACAGGTAAGTACTTAGACATCATGGAATACCATAAAAGACTCTGGACACGCCTCGCTAAGATCTCGCTCCATCGCGCTCAAGACTTTTCTTTTCCATTTCGACACGTATAAAACGAAACCGAGTTACGTGCACGAATTGTACGATTCTAGCTTCGACAAAAACTGCCTTTTGTTCCCTTAACGGAGATACGCAGGAGCTAAACGTATGAAAATCGGCTCGAAAAATCCCTCCACGGGTTGGCAGAAAAAACTTCTCAACTCGGACTGCCGAGACCGCCAGGCTTCGCTCCCCTTCTCCTCTCGCGGGCTTCTGGATTAAACGTCGTCGCTGTCTTCCGACGTGGTCTTTTGCCTGAAATTCGCATCGACGTAAGGATTGGCCTTCTCCTGCAGCGGGGCCGAAGTCGTGCAGGTTCGAGACGAGCTGTTGTAAGCGCTTCTCGTGGACTCCCTTGACAAAAAGTTGCGATCTTGACATCCGAATCGCTTAAGCAGAAGCCTCTTGATTTTGCTCTTCCAGACGAAGATGACGAAGATGATGACCCCCTGCAAAGTATTCCCGATATCGGAGACGTACCAGATGTACTTCGGCGAGGACTCCTCGAACAGCCAGGAGATGATTTCCATGGACCAGCTGATGCCCATCACGATGAAGAGTTTCAAATAGAGATTGAACCTAAAAATTGAAGCATGAAATATTGAAAGATGAGTTAAGTGATAAAATGAACGAATCATCGCACAAACCATTGTTTATTGTCATCGTGTCTCCTGCTGTCGGAGCCCTTCAGGTGATGGGCAGTGTCCTTCTTGTGGCGAACTATTTTGATCGCCGTCGAGACGAAGAGACAAATATTGCAGGCCACCGTGACGCCCATGGGTCCATAGAAGTATATCGCCCTGGCCATGTTAGCTAAAAGCAAGCAATGTCCACGGATCGATAATTTTACGTCTAGAGTATCCGGCTCGACTTCTCGGTAAGCAGTTGAGCAAACGAGGGAAACGAAACGTTTTCCACTAATTACGCTTACGAGGAATTAGCGAGTCCCGCGAGACGCGCTGCCGTGTCGCTCTTCGCTAACTCTTCGCTAATCCAGCATATGGCGGTCGACGGAAATTAGGTGCGACGGCTAACTAGAAAACTCCGGTTTACCCGGGGGCGAGATTCTGGAAATTCAAGGGAACGGGTCGAATCGCCGTTGGGCACATATGGCCTAATTTAATCATGCCTTTCGGTAATCGCTTAAATAAATGAGCGCGGCGAGGTGCCCTTCTAATTGTGCCAACCGAGAATTAGTATACGACCAGAAATATCGATACGTGGGGAATTGGATACGAAACTCGATGATGAATTCCCATAACCGGAAGGGGTTGGTCGAACTTCCAGCTGGCTCGTGTTAAGGGGGAATAACGGGAGCTCTTACCCTCCAAATTGGTTGGTAAATGTCCAAATTAGTTGCGACGTTACCAATCGGTGGGACACGACGACACGATGGCGTCTTAACGTCGATTCTTTTGAAGGCAACGCGTTCCCGTAACGGTTAAATGATTCCTTCGTATTAAAAATTCATTATAAATTGTAAAGAACGTTGTTACAGGTTAGGGAAGGGAAATATGAGATAAAGATCTCCATGCAACGAGGTCGCCCACAAAACCACATCCGTCCTCGCCGCGTCCTCCTCGATAACGCGGTCGCGATACGTTCTACGATTCGCGCTCGCCAAGTGGAAACGCTTCTCCAGGAATCGTTCGTCGGGAGGACTTTAGGAAAAGCCGCTGGCCTATTGGAAATTGGACCGTGGAACCGTTCGTAAATCTTTCGCGAATACCGGAAATCATACAAGATGCTCTATATCGAACGAAGCACGCCGGCCGGAGCCGCCCAACGGTGATAGTGCCCGGAAATTTATTGCGCCCGATTTTAAAGCGATTTTAAAGCTCGGCTTTAGCGCTGAAATATGGAGGCGTTACGAGGGAACGAGGATAAATATTGAAAACGGAGATTAATCGCATGGACGCAGTAATATGATTGAGATGACGCGATGCGATGAAGCGAAAGGCATTTCTCAAGATGGCCGCCGCCTCATGGAAAAATCTCGTCTCGTCAAACCCGACGCCAGTAATTAAATGACCGAAAGACGCTTAAATGCCACCGGGTGCGTCATCCCGCGAGTCCTCGGCATCCTCGCAAATGCAGCGAGAAAGGTGGACATTGCGATAGCCTGAATTCTTAAGCCTGGTGAAAGTCTCGGACATTGAACGAGAATCTTCCTCCTACGTGACGAGGGAAATGGCGTCGAAACGGTTAATCCGACGTATGCATTTAGCGGCAGTAATTTCGACGTTTATAGGAAGGGGTTGGCCGGGGCGATTATTCCGTTTACCGCGGTAGTTACAAACGGACGAACCTATTTCGTACGCAAAATATGGAACAATTCTTCCCGGGTAATTTTCAGCGCATCCGCTTCGACGACAGCGTTTTCCGTCCATTAAAACGTGATCACGAGGGAGAAGAAGAGGCTGGAGAGGGACGCCATTTTGGACGGAGGGTCGGCAGCGCGTTTTTACTCGCAGTCGTCGATTCGACTTCACCCCTCCTGTTTCCGGTTTTCGATCCGATTAATAAAAGTAAAGCGAAAGTTAATTATTATCGAGAACTCACTGTAATACCAGCAGCTACCGACGCCAAATTCAGGGCGAATATAATGCTTGGGGATGCCGGGCACCAGATCCATTACCATGCACACTGCGGTTAGCAAGGTGGCGCATCCCCAGGCGTAAATCGAGTACATGATGAATTTCTTTTTTTCTCGCTGCTTTGCGCTGCCCTGCAGAGACCGGAAGCCCCTAGAACAAGAGGAGAGCGTCAGAAAACCGGAAGCGAACACGGGAAACATCGACAACTGGGACTAGGCAAGCTTCATTGGAATAAACGCGGGTGAAGGAAAATGGCCGAAGTCGGAGCTCCGAGGAAACAAGATGGCCGTTTGGGGGAATTCGCATAAATAGTCTACGCCAATGCTGCATGCCTCGACAATGGCTACCGTTTAAGGATCTGCCCTACTCGGTTCTACCGTCGCATTACTTTCTGTACATACACATACACGAAATACAGGTCTCTCGTCGAAATTTGCGGAACCGAAGCGAACGAAGGATGCATAACCCGCTATTTTCTACAGAGTGAATTCGAAAGCTAACGACGGTTATAGGGGTAGGTGGGTTTGCGGCGTTGATAAAAGGAAAAGTTGAAAGAATGGTTGAAAAGAGAAAACCCCTAGTGCGTTTCTAAAGTGCGTTTTACCCACCCACTCACCCTTGATTTGGGAGAATTACCTTCGCAGAGGGTAAGCTTGGAAGGAAAGAGATCTTTTATTTTTCCTGGGAACGAGCGTTCCATTTACTATGCTACACATTGTAATCGGGGATTCAACGGGAAGAGTGCCGAGTGTCGCCTACATTTTTTTCTCCCGTTTTTTACATCGCTGGATGTTTATAATAAACGTGTTCGGTGACGTCGCCAGTTTTTCTAGCCCCGCCAGTTTCTCACGCTTAAACGGGCGCAGCCGCTCGACGTCCGATGCGGCTGTAAGAGACTTTTCAGTTTGACGTTTTAATACTTTCTTCCTCCAGGGGCGAAAAGAAGACCGAGGTATATAAATGGAATGAATAGTTACCTCGGTATCCGAGAGGCATTTAAGGATTACGCCATTTGTCCCTTGAGAAACGGCGTCTCCGATTTTCTTTTTACGGCGTCCGAAAGAAATCCGAGTTGGCTCGGCAATAAAGGTCGCCCTTTCTTCCAGGACGTCACGTGACAAAGCGCGCGAGATTTAAATTGGAAAAGTTGGCTTAAAGTTGGCCGCGGGTCTAGCCGGCGACACGAACCGTTCCGTTTATGGCTTAATGTATATCAGGGCTTGTAAAAAAAAAAAAACTCCGCCATAAGAAATTTCTCGCGTCGCGTCGACTGCACCGGAGTTAACGATCGCAGTTACGGGGTTGCATGGATAACAACCACGGGATATGGAATTAAAGATGGCTATCGGCTTTCGGCGCATATAAAGGACTATGCTTTTTTTTTTCAGCCGTCACGTGAGAGTTTCGTCCAAAAGGGGCCGGTGCTCCCAGGAGGGCGTCACGCCTAGACGCGACCATTTTCTGCGGCACGCTTGTTGACTTTCCCGCACTCCAAGGAAATTGAACGTCGGGAATATTGGGCAACGTGACGTCCCGAGACGTCGCAGGGTCGAGGGATGATCGTTCGATGCAATATTTGAGCGATCCATCGACGAACATCCGAAGTCAATCAGGCAATTGAGTACTCGGGGCGCCTCGCGCGGCGGCCATTTTGGATCCCGGAAAGAAGAACGACGCGACTCCGCGAATCTTCGCAACGACAATGAATTTTACAACTTACTAAAGTTCCTAATTGCTCGCCCGTTCGAACAATTTCCCGCCGCCGCGGCGATTCATGGACAATCCCTGCTCGTTAACGATCGGTCGCATTAATAATTGGCCTTGGTGTTGGCCGAAAGTCCCAAATTTAACCGCGGGGAGTCACGTACCGAATATTAATCGAGGGTTCGCCGGTGTTTATCAATTGTCAAACGTCCCTGATGTATGCGCTTTCTCGGCAAAGGGGACGCCACAATGTCATCGGAGATGCGCGTTATTTATAAGTGGCCCGTAGATTACCAAAGTATTATCGCGAAATATACACGATGAAGCGAGACGACGATACGCGCGATTATATTTTATTCGTACACGCCTGGAGTTAGGCAGAAAATGCGCAGGAAAAATCGAGAGACGCTTTCTACGACCATCTTTTACGATTCCACTTTCCTGCCCCGGAAACCGCCTCGATAAGGCCAAGTAATTGGCGCTAGCCATTTTAAATATGCAATCCACGAGAAGTCGTAGAATCGCCCGGGGCTTTTAGCACGCGCTCTCCGCGGGAAGTGTAAAATCGATGGAAACTTTTCGTTCCGATCCGCCGGCGAGGGAAAGGGAGAAACTAGGAATTCCCAACTCCCGAAATACTTTGTCCACCTAATCGTTGATCCTCCCAACGGGAAAATCGTCGAAACGTCTCGGCTAAACACCGAACGCGGTGACGTGTAAATCATGCCGCGATATTTGTGAGTTTCGCTCGACTCGAAACTAAAATCACGGAATACTCTTTTTGTCCCCGTAGGCGCAATCGTTTACGGAAACGTTAATCTCTGGAGGTCCAGTTTCGCTCCCGCGGGACCCAATGACGCGACTCGATAAATATGCCGCCCCGACGCCATTTTATGTGCCGCTTAAATAAGCTATCAAGGACGGGTGGTTTCATGGGAGATAAATTGGACGGCACTCACCCGAAGGTCCACCAAATGTCGAAGCACATGACGTTCAGCCAGAAGAAGCTCGCCAGGAAGGAGAAGTGGATGATGAACGCTGGAAAAATGAAAAATGGAATATTAGTCAACGCCCGCGGCTCGGCCAAGCACGAGTCTATTTTCTATTTCTTTGTAAGGAAAGTAGGATAACTCGGCCGCGTCTGAATAAAATTTCCGTCTCATAAATCAAACGTGGATGTGGTTTTTTTTCCAAAACCGATAATTCTTCACATCTTTATCGTTAAATACTCGAAAAAATGGAATCGCTTTACTCGGGAAAAAAAGAAACGTTTCGTTAGCGCAAACCCTGGGTCGTGTCCTCGATTATACATTCCCGTTGCGTGCAGTATTGCACTCGGTTTACCCAGGTATGTCACCTCTTGGGAAAAATCGATCGAGCGGTCTCCCCTTTCAACCCGGTCCCGAGGTGGTGAAATAAATCCCGCAAAAAGAGACCGGTAAAGGAGACGAAAGCGAGTGGGACGAAAGGGAAATACAATGGAAGCAGATAGGACTGCCCGATGAATCATGGAGAACAGCTGATGTACAGTCGTGCGCATATGCTTCGGGATTCTCCAGAAAATTCCCGTCAATTTCGCGGCCGTAATTTTCGCCGGTTCTGGATCGATTTGGCCAAAGTAGATGTAAATCGAGGTGACCGCGTTGACTATGCGACGCCATTACAATGACAATGTCTTGGCCGACCCGGAGTGCCCGAAACGGTCCACCTCTGGCCATTGACACGCGAAAGCCAAAATGAAAGACGAAAGAGGGTCCTTAAACGGAACAAAGACCCGACCGACCCGAAAACGCGCGAAGAAGGCTAGAAATAATTTGGCACGTTGGACCATGTGCCTTAAAAATATTCGTCCAGGATCGTTCAGCCTCGGACCGAGCGAAGAATTGCAGAGAGTTTTCGAGTTTTCCGATTTTCTATCGCTCTTAACCGAGGATATCTACCGAGGGCGATGCAAGTGGAGTCGGGCATGTTCCCCGAAGAGATCTGTACGACGGTCAGGTTGGCATAGGCCACAGCCAAAGAGCCCACGTATCCCCGAAGAGTAAGTCCATGAAGATTCCGAAGCTCCGGCAGGATCGCGTAGATGACAAAGGTGGCGACGAGAAAGGGTACGGAGATGATCATTCCAACGGGGTAAAACGTGGGCTTGTCGTCGGGGTCTTCCGCTTCCATGCCAACCACCTTGTGGTAGCAGAAGAGGACGAGGTACTCCTCGACCTCCGGTAACCTCGTCAGACAGTATTGCGCGAAGAGGAGCACCTCGGCGTTCTTCAGGAACGGCGTGACGACGGAGCCGTTCTTCAGGAGGAAGAATCTCTCCTCGGGATACTCGTGAGAGTACAGCGGGTACCGCTCGCCACCTTGACAAGGGTCCCACACCACGAAGAGGAAGTTCTCCTCGTTAAACGCGAGGTTCGATACCCGCAGGTCGTCTTCGTACACCGCGGGCAAAGGGATGCTGCGATTCCCGTCCTGGTTGCACTTTCGGTCCCTGAGGAAGTGTCCCGGTGGGCAGCAGAAGGAGACGCAAGGCAGACTCGAGGATGGACAAATATTCGTCTCCCCGTTCTCGTCCCGATTATTCCTCGGTACGATTTCTTCTTTCGTCTCCAGTTTTTCGGTGGTGGATCCAAGTCCACGATGAAACCGTCCATCTCCCCCATCTTTCCTCAAAATTCGGCCCTCTTCCAATCCACCGGTCTCCGGATCTCGAGTCGATCCCAGGTGAAGAGCCAAAAAGATCCCCAGCAACCCGCGACCGATCATCTTGCGCGTTCCGAAGCGGTCTGAGTCCGTCGCCGGGTAACCGGGGAACCGGGGAACCGGGGAACCGGAGTCCACGGGGAAAGCCAACCGCAGGATTCAATTTCCGCTTCCGGAGGCCGAGTCACTAATTCCTGATAAATCCGCTCCACTCAACGCTCCACGAGCAGAATCCGACGTGACTCCGCGAATTATCCTGGAAGGTTAAATCCGAATCCAACCCAAAAAACCCTCCCGCGCCCCCTGGGTATTGAAACAAAATCCATCCACGAGTACTCTCCTTAAATATAAAATCTGAAACTCGCGACAGCGGTGGAATCACCCTCGGGGCTAAAAATTCAATCGTCGCTAAGTAGCCAAAGTACCCCAAAGTGGATCCTACCCAAGGTCTTGCAGGCGACATAGGGCATGGCTCCGTCGTGGTCGACCTGGACGACGAAGAGGAAGGAGTACCCCAGGGCGAGGGCCCCCACGTAGCACATGACCGTCTTTCCATGCAGGTTCCTCAATTCGGGCAGAGCCACGTAGACGAGAAACGTTATCATCAGGAAAGGCACGGAAAACGCGATGCCAATGGGGTAGATGGTCATGGTGATGGCCTGCTTCCGATCCTCCTGGCGAAAGCAGACCACCGCGATGGTCTCGTTGAACCTGAGGGACCAGGTGAGACAATAGTCCTGCGGGAGCAGGACCTTGCGTTTGACCGTTACCAAGGACCCGTTCCGGTGCAGCACGAATCGATCGTCAGGGTACATCTTGGGGTTCAACCGATACTTGGCGCTCCCAGGGCAGATCATGTTGTCGACCGTGTAGAAGGCGTCCTCCACCCTGTTTAGCCCCTTCAACTCCTGGGACAATTCTTCGGGGTGCAGCTGTATGTGGCTGCGGCCTTCCTGGGGGGACCAATCGACGCACGTCCCGTTGAAGATCCCGGAACCGCAGCACCGCCTGATGCACTTCTCCGTCAGATTGCAGACGCAGCCGAGGAGGTCGTCCCCCAGGGTCCAGTAGAGATCCTTCGGATAGGTCAGGTTGTCCACCTCCAAGGAGCCGTTGGGCAACGGACGAGGATTCTTCAACGGTACCGAGAGCGACCGAGGACACGGGGCGGAAGTCGACGTCGACGATGGGGTCCAAACGATAAGGACGATCCCGACCAACCCGATCGTTCTCATCGCGACCCTCTTCCTCTTCCTATACTTAAAGCCCTCGAGCTGCCCCTGGGCCTGGCGTTACCTCTTTTAATTGACGTTCTTCGCGTCCCCTGATTAATCTCCGGCGAAGGGACTCGAAGTCAAATCTGGGTTTACATTAAAGTCGTGGGTTGTCGTGGGTTATCGCGGAGAAGTTTCGCTAGTTCGCATCTCTCCTTCGTGATCCGAAACGGGTCCAAAACTGGTGGTTGGGCCCATTTCGAGGGTCGCTCGAAGGAGCCGATGGAGTCCCGGGAAAAACTCGGGGTTCTCTCCGAAGGTGCCGCTCCGCACCTGTTTGAGGCGCGCACTTAACTAGAAGGTACTTTCTGTTTGTTTAGAGAGATTCGGGCCTGTGGAATGAACCCGGCGCGGCGGGTCGGTGCGCAACTTCTCCTCCGGCCCCGCTCGCGCGAGCGAGTTGAAGCCCCTCTCACGAGAGATGGCAGCTGCGCCCGACTTATCGGCCGCGCCTCCGGCGATAAGAGGCTTCGCCTACCTCTCTGCCCACCTGGCAGGGGGCAACCCCGATCTCGATCGGAAGGACCGTACCCGGGCGAGGACGAGAAGAGAGACCACCGCGTTACCTAGAGTCACGCAGAGGGGCCGCACCTCGATGATCCGCTGATCTCCGAGCTGGGTGACGCCAAGGGAGACGTAGGCCACGAAGAGCGCGAAGACGTAGACCCGGAAGGTCTTGCCGTGCAGGTTGTCCAGTTCGGGGAGAACGGAGTAGACGATAAAGGTGGCCGCGAGGAAAGGCATGGACAGTATCATGCCGACGGGGTACATCCCGGGGATCTCCTTGTCGGGTGGAAAGCAAACCGCGACGACGGTCTCCGAGGTGTTCCCTCCGACCACCGAGGCGAGGCAGTAGTCCAGGATGCCGAGGATCCTCTTCGCGTCCCGCACCTCGGACGACTCGGCGTTGCCCAGCGAGTACTCGAAGACGCTCCCGGTCTCCAGGAGGTAGAAGACGTCCATGTCCGGCTCTCCCGGGTTCAGGGCGAAGCTTCCGTATTTGCAGGGGAACCCGTACACGGGGACCAGCTCGTTCGCCGTCTTCGAGGAGGTCTTCAGGTCCCGAGTGTACAGGGGGGGAAATCGCAGCTCCTCGACCGGGAAGGTCTCGTTCCGCTGGCATCTCGAGTCCTTGAGGAACCAGCCGGGCTCGCAGCACACCGAGACGCGGGGCGTCGCCCCTGGACCCCCCCTGGAGGTGCCTTCCGGGTGCTGTTCGCAAAACGGTCCACCCCGTTACCAATCGTTCCAAATGTTCGATTATATCGACATAAGAAAAGTAGAAACGACCGAGCACGGTCGGACGGATCCGGCTCTATTAACCGATATTTAAGCTCGATTTGCATCGATCTCGGCACGCCTAGATCGTAAATCGTTCCGTTTCTATTTCCGTGGAAACGCTCGTAACGCCCGCGAAAGGACTCGCGAGACGAAGGGGGGCAGACATTTTCTCACCTTCGCGCCCTGGACGAGATCGGCTCGAGAAACGATCCCCGCTCGGACCAGTTTTCGAGAAACCTCGTCGTAGGCGCGAAGGTGTTTACGATGCGCACCTTCCGAGGGATATGTTACGTTCTCACCTCAGGCCGAGAAAATTCACCACCCGATGGCCGCGGAAGATGAGCATTTACCAGCGACCATTCCCAAAAAATCCCCGCCACGATTAAATACGACAGACCCGACATGTTGACGGAACGACCACCGAATCGACACTGATCGGCCGAACAGGTGGAGTCGGGTGAAAACCTGCCTGAAACCTCTCTCCGGATCGCCGGCGCGACGCATCGTCGTCGTGACGTTGTCACGGATTCTTGCGTACATGGGTCGACGTTAATGCGACCGCTCTTACGTAAAGTGTCGGCGTGATCGATCATTATGGATATCGTAAACGCGAATTGGGATAAGGAAACGTAACGCGTGTGCTCGATTCGTAAAGTATATGCGCCGATAGTTAGCGCTTATCGCGCAAAATGTAAAATTCTTTGCGCGCTTTTTCCTAAATTAAACGATGAGGTGCAGTTTGCCCATCCTCGTATTTTCGAGCCAACGTCCAGTGCCCCTTGGCGCAAGGGTTAAAGGGCTTCCGAAGTCTCCCGTGGCATCTGGTCGGAAAAAAAATGAAAATAAACACGAAAGTTAGGTTAGGGCGTCCACATTTGGATCACTCTTGAGGGTTCGCACACGTTGACTCGGAAGACGCACGTGAGAGTTTTTACGACGCGCAATTAAACGTCCGTTATTAAACAGGGGGTCTTCGGCCTTACGTCGATTCCTCGTTTTTTAGATCCTCCAATTCTCCTCTCCACGCGGAAAAAGAGAAAACGTTTGTAAAAAAGATTGCAACCATGAGCACGGTTTCCGTCGTCCCCTCGGAGAAAATGATTTTCTTAAAGTTTTTTTGAAAGTAAAATTTTGTTTACGACCGTGAATAATTTTTCCTCTTTGGAAGCAGTCCGAGTTTCCCTTCCCGCGTCGTCGACCGGTCTTTTCTCTCCGATCGGGTCCCTCCAAGTATGGAAATCGTGAATCACCGTCTCGATCGGAAGGCTATCGAAGCGATACCGTTCTTATCCGCGTTATCGCTTAGGTACTTAGCAAACAAATACAAACATTCGCTCGTCTGACCTAGACCACCTGAAATGAAAATCGCGTATCTCGTGTTATAAATAAATCCCTTTACTCTAACGAATACTCGCCCCGTTGCTAACAACGAAGACGTACTTCCCGGTAAAGCGGCAAAAACTGCACAAAGAAACGTTAAAGAGGAGGTGCACAAAGGCAAAATATTAAACATTCGGAGGGGGGAGCGTTTACCCGCTATGCACGCCTTCTGCCTCGAGTCCGTTTCCCGGCGAATGGAATTCTATTTTCAGAATTTCTCCGGAAATCACGCGAGGCCTCTATCTCGGCTCGCCGAGGATCAATTGTTCCCCGACGGATCCGGAATGGCCGAATTTCTTGCCCTGGCACTACGTATCGAAGCGCTCTCCATTTCGCGTCGCTCGCTTTTCGAATTCTCGAGGGCCACGTGACCGCCGCCAAGATGGCGGCGGTCACGTGGCCCGCATTTAGCCGTCCCGTCGCACTTCCGATTGCGTCCTTCTCCTCTTTTCTCGATTTTTCTTGGAGGATTTTTCTTTAACGGAGCGTCTCCTTCGACCTTCGTGCTATAAACGAGAGACTCGTACCTCGCTCGTCGCATTCCATCCTCCTCGTAACAGGGGAGACCAGGAGGATCCGGTCAACCGAAATCGTATATAACCTCGGGAAATTCGCGGAGAACTACCGTGCCGACCGTTTCCTGCCGTCCCCATGACGGCGCGTCCACCGGCGTTTATAAACGCCTGAACGCATTAGTGGGGCGTATCAATTTTCAATATTCAAGGGGTAGAGCCGAAGCGGACGAACGCGTTAAAGTCCCCGTACGCATCCAACACATCCAGAGAATGACGCGACGTTAAATTCGAACCGACTTAACGATTAATTAGCACGCCCCGTAAAAGGGGTAGTCCGCATCCTCCATTTCCTCTCCCCCTGTTCGCATTAAGCGAATTAAAATCCTCAATTTCCGACAAGGACGGGCTCTCGAAAGCCTCCGTACGTTATCATCGACCATAATTCGGATGTCCGAAGTACGGTCGGTCCAAAAGCGCGAGAATCGGGTAAAATCCAATCGGGGAATTTCAAGGCCTTCGGGATTCACCCCCCGAAGAGGAAGAGGGAGATAGCTCGCGACTCGATATCGAAATCCGATGACCTTTCAATAGGGAATGGCAATTTCCCCGGAGCCGATAGTTTAAAATTAAAAAGAAATACCGAAAGCGTCGCCCCAAAAACCGGGCCTCACCGATGATCACGCAGGAGAGGTCCCCCAGGTCGGCCAGCTTGGCGGTGATCAAGAAGGAGTACGCCGAGACCAGGCAGAAGACGTAGCACATCAAGGTCTTGCCGTAGATGTTCCGCAGCTCGGGGATGACGGCGTAGACGAGGAACGTTCCCATCAGGAAGGGCACCGAGACGATCATCCCGAAGGGATACACCGCGGTCTCCACGGTGGCCGCTCGGGGCTCCGGCACGAAGCAGACCAAAACGATGATCTTCCTCAAGGACTCGTGCCAGTCGAGGCAGAAACGCCACTGGGGCAGGATCATCCCGATGGCCTTCAGGGTACCGTCGGCCTGGAGGACGAACTTGTCCTCCTCGAACTCCTCGGGTTCCAGCTTGAAGGTGTTCGCGGGGCACATCCTGTTCCTGACCAGAGCGAATCTATCCGGGAGCCTGGTGACGTCGCGGATTTCCGGCGCCAGCTGGGAGATGTCGAAGAGCCTGAGGATGGGTCCGGGGCGATCCGTAGGAAGCGGCACGCACTTGGCGGTCTCCTCGCTGAGGGCCTCCCCGTCCTTGCAGCACTTCCTCAGGCACTCCTTCTGCACCTCGCAGGTGCACCCATGGGTGCCGTTCCGGTCCCTCCAGGTCCACCGAGGTGGGTAGGTCAACCCGTCGTACCTCAGGGAACCGTCTTCTCGAATCCGAGCCTCGTTCTCCGGCAACACTTGCGACAGCATGGGAGAACACGGCGGTTCCTCTTCGGCGAGCACGGGTTTGCCCAAAACGACGATGGCCAGGAAAACGTTCGTCACGAGTCTCCTATCTACCGATCCACGGGTGATCGGAAGTCCCCGTTTAGGCGATCCGCGAGGGTCCATCGGGAGCCTCTTCCTAGACCGATCGCGGACGTTCCCCGCGAATCCCCGTTCGGTCCAAGGATCTCTTTCGGCGTCCTCTTCTTAGGCTGGTCGTAGACGCTCTTCGGGAGCCTCCACGAGAGCCTCCTCGAGAGCCTCCTCGAGAGCCTCCTCGAGAGCCTCCTCGAGAGCCTCCTCTTCGTGGTCGATTCGCAAACGCTCTCCAATGGCATCGAGGTAGCACTCTCGCGGAGTCAGGGCGCGCCGTCTCCCTCGCTCAAAGGGGTGCGATATTCGACGCAAATTATAATGGATTAGCTGGAGCTGGCCTGGTGCTGGCTGTGGTACTCTCGGCGAACTGATCCCGATTTGGAGGGCAGAGAGGCTTCCCGCCAAAAGGGACGCCGCGGATTCGTCGCGCCCGCGCATTTCGCGCCCCGACCGAATCTCGTATCTGCTGCTGGCTGATAAGATTGCGATCGTTTATATTCGCGCCAGAGGGCGGTACGTCGCCACGGATGGAATACCGGTTACCTCGCAGTGATTTATGTCGTCCAATGTTCCTTTTCCAAAACCCGAGCATCCTAACCTCTCATTCCCGTGAGATGTCTAGACCACGGTTAGAAACCTGCGAACGAAACGTCGAGTCGGGGTTGTCGCCTTGTGCCAAGAACTTACGTCCTAACGTCCATTAATTATAATCTTTACCCGAGTGCCAGGTTTACGGCTATCTTGGGAGTGGATTTACGTTCTTACGATGACCCGAAAGGCGCCAACAAATTTAATCGACGTCGATAAAATAAAATTCGTTTGTACCCATACCGGCGACGTAATTTTGAATACTCGAGTGGTATCAACCGACCCACAGGGTTACCGACATCGATATTTTTGCAGCCGTGGGTAAATCGTGGCCATCTGGTGGCAACGCGTTCAATTGTTTACCGACCAGAAAACTCGCTAAATCGAAGTCGTACCCCAATCGACAATGCATTCCAAATGAGGACCAATTCAGAACATAGGTGCAAAATGGCCGCCCTCGGAATATCAACGGAACGACCAAATACCTTCCACACCTTGTTCGGATTAAAATGACGGGGTCAGATTCTTTTCTCCGCACATAAGTAATTACCTCGCGGAGATAATCCTCCACTGACGCAAGAGGCTTTTTTCTTCTTCTTCATCTAGGCGACCCAGTCAAGCAAAAATACGTTACCGATCATCCGAAGACCTCGTCATCGCTTCTCGTCGACGAAGGTGGGGAAAGAGAGGGGATTCGCCGGGGACGGTTTCGCAATTTCTTCTATTATTCTTTGTAACGGACACTTCAAGCCTGGCGAAATCTCAATTACAGAGGCATACAGAAGACACGTAAACGATATAAATAAGTTGCCGCTGAAACCGCACGTTGTGAACGCTCCTGCCGTGCTTCGCCTCTTCGGTGTCTAACGGTCGCGAAAAATAAAGGAGGAGATAGAAAGAGAGACAGGGTTCGGGCGGAGGGACGGTCGTTAATGGGAAAAGGATGCAGGACGGGCGTCTTTAATCCACCTCCTCGATGGTCGGTCCGGAGGTTCCGCCTGCCGCTCCTCCGGGAGCAGCTCCACCGGCCCCGGGGAAGCCTCCGGGCATCCCTCCGGGCATTCCTCCGGGCATTCCACCGGGCATCCCCCCGAGCGAGCCCTGGTACAGCTTGGTCACGATGGGGTTGCAGATGGCCTCGAGCTCCTTCTGCTTGTGCTCGTACTCCTCCTTCTCGGCGAGCTGGTTGGCGTCGAGCCACTTGATGATGTCGTTGCACTTGTCCAGCACAACCTGCTTGTCACTCGCGCTGATCTTGTCCTTGAGCTTCTCGTCCTCGACGGTGCTCTTCATGTTGAAGCAGTACGACTCGAGGCCGTTCTTCACGGTGATGGTCTCCTTCTGCTTCTCGTCCTCGCTTCTGTACTTCTCGGCCTCGTTGAGCATCCTCTCGATGTCGTCCTTGCTCAGCCTGCCCTTGTCGTTGGTGATGGTGATCTTGTTCTCCTTGCCCGTCGACTTGTCCACGGCGGAGACGTTCAAGATGCCGTTGGCATCGATGTCGAATGTGACCTCGATCTGAGGCACGCCACGCGGGGCCGGAGGAATGCCACTGAGCTCGAACTTACCCAACAGGTTATTGTCTCGAGTCATGGAGCGCTCACCCTCGTACACCTGGATCAACACTCCGGGCTGGTTGTCGGCGTAGGTCGTGAAGGTCTGAGTCTGCTTGGTCGGGATGGTGGTATTTCGCTTGATCAGGGCGGTCATGACACCGCCGGCAGTCTCGATTCCAAGGGACAGTGGAGTAACGTCGAGTAGCAGGAGGTCCTGCACCTCTTCGGATTTGTCGCCGTGGAGAATGGCAGCCTGGACCGCCGCGCCGTATGCCACCGCCTCATCGGGGTTGATGGACTTGTTCAGCTCCTTGCCGTTGAAAAAATCCTGCAGCAGCTTCTGGATCTTCGGGATACGAGTCGACCCTCCTACCAGGACGATGTCGTGGACGTTGGACTTGTCCATCTTGGCGTCGCGCAGCGACTTCTCGACCGGCTCGAGGGTGCCTCGGAAGAGATCGGCGCAGAGTTCCTCGAAGCGAGCCCTAGTGATCGAAGTGTAGAAGTCGATGCCCTCGAATAGGGAGTCGATCTCGATGCTGGCCTGGGTCGAGGACGATAGAGTACGCTTCGCTCGTTCGCACGCGGTGCGCACTCGTCTCAGGGCACGCTTGTTCGACGTCAAGTCTTTTTTGTGCTTCCTCCTGAACTCTTGCACGAAATGGTTGACCATGCGGTTGTCAAAGTCCTCGCCTCCCAAATGAGTGTCACCGGCGGTCGACTTAACCTCGAAGATACCATCCTCGATGGTTAGGATGGACACGTCAAAGGTGCCACCGCCAAGATCGAAGATGAGGACGTTTCGTTCGCCGCTCGCCTTCTTGTCGAGTCCATAGGCGATGGCTGCGGCGGTCGGTTCGTTGATTATCCGAAGTACGTTAAGACCCGAGATGGTGCCGGAGTCCTTGGTTGCCTGACGCTGCGAGTCATTGAAATAAGCGGGTACGGTGACCACGGCATTGGTGACGGTCTTTCCTAGGTATGCTTCCGCCGTTTCCTTCATCTTTACCAGGACCATCGAACTCACTTCCTCCGGGAAGAACGTCTTCGTTTCACCCTTATACTGAACTTGAATCTTTGGCTTTCCCCCGTCGTTGATCACGGTGAACGGCCAATGTTTCATGTCAGCCTGAACCGTGGGGTCTTCGAATCGTCGACCGATCAATCGTTTTGCATCTGGAAACAAAAAAAATACGTCAGGCCTTCCGATGGATGGTCAAATGATACGGGTGGAAAAATGAAGTGTCTCTAAATAATAATGAAAACCAGAAGTGACTTATTCGTTACTCACCGAAGATGGTATTGTTCGGGTTCATGGCGACTTGGTTCTTAGCGGCGTCGCCGATAAGCCGCTCGGTTTCGGTGAAGGCCACATAACTGGGCGTGGTCCGGTTTCCCTGGTCATTCGCGATGATCTCGACCTTCCCTTGCTGGAAGACTCCGACACAGGAGTACGTCGTGCCGAGATCGATACCGACTGCGGGTGCTTTGGCCATGTTTCTTGAATCTGCAACGAAAAGAAGACTAAGCAACCGCCCTTCGTCTATTCGACTCGCGGACGTAGCGATCTTCCTCGATTTCCCTTCCCGAGGCCCTCCAGCTCCACTGCGGAAGGAAGCCGGGCGCCAACGGGTGGGAAATCGGTTACCTCCGCGCGAAAACTTACTTGGATGTTCCGACGAGTGGTTCGGCAAGATACGAAGATGCTCTTCTCGCAACGATTCGCAACGTGAGTGATACGAGCGCGACCTCGCTCCTATATATACCCTCCGCGGAACCGACGCTTCTGGAAGCTTCTTCCCGCGCTCGACCAATCGCGTGGCCGCTTTCCCCGACGCGGCGCCCCCATTGGCCGCCGCTCGACCAATACGCGACTCAAGCCCGGCACTGCCGAAACTATCGATCCCCGCGATTAACCGTTCCAGCGAGTTTGCTCTTTCCGGAATGGCCGTGGTTATTTCACGAATGATTTTTCCAGGGCCCCTCGATCGCTAAGGAAGTCGTCGTCCTTCTCAAACCCGAAGCGTCCCCGACGTCGACCGCCGCATGGAGCGGAAGTGGACCCGGAAGTCGGGGCGTCGGGAAACATGGAGAAGAGTCTCGTAGCTATTTCTAGAAGTGACCACTGTGTATATGCATGGCCACGACGCTACGGCCGAATGCGCATGCGTCGAGCCTGCCGACACTTCTTCCTTCTTTCCGCTCGTTTCTTTCGCGAAACGTGTTGGCCACGTGAGTCGGAACGACCTCCGGACTTAAATACCATTTACCTAAGATTTACTCGAAGGTTATTCGGAAAAATTCGATGGAACTTTTGTGGCTCTTTCAAAATGATAAAAATAGCGGGCGGGGTTATCGGTCTCGGAATGGCGAGCCCGAAAATCCGCAATTGCGGAATGTTGACCTAGATTCGGGTCAACGTCTATAATATTTAAAGACCTATTATCTGCAACTAGATATAATCGTCAATTTTCCCTTTCGACCGAGTTGAGGTTTAAGGTAGACTACATGTAGAGATTGATACTTCCTGTATATTTAATTACTACGCGACCTCGAATTATTACACAAGGCCGGCTTGGTCATTCAAGTAACCTATAGATCTTCAAGAAATTGCACCATCTACTTTAGATTCATTGTCGGGTAACAAACGACCCAGTTTGAGATTTAAATATGGCGCCACTTTCGCGGTCGAAATTTCGTACCCCGAGTCAACTCAAATGTTAAATATATACAAGTCACATTAATTTCATTTCCGCGAATACGTGTTTATCTTAATATTTCAACTTTACGTTTTGCTATCCTCATTTTCATTATTTGATGTCTTTTATCAAAGTTGTAATTTTTTGAACGATTGGCGCCATTTTACCCTCAGTCGATCTTCCCAACTTACAGGCTTTCGTAATTTTGTACGAGTTGTCATTCTAGGTTCATTTGAGTTCCTTGGAGTAGCAAGCACTGACGAACTCTGCGGGGCCTTCTCTTTTCAACAAAATGGCTCCGAAGCCTAAACCGACGGAAAAAGCAGGTAAATTAACAAACAATGTACAGATCTTATATTTATAGTTTAGGTTCAAGCCAGAAATAAGCTGATTTTATTTCTAACGATGATAAATTAAAATATTTATATTATTCGATGATCGTAGCGTTCCGTTTCAAAAATCGATTGCCCTGCATACGGCTGCCATGTGGACATTGTGTTTCAGGCATCGGGCTTAATAAAATTACATTTTTTTTTTTTTATCAGTGGAATCGTATTCAACTCCGAAAACTATGACAAGAATTAAAAAAAAAAAATTATTGCTACGAGTTGTTCAATGTAATCTCAATTTTACATTTGAGATTCTCATTTTATTTCCAATTTATTCTTTGTAATAAAAAAGTGTGCATAATTATATTTTAATATGTGATCATTAGGCAAGCCTGCCGAGAAGAAGGCGGCGGAGAAGAAAGCGGAGAAGAAGCCTGCCACGGCTGCCTCTGCTTCAAAAGTAACCAAACCTGCGGCGAAACCAGCTGCGACAAAGAAGCCGGCAACTGCTAAACCTGCAGCTAAAGCAGCTGCAGCAGCAGCAAAATCGGCTGTCAAAACTGCACCGAAAGTAGCTGCAAAACCAGTATCCACTAAGACAAAGAAGCTGGTGCAGGCTATGAAAAAAGCCGTTAAAGCTTCTAAAACTCCAGCGAAACCTGTGCAGAAAGCTCTTAAGGCCCAGAAGAAGGTATGCTTAATCGATTGAAGGCACAATTTTGCAGTAGCAAATTGATAAAAGGAAAACTAATATACAACAAATTTATGATGATTTATTATGTGGGAATCTCTTTGAATTCTTATGAAATGACAATTGACATACTTCTGAGTAATCGGCTAATGCCAGTTGGGTGTTCTTATAAGAGACATTTTGTTGAAATATTTTTTTTCTTTCAGATTCTTAAAGGTGTCCATGGCTCCCGCGTCAGAAAAATACGAACGTCGGTTCACTTCCACAGGCCAAAAACATTTATGCCTCCAAGGAATCCAAAATATCCCCGAACCTCTGTACCCAAGAGGAACCGGTAATTGCATTTTTTATCGATTGTTCATAGTTTAGACATTTTTGCATATAAACTAATATTAAATTAATGGTCTGTTTTTGCAGCATGGATGCAGTTAATATTATTAAATATCCATTAACAACTGAAGCTGCAATGAAAAAAATCGAGGACAACAACACTCTTGTGTTTATTGTTCATACGCGCGCAAATAAATATCATATTAAAGGATCGGTGAAGAAGCTATACGAAATTGATGTTGCTAAAGTGAATACTTTGATCAGGCCTGATGGTAAGAAGAAAGCGTATGTCCGTCTAGCACGTGATTACGATGCGCTTGATGTTGCTAATAAAATCGGCATCATCTAATAGTTTAATTTCTTTTCCATTATAAAAAATAAAATACCTGCATCGATTGTACAATCATTGAAGGGGATTCTTCAATGTATTCTCGAATTTATTTCGTCTCCCTATACCGCAAAATGTACATACATACGTTCCGAATTTGAAGAAAACGCTTTGTTTGATAAATGAAGTTAAATTACCCGCCACATGGTTTAGGTTAGGTTAAACCAGCAGTGCCACCTCAGAAGAGAACTGACATTACCGTAAAGATGCGTTCGATTGACAAATGGTTAAAATCAGAGGTTATAAAGTTTCTAATCTAAACGATATTGTTTTTTCCTTTAAACAGGAGATGTCTTATTTTACAGGTCAAATTATTATTCCTTCATTTATAATTTATAATGATCGTTAGCGCTTGACAGATAAGTAATGACAAAATGACTTTGAAAACTTTACCAGGTGTGTGGTAGAAACTAAACAATTTTGGTGGAATTGAAATTTAAAATACTTTATCCTGCTTAATAGATAGTTCAACATTAATATTTTAGATGTCCCATTGCCAATCTCCATCCTTATAATATTGGCAGCTTCTTTGTGTTGTATAAATTCGCACGATGGGAATTTTGTATTCGACGACTCCGAGGCTATAGTTAATAACAAAGATGTTCAAAGCGCCCCTCTACTCAGTATTTTCGAAAATGATTTCTGGGGAACAAAACTCTCACATAAAAAGAGCCACAAATCGTATCGTCCATTAACGACTTTGACATTTAGGTAAGAACGCTAACATGCAATTTAAACATTGATTTTACTGGGAATTTACGTTAACGTTATTTTACAGGTTTCAATATTGGCTAAGAGGATACCTAAATGCACAAGACTTTCATATTGTCAATATTACATTACATATCATTGTATCGGTATTAATGCTATTTGTGCTCAATATTATATTAGGTCGAAATAATAGAAAAGTGTCATTTTATGCAGCTGCATTGTTCGCAGCACATCCTGTCCATGCAGAGGCTGTAAGTGATTTCATTAATCGTTATATTAAACATTAATGTCAATTTAATAAAAACCTGGTATTTTTTTTACCTGTAAATTATTATTTGCAGGTTTCCGGAATAGTGGGAAGAGCCGACTTACTATGCGCTCTGTTTTTCTGGCTATCAATTTTATTTTATAACCAATGCATTTTCAATACAGGAATGGTTTGGAAATCCTGCAGTTTATGTTGCTGCATTTCTTGCATCGCTGTAGCAATGTTTTGTAAGGAGACCGGCATAACTGCTATTGTAAGCTATTTTTCTAATCTGTAAGGAATGCTGCTCGATCAGTAGTTGAAACAAAAATCGAGACATAAATTAATAAGCAGCATTCCTTATTAATTTAATATTCCCTACTTTGTATCTCACATGTAACGATACCGTTTCAGGGACTTTGTGGTATATATGAATTAGTCATAATTAACAAAGTTTATCCGATCGATATAATCGGCGTTTTATCATTGAAGTACTCGTATAAAGAAACAATGCATTTTCTTACTCTTAATCGGGGTTCTATTTTCCGATATTTTGTATTGCTCCTAGCCCTGGTGATTCTTCTATCGATAAGATTTAGCATCATGGGCTTCCTAGCTCCAACTTTTGAAATTGTAGACAATCCCTCATCTTTCATCGATAGCTTGTTTTTTCGTGTACTTAATTATTATTATATATATTGCTTAAATCTCTGGTTGATGGTGTGCCCGATATGGTTGTGTTTCGATTGGTCAATGGGTTGCGTACCCCTTATTACTGGATTCAACGATGTCCGACTTCTTGCCGTAGTGATTCTGTGGATAATACTTGGCACTTTCTTGATGTACACCTTCTCTTCCAGTCGAAGCAACGACTCGAGGTATTTAAGATCAGTTTTAATTTGTAATCAAAGTCACTTACAAGATCGTTTACTTAACACAAATCGGTGAAATGTTCCAGATACGTCATCATGGGATTTACCTTTCTGATCGTTCCTTTCTTGCCAGCAAGCAATATCTTCTTCAGAGTTGGCTTTGTAATTGCTGAAAGAACTTTGTACATTCCGTCAGCTGGGTACTGCCTGCTGTTTGCCATTGGTTTGGAAAAGCTGTCGAATCGATGGTCATCGCCAAAGATTTTCGTGTCAATGTATGCGATGCTGATACTTCTGTTTTTCACTCGATCGTGGGTAAGGAGTAACGAATGGAAGACGGAAACGGTGCTTTTTAATTCAGCCATACGAGTGTGCCCACTCAATGCAAAAGTTCATTACAACGTAGCAAAGAGTGCTGCCGATTTAGGCAACTCCACACATGCCGAACTAGAATACAAAACTGCCTTGCGGTAAGAACTCTAATTTAAAATGTTAAAAATCTTATTTCTACATCGATGTAACGCGTTATTTGTTTAAAATAATTCAGGCTGAATCCCAATTATACACAAGCTATGAACAACCTGGGAAATTTACTTAAGGACCGGCAACAATACATAGAAGCGGAGAAATTATTCAGGCGTGCCGTCAAACTACAGTATGTTACAAGATATCGTTAGAGTAAATACAATTTAAAAATTCCTTTCACTCGAGTCAAATTATTATTAGTTTTCTGTGATGCTACGGGTTGTAAGAATCTGGGCTTTATGACTAGTGACAGAAGCTGATTTCAGGGAAGACTTTGCTGCAGCTTGGATGAATCTAGGTATCGTGCTCTCGGCTCTAAAAAAACACGAAGAGGCCGAAAAATGCTACTTGACAGCTTTGTCGCACAGGACAAAGTATCCCGACTGTTACTATAATTTAGGTGTACTAGTAAGAAAATATTACATAACGATTAAAAGATATTTTGCATGAAATGCATCGAACACGGAGTAACCCTTTAACCTGTATGTTTCAGTATCTAGAAGTTAAGCGTTTCGGTGAAGCATTGAGTGCATGGAAAAACGCTACTCTTCAGAAAGAGGCTCATCGACGAGCTTGGACTAACATTGTCTTATTGTTGGACGATTTAGGTAATGTTTAAAACTCTGACTAGTAATTCTTAAATTATTTTAGTCATACTTTGTTGTTTAGGACGTTCTCGCGAAGCATTATCGGTGGCTAACCATGCCCTTAAAATCATTCCTGAGGATGCCTCTATGTATTTCAATATTGCCAACATATTAGGTAAAGAAGGGAATTTCTTGGACGCGGAAAAATATTTCAAAAGTGCAATTGCAAGGAATCCAAATAATCCAATGTTTTATACAAATTTAGGTAAATATACCGAATTTTAATTTATACATTTAAGCAGAAAAAACACTAATAACCGATCATTGAAAACTTGTCCGCAACAGGTGTCTTGTACCATCGATGGGGAAAATTTGACGAAGCTAACAAAATGTATAACAAAGCATTGCAGATCAATCCAAACCTGCAGGGTGCAAAAGAGAATTTGCGCAAACTCAACTCTATTAGACTGTAATTACTAAGCAATAAATCTTTATAGTCCCCTATTTCACATCCAATTATTTGATCAAACCAAAGGAATATTTACTTATTAAATAATTGAATATCAGACCTATTTTACAATTAATTAAATATCTTTTGATGAGTGAATATTGTAAATTATACAATGACGTGAGTTATGATACATCTGACTTTTTAACATTTGCTATAAATATACCTTTAACTTTCTAAAATTAAAATATCTTAATCCAACCGTCTAATGGTACAAGCAAATGATTCTTCATTTTTAATTACTGTTCAACCGCAGCATTGCCAGGATAAGGATAAGCTTTAAATGTACCAACTTTTTCGCCATTTATATAATTATACGATTTAAAACACGTGTCACAAAAAAAGCAAGGATTGTGTGGTAATCTGCTATGTTCTGTGGTAAACCATTGAACTGCGAACACGCCACACATCATGCAGTACCTCGTCAATCTTTGCTTTATTTTGTGTATCCTTGGGTAACAGGAGATCGCCAAATCATCCTTTGAACTTATTAATCTGCAAAACGAAAAAAAATTAGAAGGTACTTCTAAATTTTGCAAATAACCTCTAACATTAAAAGATTTAAGAAATCACTACCTCGCATCACTAAACACGATTAAGTGTTCACAGGATCCTTGATGTTGATAGACCCAAGGATACCCAAACCTCGTGGAAATAGAGTCTATCCGAGTACTCTCCATCGAAGCAGTGTCGAATGGACCCAAATTTCTAGTCTCACCCCATTCCCTTATAACCTGGCTGTAATCTTTATTGCCTGGGGCACGGAAGTCGTTGAAAAATGTACCCTCGATGTAAAAGAATCCTGATTTGTACACATCCTGAATTTATGATAGGATGTGCGATTATGCACAAATTAGCTATACTGTAGATATAAATAATATATAAACTTTACCTTGGCAAGCAACATGCTACATCCCTTAGGACCGGCACTTACATCGGTGCAAATTATACCATCGGAAGAACACGTTATTTTATCTCTTAACTGTGTCAAGGTTTGCGACCCAAGAATGGCAATTACACAATTCAGCGATTTCCTTGATAATTGATCGAAGTTGGTATAATGGTTCCGATGAAAAAACGGATTATAGATTCGTATATAAACTATTATGTCTTGTCCTGGTATTGCTAACTGGCCAATGCGTTTCACGTCATCGTATCTCTAAAATTAAAATATTTCGTAGATTAAGTACACGTTGGAAAGTATTTCTTATAACATTCATTCACGGACGCAATAATCATACCACTAATATCTCATTTCGAAACCGGGAGTTACGCACGACTTTCTGTTTCCCTCTTAGCCGCCTCTTTAAATTCAACAGTGTTTGTAACTGAGTCCCTTCGGGGACTGTTTTAAAATCGTACACTTCTTTTCGTCGCATGTTTCTGGAATCACTGCATCTTGGTATTTCATCGGGGACAGTTAAATGATCCACGCTGCAGACATTTTTTGAATAATAAATCGGCATTAATTTATTTTCAGTGATTTGCAACGATCAATAAGTTACCTGCAATATTGTGCCAGTATTGAAAATTGCTCTTCTTTGAGGTTAACTCCCATACAACTGAGAAGCAGAGCATCGTCACTTTCCTCAGCCTTCAAGGAATCTTTCGGCTCGATCTCATTTGCATACTCGTCAAAATACGTCTTAAGATTAATTTTATCCGACGAATTTTTATTGTACGCGCCATAAATCGAGTCCATTTTCTGTCGATGAATTTGAACGTCACTAGAGGAGTCTAACATTGAAATATTTTTGTGCCATGACCCATGCGCACTCTCTGGATGTCATTCGTACTTGTTCGTACTCTGGCTCGACCAGCTCGTTTAGAGGGTATCTTCTTTTTTTTTTTCGGACGCTTTAATATAATCTCAACAAATCATCGGTGCCGCATATGTCATGAGTAACAGTGATTCATGCACGGAAAGAATTATTATTATATACACGAAAATAATTCAATGTAAATAAATTTTCATATACATTAGGCCTTAAATATGCCAGGAAGCCATCATATTTTGTAAAACTTTTCAAGGTTTCTGTCAAACCAATATGAGTCATATGCAGTGCGAAGAAAGTCTGGATAAAGTTCACATAAAGTCAGCGAATGAAAATGACATTGAGAAAGAATTACTGCAAGAGGTTTGCATACAGATACGAAATGAGTTATGTGAATTAATTCAAGATTTGTTTCATTAAAATATTGAGTTGTGATCTTACAGGTGGTCTTTGCACAAGCTGAACAATGTATCTTAGAGAAGGCATCGAGAGCTATTAAGGAATTTTCATATCCTGTATTAACGCAAGCTCTTTGCGAAAATAAAGGGAAATCATATTTGTCGAACGATGGTAAATCCGAGACAGTGTCAGAAGCTCAAAGAAAAGATCTGGAATTAGATAAACAAGTGCGAGTTGGAGAATTAACACCTTTTGAAGCTGCAGCTAAAAAATCTACTAGGTCTGTATTTACATTAGACGGCAGCTGTAACCCTTGAATTTAATTATGACATTACCTATTTTGTACGAATAGCGTTTTCAATAAAGCAACTCAGTTATTGGATCTTGAGAAGTACCTTCAACAACAAGCTGAGCTTGCAAAACAGAAGTGTCTGTCAAAAAAATTGATTGTAGGAAAAAAACTGGAAGGAAGTAGTATTGAAACTAGAGTACCAAAAAAAAGAATGAAATTATCAACCAGTGTAGCCGAGAGAACTGACGAGAATCAAAGAAGCCTGGAGTGTGAAAATGACTCCGATCCAAAATGTAACTCTGGAAGTGAATATATCCCTAGCGACGATTGCCAAGATTCTGGTGAATGAATTTAATCGTCTAATTATTACAGAAATAAAGTAACAAATATGTTATCGGGTTTTATTTTTTTTAGAGGCAGAAACAGAACAACCGAAGAAAGGCAGCGCTAAACGACATTCGAAGAAATGCATTCAAAATAGAGGTATATTTTCAAACGTAACGTCATCTTATTAAGTACACAACATTCGTTTTCCATAACGATAAGATTTATTTATTATGCAGTTTTGGATGATGGAGACGAAGATGCATATCATCAACGAGTAGAAAATAAAAAATTTTGTTTTCAAGCTGAGAAGTTACATGAAATCGATAATTTATTTAAAGTTCCGAAATCTATTTGGAAAAGACTGTATAGGTATTTGAATACAAAATATACTAACATATATAATCGACGTCTAGCAAATAGAAATACCGTTCGCGATAACCTAGTTTTTCTTCTTGATTCAAAGAAGTAGAAAAATATGTGTTCAGCGGATTTTGATTTTAGATATCAAAAAGTATCCATACAATGGCTGTGGGAATTACATGGTCGTAATTCTGGTGGTTTACTCGGAGACGAGATGGGTTTAGGTAAAACCGTGCAAGTGATTGCGTTCCTGGCAGGTCTGGACTGCAGCAATTTACTTTCAGACGGTGGACGGTAAGGACCTATCGATTTCCAAATAAAAGTACACGGTATAATTGTGGAATCGTAATAAAAACATTTCTATGTAGATTTCGAGGCTTGGGACCGACTCTAATAATCTGCCCTGCAACATTATTGGAGCAGTGGGTCAAACATTTCCATGACTGGTGGCCTATTTTACGGATAGCTACGTTACATCAATCTGGAACTTACAGTGGTAAAAAATTAATCTACCGAAATGTGAAAATTAAATAACTTAAGAAATCGGTATATAAATAAGAAAATAATATAATAATAGACCGATAAAGTTTTGGTTAACTTCAGGTGATCCATACGATTTGGTAGAGAGTATGAAAACCGGTGGGGTCTTGGTGACTTCGTACTCTGGAGTGCTGAATCATAAAGAACTGCTCGTGAGGACTCAGTGGCATTACGTCATTTTGGACGAGGGGCACAAAATAAGAAATCCGCATGCAAAGGTACTACCACCTATGGAGACGAGTCGCTTGAAAAATTCTGACAAGAAACTTGGTGACGCGAGGAATTGTACATTAACGATTCGTAGATCAGCAAGGCTGTAAAAGAGTTCACCACGCCACATCGCCTTCTTTTAACTGGAAGCCCGATGCAAAACTCTTTGAAAGAATTGTGGTCACTGTTCGACTTCATTCTGCCTGGAAAACTGGGCACACTCCCAGCATTTCTGGAACACTTTGCGGGTCCTATTACAAGAGGTGGTTACGTCAACGCCAGTTCGCTTCAAGAGGCCACCGCGCTCCAGGTGGCGACTTTATTAAAAGATGCTATAACTCCGTACATGTTGAGGCGAACTAAATCCGACGTTCAGCATCACGTCCGTTTGCCAGAGAAAAATGAACAGGTTTGTCGAGTGACAACACTGTAAAGAAATAGTTGGAACGTTTAACGACCCACTCATCATCGAGCTCGTTTCAGGTGCTGTTCTGTAGCTTGACGGAAGAGCAGAAAACCCTGTATAAAAAGTATCTAACCTCGGAAGACGTCACGAATATTATACACGAAAAGAGTTCGCTAAAAGAAGGCGGGAGATACAGAGCGCGACTATTAATCGCCCTGACGACGATGCGGAAAATTTGCAATCATCCCGATCTTTATATCTACGGCAAGCAGACCGTACGGTTTCAAAAATCCGTAACGTCCTCGATTCTATACCGACGAGAAAATCATTCTTTATTTTCACCGATCTAGGACTCGGACGAAGAACTGGAGCTGACCGATGAAATCATGGAAAGGTTCGGTTACTGGAAGAGGGCAGGAAAAATGGCAGTGGTGAGATCGTTGCTGAAGATCTGGAAAAATCAGGCACACAGGGTTCTACTTTTTACCCAGAGTAAACAGGTAAGCTATACGATTGCCCGGCGATACGTTACGTCCATTGGTCCCATTTGAGCTATTTTACTGCTTTAAGTCGAACAATCTGACCTGCATCCATTTCGAATATTTTTTGTTCTTTCCACAGATGATGCACATTTTGGAGAGCCTGATCCAACGGGAGGACTATACATACTTGAGAATGGACGGTACTACCCCGATGTCCCAGAGGCAGCAAACCATCGAGAAGTTCAACGGAGTTGGTATCCTTTTAATATCATTTCTTTCCACGTTTCGCGCGAGGAATAACGTAAAACCCTCCACGGGCGATTATTTTTATTTGTCTCTCCGTTGTAGGACCCATCGTACTTCCTGTTTCTCTTAACAACTCGCGTCGGAGGACTAGGAGTGAACTTGACAGGAGCGAATCGAGTGATCATCTATGATCCAGACTGGAATCCAGCTACCGACGCGCAGGCCAGAGAACGAGCCTGGAGAATTGGACAGAGTAAAAATGTCACCGTGTACAGACTTATAACGGCAGGCACCATCGAAGAGAAGGTAAGGGTCCGATGCGATTCGTACATCTGGAAAACGAAGCAGTCCTCGCCTACATTTGACCGTAACATTTCCCGCAGATGTACCACAGGCAAATCTTCAAGCTCCTCCTCTCGAATAGAGTCCTCGAAGATCCGCGACAACGCAGACTCTTTCACACGACCGACCTCGTCGAGCTGTTCAATTTAAACGAGCCATCCGAGGGAGAAGGCACCGAGTCGGACCGACTCTTCGGAGATTCGAGACTCGCGCCAACCACCGGCTTCACCTCGTCGAAAATAGAAGCCATGCGAAAGCTAGCCTCCTGCTTGAGCAAGAGAATCGGCGACAAGGTAACAAAAAAGAAACCAGTCGAAGAGGAGAAACGGATCGACCATCCAGAGGATGCACGGGTCCCGTGCGCGAGAGGCCCTGGAAATTCTGGAAACGCGACCGCCCCGGGCTTAAGCTCTCCCTTAAGGGAGGATGCCGATAAGTCCTATGGCGAACCGAAGAGCTCGGTATCGACCGACGCTCGCGAAGAGGAAGTCGACGTGGAGCATAAGAGGCACCGTAAAACGAAACACCGGAAACGAAAAAAAATCGAGGAGACCGATCGCATCTCGTCCGTGTTCGAAGGTGAACGAATATCCTATCTGATCGGCCGCAGACTCCCTTCTCACGTGAAAGATGCGCCGACTGTTACCGATGATAGTTACGTTCTACAGAAACTATTCGCGAAAGCAGGTACCATCCCTTATTGGGTTTCTTGTATCGACTTGTTTAGGTTTTGGTATAAATACGTTTCCATTGCACGTTCCAGCGGTAAAGTCAGCCTTTCAACACGAGGCAGTTTTGTCGAGTGTACAGCAAGAATCTATAGCACAAACTCCGATGCAACGGTTGGCACTCGAAGCTGCTCAAGAGAGCATGAACTCTGTTCGCCAATCGCGCAAGTGGTGTTGGAAACCATCGTGGAACAAGGCGCCCGGAGAAAATGATTAAACGACTTTGTGTCCTTTGGAATGGAAGTCATTGTAAATAAATGGTACTGGAATATTAATCGCTCTGTAAGCACCACGAGGAAATCTACTTCAAAGTCCAAGTACTCTTCCAATCGGTTCGCTGGCCTTATTTTACAGGCTTCGCTTTTGAGATTATGTGTTACATTTCAGGTGTCAAAGATGTGTAAAATCTATACAATATAATTTCGTCTTGGCTGAAAAAAAAAAAAAAACGATATTTTCTTCCCCCCCTTTGGTTTTATATTATACTCTCTTTTATATTAGCTTATTTATACAATATTATACAGTATAAATGAATACCGATCTATTTAAATAATCAACAAGATTTCCAATTCTTTCAAGAAAACTGCAGGATTCTCTGATACGGAAATTAAAGTTGTTGTCTTAAATATAATGCGATATCAAATGTAAATGAAAATTTCACGGAACCATGTGCCTCTAACGAAACGGCTTTGGCAGTAATATAGTTACGAAACCGTAATTTGCAACAGAAGTGAATAACCAAAAAAAAATGAAAAGTTATCAAAATACCTCGGAGCTATATTGTCCATTAGCTCGATGAATTGCTTATATAGTTTCGCACTTGAGCAGGTTCAATTACCGATAATATATTTGGGGTTTGCCACCAGTGCACGTGATCGTCGTTACCGCATCATGAATATGAAGCGTTGAAAATAGAACGAATGAAAATGAAAAATTATGTGACATAACCATACGATATCTTCTTTTCTTTACCGTAACACAAATTGTTCCTTGGCGGTAACCTTTAATCATTCACTGGACAGAAATGTTACAGCTCGAGATCCTGTGACTTCATAGGTGCCTGAGGAATTCCTCTAACGTAGGACCATTTCTCCCTAAAGGATCTTCGGGAAACATCACGATGTCTCCTACAAACGTAGGAGGAAGAAGGCGATTTTCTATCGTATCCCGCCACTCTGGTTTCTCCCTGTACAAGTCTCTATATTGGTCTTGCGATATCACTATTCCGTTACACTGAGTTGCATATTCCAATATAAAACTAAAATACGAACACACCGATTGGTAATACGTTTCCATTTTCGTGCCTCTAAGCAGGAGCAAAACTTACCGGTCGTCATAAGGCGTAATCTTTCTTCCACCAATTTTCCTACTTGGTGTAAACACGACTGTTCCATTATTGTAAAGTTTCTCAAGAAGGGGATGCTTGAACGATCTTGTGTGTTGTGGGAGAAACGCTTTGACTGTATGACCCCTTTGTGCAAAATAATCTATGACCAGTTTGATTCCAGCTTCGGAGAACTTCTTATTGTTTGCGTGTCTACAATTCGATGTGTCAAAATGTACCAAAATTTTCTGGGTTACCATCTGATATGATAAGAAGTATGTATAGAATAAATTAACTGATACATACGCCATAGCAATATTGCAACCATCAATAATTATCTCTCTTAGCGGTTTGCTCGACAGATCTTTAGCTGGTTTTTTCTGTGCCATATTCACCACATTTCTTTCCTTCAACAGGTTACCGACGATTTGATTTTTGTTTTTTTCTTTGTACTCCACCGGCATATACAAATTTTGCAGGTTTGAAAAATCTCCCTGCTTGTCTACGTAAACCATGGGCCCATTGAGCAAGTTCTGCATCTCTTCTGTGAGTTTTGGTGGCTCGTCAGAATATTTGGTAACCTGTTCCACATTTGTTGATACAGAGTCATTTACAGATGTCCAGACGATTGAAACATCCTCAGCTTTAGAGATTTCCTGATTCGAGCTGTCTGTAATATATTTCCAATTTATTTAAATTCATTTGGCAGCCTTAAATAAACAGTACCATTTGCAAGAAACTGTTCTACAACAAATGAGTTATTAAGAATGTCTTACTTGAACTTGGTAAAGTAGGTAGTTTATCCCTATCATTAAGATCTACCTTCGAAGTCAATACAGACAATTTCCACTGTATGGAATTCTTATATAAATTCGAAGATTTGCCTGCTTTGGACGTTTTCCTTCTTGTATTAACTGAATTCTGATCACTTTCGCAACTCCTCTTTTTAGTACTTGTAGATTCATGAGATGGCTCTCCCAATTCAAAATTATCTATCAAAATGATATCTTCTTGGGACAGTCTCTCTTCACTGGGATTTACTTGACCTTCTTCTTTGGAAGAGGTACTGCTATCACTTAGAATAATAACACTTTCTTGGAGAGAAATCGGTATATTAGTTTTGCGCACAAACGAACGTTTATTTGTCTTCCTTTTTTTCTCACAATTAATTGACTCGGACAGATCAATCCAGTCAATACATGAATTTTCCTCACGCTTCCTATACATATATTTATGTAAGCACGAATCATATATACCTGTTATTACTTATTAATTCAATTGAGTTACCGTTTCGCTCCAGATGGCTGAACTGTGTTTGTACATCTTGAGTCTTCTTCGGATTCGGTATCGCTTTGTAAAACTGGTTTCTTTGTTATTTTGCAACGTTTTATCTTTGGTTTTTTTGCTCGCAGTTTTCTCTTTTTAGGAACTGCACTTTGTGGTGACGGGGTTTCACAAATGATCACCGAATCGTTCACAGTACTCATCCTGTTGATACTTTAATGTTCACAAATCAACAGTTTGGCATTACCTATAAAATATCTTAAACTATATAACGGACTTTTTATTCATGCATTTATAAATTCTCACATCGTTTACACACACGAGCAATTAAAATACAAACAACTGTATAAGTATCAGGTTATGATTACATAAATTTATGCACCTAAACTACGTTCAAAACGTAGTTAGTTGATGAACCAAGCACAGTGACATCGAAAACGGAATTCCTTCTCTTTTCACGTTTGCTATTCAAAACATTGAAGTTACACTTTTAACCTTCAGAAATATGATTTCTCTTTGAATGAAAGGTTTTTATGCAGCGTTACTGCCTACAAGAAATTTAAAAAAAACTACGAAAGTTACTTTTCCCACGGCTTCTTACACTGAACCATGAAAACATTTTTGGCGACACGTTCACAAGCAAGAAACATACAATTATAGTACATGCGACACGCTGTTTACGTTAACGTTATGGAATCTGTGGCGCCCTCTCTCAACTTTGATCAATGAAGATATATTCTTTATTATTTACCCGCTGTCGTAGGCTCACGTATTCGTGATGGTAATACCATGCGGCAGTTAACGGTGGTGACTTACCATTATGGCAATCTCTCAACTCATCTCTGATCGAGCTACTGTGGTAGCAGGTGCGAAAAAAATTCACCGGCGGCTGGGCAGCCCGAAAACCGGCTTAACCCGATGAACACAGTAGAAGCTTCTACTGTCGGATGGCGCCACCATCTACACGATTTAAATAGTTTCCTTTCATTTTCTTCCGTTTGGAGGCAAATCTAATTTCTACTGGAAAGTACGCAATATGAATAAATAAAGCCAAGTCCCTAACTAACTAAAACCTGACCAGTTATTTCGAGTTCGAGAAGCAACTAATCAAGTGCAACGACGCAAGGAGTGGCCAATCGTGTGCACCCGATTATTCAACATGGCGTCGCCTCGTTGACTAAAAACCCCCTAACGGTGGTCTAGCTCCTTGTCCAATAAACGGAAGCGATGCTGCGTCCAAGCAGAGCCCAAACGGGAGAAAATTGGACGGTAATCGGTAATGGCAGCTCCGTGAACTTTTCCAAGTTTTTCCGAAGTTTGACAGGTGAATTATCGGGCCCAACGGTATGATCAAGCATGGTATTCCTAAGGTTCTTCGGAAAGGGCCACGAGAACATTATATAATTCATTAACCGTACACTAGATGTCGGCCGTCCGCGGGCTCCTATATTGATCAAGTTAGATCTTATGAACACGCGCGCCGATAAGATTTCGCAAATTGATCAGTTCGGCGTAATTCCTATCGCGACGCGAACTGCCCGCGCGACGGGACAACGCGACTCCGTCCGATGTTAGTGCTACGTCGTAATAGCTTCCTTATGACGTCACTCGCGGGTTGCACAAGCGTCATCGGACAGTCTATTGTAGAGAATTTAGCGGAACGAGATAAAGCTTGATTTTGATCGAGTCCTGTTCCGTGTGCGAGTGACAAACGTCCCGACGAGTGAACAACGAGGGCGTATGATCGAAATACGTTTCGTGGCGGCTGGACCAAGACTTGTCGCCCCTCTTATGTCAATTCGCCCACCGAGAAGCCTGTCGTGAAGCAGGCGTCTTGATAACTCCAAGAAAATGTATGTATAAGCACCCGCCGTTGGACCTCCACTGATTACCACGTTACATAGTTTACCACGACCTGCTGAAGTCGACGTCTCGTAATCAACTCTAGCGCCGATTGCATCTTTGGTACTTCTACTCGATGCCTCGTCGATTCCTAAGATTTATTATTTGTATCTAGTAGACCGTCCAGGATAGGTTGTAAATGTACACCCAGTGGCACGTCGAGCTCTTGTCGATTAATTAATAAGGGTATCGCGTTCCTTAAATATTTTTTATCGTAATAAGGACGAACTACGTAACTCTTCTTGGAGTGGCATTTATTCTTATGATTACTACTTTGTGCCAATACAAACGAGCATTGATTTTCGATTACAGTCTAGAACTTTTTAGAGTACGCCAGAGGATGATAATAATATTGAAAATCTCTCTGTTCATAGATTGCCCTCACAAGTACAAACGAATCTACCGATATGTCGATGCAACAGTTCTGTTTGCGGTGGAACAACCATCAGCCAAACTTTATCTCAGTTTTCTCAAATTTATTGAATAACGAGACATTAGTGGATGTTACGCTCGCGGCCGAAGGTAGACACCTTCAGGCACATAAAGTTGTTCTGTCGGCGTGTAGTACATATTTTCAGTCACTGTTCACCGTCAATCCTTGTCAACACCCAATTGTAATCCTAAAGGATGTAAAGTTCTCCGATCTCAAGATCATGGTAGATTTTATGTATTATGGAGAGGTTAATGTTTCCCAGGATCAGCTACCGTCGATTATAAAGGTGAGTGGACCTATTCATTCGTGACCGCTTTGTGCACATCGAAGGATACCAGCAATCGTTTAGACTAATCTTTAATCGCACGGTTAAATAATTGTAACCGTGCCACATGTATCGACTTTTTGAAAATGATCATTACAGACCGCGGAGAGTTTAAAGATTAAGGGATTGGCAGAAATGCACACCGCTTCGTTAACAAAATGGCCAAGTGGTAGCAGCGAACCCGGAGGAGGAGAGCGCGGTGAGTCTTGCTCGCCTGCTCCCTCTCCTTTATCGCCATCCTTCCGCAGGAAACGGCTAAGGAAATCATCGACTGGTTCTACGTCTGGCTCTGGTGATAAACCAGATGAGGTGAACGAGATAACATTAGTAGCTACCAATGTTGTAAAGCCGGAACCGTTAATTATATCACAAGAAAGTGGCGAAAATTTGAGGCGGCCATTGAATACGAGCACGGAATCTCAAGGCAGCATCGACGAGGACCAAATATCGATTGTACGTTTTTATTGGTTGTCATGCACTGTGCATTTGAATTCGCTGAAAGTCATTTTGAAACAATGGAGTAGAAAGATAATGAATTATTACATCCACAGATGAGCAATATGGAAAGTAGTGCAGCTACGACACCGGCACAAACAGAGGCATCGTTACAAGACGTTAGTCAATCCGGAGGAAATATCGGACAGAGTTCCGTCTCGTCTCAACCACCGGCTCACCAAGGTAGGACATTGTTATACTTGTTCCCTTTAAGGATTAATTTAGATTAATCTTATCATGTATATTAGATAAGTACAGGTGTTAGGGAATCACGCTATAAGCTTTACCAACGTTGCATTATTTTTTTTCCCCCCAAGGCAAGGTTATTATTTTTAGAAAATACATTCAGTTTATGAGTTATGCCGAGTTTGGAACATGGTTATCTTTTAATAGGTATAATTATAATTCTAATTGTAGCATAGAGCTCCTCACGCACACACATACACACACGGTGTTTCTATTTTATAAACTCTGCGTGTTCTCTCCGATCGCTGTCTTCCTCGGTACCTTTACGCTCTTCTTAAGCCGTAATTGAAGTAATATCTTATAAATTTTTCGTAACGTTGGACGTAAGTTATCGTTCAGGAAAATATCATCTTTTTACTCAACGCTAAAAATGAATCCATTACCGATAACAACCTACCGAGTGATGCACCGTTGAAATTGATAGTAAATTTATGACGACACCTTGCCTCTTATTTAAGAGTTGTTTGATGAAAAAGAATTAGACGTACGTGTATTATCAAATCATAAGTGGCCACAGCGGTTTGATGACTACGACTTTAAAGTCTCCTCAAAGAATCGAAGGTTAGAGCTACACTTCAAAATTACCTTTCGGCTCTACACCGTAAGGGGCACTATCCACTAAAAATCAGGATTCGCTTCTTCGGTGCACGGACCAACCCTTACGATAATTAGTAATTTAAATGCAAGAAATCAATGAAGATCTCGTTTCCGTCCCAAGTGTCGCCAACGTGCCATTCGATCTCGTGGCGATACTTGTATGCTTTAGATAGACTATAAAATTAGTAGTACGTAGAAAACTCGCGCGATACAATTCAAGTTGCGAGTGAACCCTGGCTCTCCTTTGTTATGCGACCCTCGATGTAAATAATTTTTGTGCGGTGTCGTATCGGTGGGTATTTAATTTGCACGTTAATACTTAAGAGATTAGTTTACTTGTATGCTGGCACAGATGCGTTCAAGTATCGTTGCACAAGGAAATTAACAGACGTTTGACATGAAAATAGAGCGAAAACCATAGTAACTCGTTGAACGACTCATTCATGACATCACCGTGGCACACAGATACATAGCACACATACCGAAATGTTCCCCTTCTAAAAAACACGAGATCGAGACGACGAGATCTCTTGACTTTCCACGTGTCGATGTGTGCCTGGGCCCGGACGTCTCCCCCGAGAGTCCGGGTCGTCTCTCGAATGCCGTCAAATTCGATCCGTTCGTCGAGAACGGACTGTGCTTGAAAATGTATCTGTGCCATGCCATAACGTTCCTTTCTACATATTTCTCGAGATACCTTGCATATATTTTGACCTTTCGACGTCGAATCTCTTCCACTCGCTTTGCTTGCCCCGCGCGGCTATCGGCGTCCATTCGCGAAAAGCGGAAACGTCGGTCTAATTAGAGAGCGAGTATTCCGGCCGCGTTCGGCGCCATGTCCCGTGCTTTGACCGCAGAAAACCTGGTCTGTTCCACAGGATTGCAATGGACAATCATGGAGCACACGTACCCACGTTTCGCTCTGTCCTCGTGTCAAACGAATCTGTCGATCCAAGCGTCCTCGGCGTTCACGACGTCCGAAATAACGGCCTCGTCGACGATCAGCGAGCAGTACTCGGGCACCAGCACCACCGGCTCGAGCTGCGCCCTGACGAGCTACCCGAACTCGTCCCACGGAAGCCTCCAGCACGCCTCCTCGAGCGGGCCTTCCCCGTCGGCCCAGTGCCCGAGCAGCTGCCAGAGCCCCTGCGCCAGCCCCCAGACCGCCATCAAGAGGAAGAGGTCGACCAATCCCCAGGCCGACGAGAACTTCATCAGGGCCCTCGACGCCGTGAGGTACGGCGGCATCGGGTTCTGCAAGGCGGCCAGGATGTTCGGCGTCAACAACCGGACCCTCTGGCTGGAGTACAAGAAGAGGGGCTATCCGAACAATCGGCCCAGTCTCAAGTCCAGGGTCAAGCAGGAGGTCAACTCCTCGCCCCCGCCCGCGTCGTCGACCTCGCAGCCCGTCAACCCCCAGAGCCCGACGCCCATGGGGCCCCCGACCACTCCGCACAGCACGCACAATACCCACAGCACGCACACCATGCTCACCACGCACAGCCCTCACGCCATGCTGAGCGGATACATAGACAGCAGGCACACGGACTACGCCCTGCCCTCGGCCACCATGCCCATCAATCTGCACGGCGTTAATTACAATTCGATGTGAGCGAAGCTATGCTCGGACGACCACCTCTATCGATACGCGTAACCGCTCCTGCTCTTTTATTTCCGCAAGTTGGATCGCCCGATTTTCATTTTTACCGCGTAGCCGAAAATAGGAAACTTTGGCGCCGCCTTCCTTTACATTTTAGATCTTTGCCCTATAGTCGTGGATGTAATAGGGATTCGTTGATCCAATTCTTGCATCGACGGTAGGAAATTTTACGAACGCTCTCGGTGGTCTTTGACCGGATCTCATGTTGGCAGGAAAGGAATCTTACGTTCGCCATTGTATCATTGTATTATTAAGGTGATACGTCGTCGTACTCTTGTGCGTTTTCATTTTAATGCCGGTAATGTATTTTATCGAAGTCCAAACTCGAATCCGGAATCGTCGGCGTTGACAAAAAATTATTCTATTCGTATAAATCTGTACCGCTTAAAGAAGTTAAACTTAGGATTTAAGTGCAGCCGGATATATGCGACTCTCGAGGTATTACGCGCAGGCATAGGATTTCATAGAAGAAGGCATAGAAGTGAAGAAAATTTCATATCGCTTTACTTCTCTTTATAGGTCGTACGTTTTTATTTGTATCCTATTCGAAACGGTTCTTAATGGGTCGTTCGACAAATTCTTTAAGATTTGACGTCGGTTCAGTTTTTCTTTTCTTCTCGAGGTGATAGCGCTATCGGTGTCAATGATCTTTTCATTCTTATCGTTACGTCTTTCGTTTCTACCGAGTGAATTAGTCACCTGTTAAATTGCACAAAATAGTTAATGTATTTTATCGAAGTGCCGTTAGGTTGACCGAACGATGTAGTTACTCGGTTGGCTACGCTTCCGTAGGAAGGCATCTACGTAGAATTTATCGTGCATTTTAACGTTGAGGTTTCGTTTCGTTCCACGGCTTCCATTAGTACGCGTAAGATTTAACCCTAGTTCCGTGTACGCGATCACCCCCTTTTCGAGACAATTTTCACCGCCGATACATCGTATAAATGTAAAGTATATCGAAGTGTTGAGATTACGCCGCGATCGAGACGATTTCATTTTAGTTAAGCGTATTCCGCGGGTACGCTCTTCTTTATTTCTGACTTTATTTTAATCCATAGTATTCTCACCTAACCCGAAAGTTAGGTGTCGATGTTACCTCTATGGGACATCCGCGATATTTTTAATGCACGTGCTAATAGGAATCTTCGAAGGTAAAAAGTCGAGCCGATTTTTACCGATGCCCAGTTAACGTCGTCAATTTTTATACATTCTCTGGATTCACAGTTCCTGAAATACTACGAGACGCTATATAATTGAATCGGTAACTCACTAACGGGTCTTACCGGTCTTACCGGTCTTACCTTGCACACCCTTTAAGGATCATTTGTCACGTAGATTTAAAACGAGAGTATGTCGATTAATGTACGAAGACACGACGCTTTATCATGAATTTGCTTCTCAATACTCGACTAGACTATGATATTCAAATTTGAGGTAAACTAGTGGTTTCGCGTGTCCGTTAAGTTCCCGTCACCGTTTTGTAATGCCACGTCAGGAAGTCGTTAAAAAGAGACACTCCCTGTACTAGCACGAATCCAATTTCCGTACTTAAAATATTATATATAATTTTTCCTGTTAAGTGACATACGGTGTCGCGAGATCGTCCGATTTCAATTGACAATTGTTTAAAGTGGATGTTGCGTTGTTGTTTCGACAATACGGAGTCTTTTAAATGCACAGTAGAAGCCCAATTATTGCAATGCACCCAGTTCGCGGCTACAAATTTCGAAACTCAGGCTACGCGGTAATCTCGCCTCGATGTTAATTTAGTCCACAATGTTGCAAACGCTTTCAGGTATTTTTATTTCTAAGAATCTTAGACCGATGGAATTGGTACAGAACTAGCAATAACTGAGCTTCCATTGTATAGTCACGTTGAATGAATTCCGTATAATTAGTACGTGCAAGGGGCATACTAATTACCGAGATATCGTTACGTAATTACATCGTTATCACTCCTTTCCTTAGGACGTTTAGCCTGGTGCTGAATGCCGAATTAATTTCTGTAAATTCATTCGTGCGAGAACAAGCGAAATTACGTAGCCGTGTCGTCGACGAGACGAGACGACGAGAAACTTTTATTATAGAACGAGTTATAATAAAGGAAGGAATGTAAGTAAATTAATTGTACTTAATTCGGACGTGCTAGGATCCTGCATACACGAAGGTGCGTCTTTAATTGTAATTGCAATTAATGGTTGACAATGTTCTCGAGCAATTCCTTACATCGTCGAAACGGTATACAAGAAGCATGACCATTGTCGGATATATTAAGAAATATAATAATTCCGTACCTTGTTTCACGGTTATTTATTACAAAGAGGTAAAATGTAACCGACACTACGGATATGAATTATAACAATAAACCAAAAAGACTTAAAATATACATTTCTAGAGGGGTGATTCACACGAGCTTGCTCTTTAACGCGTCTAGTATTTCTCTATTATTGTTCGCAATGGCATCAAAGTTCGACTACTTGCCACTTTCCTCGTGGATACTTTTCCATTTTTTACTCAAGACTCGGTGTCTCCGTCTAGTAATAAATTCTCAGCAAAGTACAGTTTTAGGTATAACGAAGCCCGTTACCGAACGGCTATTACACGTGTATAATATTAAGCCGTAAAGTGTCGTTGCGATGATAACTAAGATGGAAAACCCTCGAATTGTTAGTAATCTCATAGAGACATAACGTCGCTAGCAATTTGCCCCGCGGACAAGTATGGGAAGGCAAAGGCTCCGGAGGGTGATTTATTTCGGTGATTGGCATACGATCGAGCCAAGAAAAATATTCCTCGTTACTTCCTTTACTCGCTTTTAATATAACGTTTCACGCTAAATCGCTAAATACATGTAACGCGTATGTTAACGTCTTTCGGGGGACACGTTAGTAGTAAGCGAGATTAAGTTAATCGGTAACATGGCGTACGCAGACGTAGAATTAATAGTTGCTTCCATTAACGCGGCAACGCCCGTCTGCCGACTCGTAGCGATATACGTTCTCCGCGATGCAAATTTAAGACAGGGTAGACCTATGCATTTTCTATGAATGTGGACTCTTGAATGTAATAAATAGCTACTTGTACGTTACGCATAAACTTGGCCATTACCGAACGGTGTCGACGTGGTCCACGATGGGAGGGAGAAGATCACTCGCTCGCAAGATGGCAAGACACTGAATGAACCGTCTCGTTCCAGCGATCCAGGGTAAGCAGCAGACGGCAACGAAACGCGGTCGACTGCTGATGCGCCAGCCACGAGTGAAGAAGGAGTCGGATTCCGGACATCCGTCCCCGGACAGCGAGCCAGGATCGCCGCACATCGTGCCCCCGACGCCGGCCCTGAACCTTCCTCAAGGTTCGCAAACCCGGGAGGAAGGCCAAGGTCCGAGCCCGCAGTTCGCCGCGACTCCTCAGCAGAACCTTCTGACCGTGCCTCAGCCCTCGTATCTGGTGAAGCAGCACTCCCACCCTCTCCTGCTGCCCAGCCAACAGCCCGGGACCTCCGCTTCGGGGAGCTACTGGATCCACAGGCAGCACTCGAACCCCGAGTGCCCTGGCATAGTGGTGGAGCCCGTCCCGCAAGTCAAAACCGAAGAGGTGGCTCCGCCCGAAGAGGGCAGCCCCAAGGAAGGAGCCGGACTCCGGAGGAGCTCCTCCTCGCCGCAAGTAACGGTTCTTTCGCCTCTTGCTTCGACGCGTCCTTGGGAGATCTCGCGAGTAACCGTTAACGATTCTTCGTAGACCGGGAGCAGGAGCGGTCTTCCGGGAACCGGGGAGAACCGATCCGGACACTGTCCGGTACAGCGTCCCGGTCCGGCTCTGGGTTGCAATCATTGTTGGAACACGATAGACGGCCACGGCAGGATCCTGAGGAGGAAGACCAAGTACCATTGTCCGGAGTGCCAGATAAACCTCTGTATCGTACCTTGCTTTCAAGAGTTCCACGAGCGGCAACGGGAGGTGTCGACCACTGCTACCAAAATCGCTATCCTCTCGACTCTGAGGCCGCTACCAAAAACTAGTTCTATTTAAGTCGCTCTTTTTCTCTTCTTCCGCGGAGAACATATCATCGTACGGGTGGAAATCCTGAAACAGGAGAGAACTTGCGAAATCTGGTGCCGAGGCGGTACATCATATTCTTTCGGTAATATGCACACACACCCCCAACGTGGATGTACATAAGTAGCTACGTTTAGTAGCTAGTACCTTTTCTTTCCCTTCCGGAGAACGGCTGACGGCTGACGTCTATCGTAACGATACAACTTATTTTTTTAACGAACATGCAATTGGAGAAAGTACGCGATCGGATTTCTAGCTTTTCGAGTTCTATAAACGAGATTTCGAATGTCGTGCACCGAAATCAAGGAAAAGGAAATGCGTCGCGACCCCACGCGAAGGATTGTTTTCGAGCATTTCGTACAAAATAAAACGATTAACGAAAGCACATATTTTCTCTTGTGTCCTATATCAGAGATCGCTCACGGGCAGGGCTGCGCGGTTCCTCCTTTCGAATTGAGCCTAAGATTTCTTTTCAAAGGAGATACAGGGCTTTCCAACGATTTCTGCCTTAAATTACATCATTTGCAGCGGGTTTTCGGGCTGCCCTGCCCTCGATGAATTTTTTTCGCTCCTGCCATCGATTCAGCCCGACGGGAAAAGTTATTCCCTTCAAATTGGTCTTTCGGACGAGGGGCTACGATTTTTTTTCAGGGGAGTCGCTGAATATTGCCTGCTGCTGCTGCTGCTGCTGCTGCTGCCGAGACGATATCATAAAATGAACTTCATCATTTAATGAACCTTATGCATAGCAATTTCTTTACATTCCATAATAACTTAACATTACATTAACAGCTGTATACCGTTCGAATTGTTACCGTGTCCACATTTATGTATGATCTAACGATACTTTGTACAAGTTTTATGTTACACATATATTAAGACAATTCGGTTTATATATCGTTTAATGTAGTAAATTGGAGTTCACGACTCTGTAGAATCTCATCGAATCATGTTTTTCGTGTATGGTATCGACGACTTCTCTCGTGCCACGGCGTCATTTACAGAGAAATTGTTTCTGGCCAATTTCACCAGGTATGTCTCGAAATCGGGCAATACGGAGAGATATTGTGAACTACACAGTTACGTACTGTACCGATACAAGTATATTTTATTCCTATTCATTTCAGATTTATAGACCGTGAAGTATCGTTATGATTTTGATACTTTGGCTTCCCATGTGTGAATGGTAAATATCGATATTTTATCATATGCTGTAACAGATGGTCCATGGTTAGCATTACGTCGTATTTATCTACTGCATGCACTAATCACGGTAAATATATTTGCTCTGAGAGTAGAAACGACTCACAGATTCTTACCTTTATTTGACGCTTCATAGTAATGCAAAATAGTGTTATGAAATACATAACAAGGATTGGCCAGAATACTGGAATATTGAAGCAATCAAACATTGTGCATACCATAGCGAAAATAGTTGATTTTGTTACAGAGTACCAAAACTTAAATTCTGGAAGTCGCCTAATAAAAGGTCTAAATTCATCGCTAGATCTTGTCGGTAATTCTGGGCCATCGCCATCTTTAATAGAAGTATTTATATTAGTATTAATAGTTGCGATAAATGCAGATCGGCCAGACCATTAAAGACGGATACGTTTCTTAAACAACCATAAGAGATGATCTTTACCATCAAAATCCATCGCTGGATCAATCTTTGGTGTGAGGAATGCAATGAATAAATTTAAATGATAAATCCCCAATGCATATGTAATGATGTACCAACCCTGGAAGAATTAAAATAATACTATTAAATTTATTCTTTCTTCGTAATATTAATTCATTTGTAATATGTTACCTGTGATAATAAAACACGTAGAACAAATATAGCTATTAAGAATACTGCAAATATCCATCTTGATATCGCACGGGGTGTCCAGAGGTCTAGATAATTCTGGTATGTCTTTAAAACAAAAAAATAGAATTGTTGCTTTTCTACACAAAATTATTGGACGCACGATCTTTAGACAATAATTCTGTAAGTTAATTTTACAAACCTGTGATATTCTAACTACCGATTGTGTAAAGATATTCCGTTTAGCAGAAGCTCCTAGATCCTCATCTTGCATCATTGTATCCTTCTGAAATACACCTCTTTCCTTTCAATATTTATTCATTTGCCCTGCTTCAAAGAACAATTTGAAACATCTGTTAAGTTTGCTATACAATTCTTGGTCCTAATACAAATATTTCAGTTAATTACATATACCCATTTATGTGAGTTGGACTTAGAAAGACATGACGTTCAATTAATAAAATGACAATCGTTATTTTAAAATGTACACCATCTTAGTTTTCAATAATATTTGTATTTTTCAGTTCATGATATGTAATGCCTCCTACTGAAGTGTTACGTTAACTACCGAGCGGCGCATTCATCAATCGGTGAATCTCATCGATGGACCGCTTGACACACAATTTGTTCCTGATCACTAATTGGTTGCTGACCTTTCCTGCTTGGCAAATTCCATGCAAACTATCCAGATCACTTTGGAACGGTTTAATAAGTCACTTTAAAAATGATACCACGACAATACTAACACAACAGCTGGGCTACAATTTTAACAAAAAAAGGAAAAAAGACGTTTATAATTTGTAAATTCAAAGTACCAAGTAATAATCAAAAAGGTACTACCGATTATCATGAATATAATTGTGTGTAAGAAACGGCGATAAATTTGGGAAAAAGGGTGTCGTTGAAGTGAATCTAATGAATACTGACGGTTGATGTAAATCCTTTTAAAAGCATGAGCTTTACGTCAAATTCACGACTTTTGTCTTGACGAGATTGAGGTTGATAAACTTTTTGTGCTTGTTCGGAGTTGCTCGAAAACACGTAGTAGCATAACGTCAAGCGAAATTAATTGCAAAATGTCGAAAAAAGTAACGGCACTGCACTGATTGTTTCCCGAAATTGACAAAATGAGGTGACAACGTTCACACGAAAATAGAGAATAACCTCAAAGTGCAAGAACACGGAACTCATTTACCTGATCGTCCGATCGTCTTCCACTGATCTCTTTTAGGGTACAATACCAACACCGATAGATTGTTTAGGTTGTAATAAAAATATATGTGTGTATAAACACTTTATAACATTAATGGAATACTATGAATAGGCGACTACACAATTTTCAAAGTATAATTTCTTGAAGAACTACTTGTGACGGTGGCCGATTGTCATTGGTTCATTGATTAAAATCGTCCATAGATAAGATACCAACCAGATTCGGGTGTGCCTAACCGCAGTTCTGAATATTCACGCGCAGGTGCTGCCACGTCTAACCAACGTTCCGATTGGCGGATATCGAAGGTAAAGATGAAGAAATGGAGTTAATGCCGAGTCGGATTTTCATGTATATACATATATACATACAGGACTCACCTCCTCGTATATTGTAAATACTCTCTAGCCCACTGAATTCTTTGCTTTGAATGAGCGGCTAGTGAAAGCCGTAAAAACAGGTTGTTTGCATTGTACTGCAATAATGGTTGGAGAGAAAAAAGTCGAATATTTAATAGTTGATACGAGTGCATTCATTAAAAATGTGCCGCTGCAGGTAACCGTCGCAGTTCATGCTTTATTTTGAGTAATATTTTATTTAGTGTCATTTGAGGTTAATTGAACCTGCTGCCATATGTGTCAGTTCAATAATCCGTGCGACATACAGAATAATCTGTCAGCATTTTCACCTGTATTTAACATTGTAGGACATTGGCCAAAATATTCTAACGGAAGAAGCAGTCGTCGATGAGATTACTAATAGAAGGCAGTTACGGAGGCTCGTTGTACTTCCGTATGACCTGATCATAAGGAATACTTTTTCAGAAAATGTTGCTTTTGGTAGGAAATGATTTAAATATTAATCTGTAATATTTTTTAATGATTTTGCTTGTATATCTTTAGTAAATATTTACAGTTACTGAGTTTGCTAAGAAAACGGGAGATTATCCTAGTTTATCCGCTACGGATATTAAGGTCATTGCTCTTACTTATCAAATAGAAAAGGAAACGGTAGGAACGGAACACTTAAAAACAGCACCGACATTGATGAGAACTATTAAGACCAATTTAGAGCCAGAGGATCACCCAAAACCGGTAGCTGGATTTTATTTACCTAAACGGAGGAACAGAAAAGTAAATATTCTACCTATAATTATACAACTCGGCATGATTATATGACGTTCTTTCGATATGATACATATATGTATTTAATTTTTATAATATACAAGGATTCCAATACCGATGATGAATCTAGTAGCGATATAGAAAGCAAAACCAATTTAGAAAAAAAAGCGAAAGAAATATTAAATAGATCACGACCACTGATTCAATCTGGTAGTAGTAGCAGAGAAAATAGTTCATCCTCCAACAGCTATGGTTTGTCTGAATCTGATTACGAAACAGCTTGCTCTGATATAGATGACAGTAATGTGGTAGAAAACTTTACAAATTTAAATTGCAATGTGGATGCGTCCAAGGGTGATACCATAAACGAACATAATGTTGATGATATTTTGACATTGGTTAAAAAAGAGAATGTAATTAAAAATGATGATATCAGCAAAGAGAAGGAGGAAGAAGAAGAAGAAGAAGATTCCGATGACGTTGGCACGGATCATGGATGGATAACTTCCAGTAATTATATGAAATATTAAATTAAATTTCTACTCATATTTCATTATTATATGTTAAATATATTTAAGTTATCAAGAGCTACTTTTTATTTGCTTAATGTTTCCAGGTAATATAGCCCATGTTAAAAAGCAAATGAATTCGGACATTCTTGAAGAAAAACCTGCCAAAGTTGCTTGCATGACTACCGATTTTGCCATGCAAAATGTATTGATGCAGATTGGACTAAACATTGCGGCACTGGATGGTCGTGTTATCAAGAATATGAGAACGTTCATTCTGAGGTGCATTTCCTGTTTCAAGACAACTAGCATTATGACCAAAGTCTTCTGCCCAAATTGTGGCCACGACACGTTGAAAAAAGTAGCTGTATCATTGGATGACAAAGGAAACCAACAGATTCATATTAACGCTCGGAAGCCTCTTTCGAGGAAAGGAAGGCGGGTCAGTTTGTATTAACTAATTACTTTCAAATGATTATTTTCGATCATTTGTGATAATTTGTTCCTAATGTTTCAACCAACCTATTGACAATTCCAGTTCTCATTACCGACACCTCAGGGTGGGAAGCATGCCTGTAACCCAATTCTTTTCGAAGACCAAAGGATACCGGATCAAAGACCTTCTCGATTGGCTCGTACAAAAACCGACGCTCTCAATGACGATTATATTGCTGGATATTCACCTTTTGTGATGCGAGACACAAATTCTAGATCTGCAATTTTAGGTATTCGTTCCAGAAGAGAGGCCAAACACTGGATGAGAAAAAATCCCAACGAATCGAAGAAAAAACGCTGAAGTGCTTATCGAGTCATCAACCTTTATATACCCCATTTCTTAACATTTTCATAGCGGTAATATAAGTCTTCAAAATGAGTTTAAAATTAATGGCCTATGATTCATTTTCCTTCCAATTATTGAAAAATCTCAAATTATTTGAAATACATCACGTTGCATTCTCAAGGACTTTGAATAGGATTTAGGTGTTCTATGCACGACATCTGTAAAATGTTTATAACTTTGTTACGTATGTATGTATGTATGTAGATTAATTACTCGCACTTAACATCTGTTCTTTGTCTCTTACCCATTTATAAAGAATAAGACAAAACTGATATATTTTGTATTACTTTTTAAACTCACCTATATCTACTGGGTCTGTATAAAAATTCGTGTCTTGAAGAGAATATAAAATAATTTCTACATTTATAGTATATAATTAATTATTTCTTTAGAGGCACTGCATGCCTCCGAATGCAACTTTTTTTTTCCCTCTCTCCCTCCCGCTCGCTCTTGAGAGAGAATTTCTAATTTCTTTGTTAACTGAGAATCAGTTATTCTCGTGTAATAATGTTTATTTATCGATACGCTTCACCGTGTATTTCTGTTATAAATTCGTAATAAAAAATTGCCCCGGGTGAGGATCGAACTCACGACCTTAAGATTATGAGACTTACGCGCTGCCTACTGCGCTACCGAGGCCGGTAATATGCGTGATGCTTTCGTACATTCTAACCTGCTGACGGATATAGGTACAAATTGATACATACCAATGTATTATCAATCTCACTTTTGTCAATTTCTTTAGTACAGTAGGTACATACATACCGTAAACACCTTTTTCATCAAATAGGTTAACGGAACGTTCTGTAATAGTTTATTGTATTTTCCAACTTTAAAACAAAATATGCGATATATTAATATAATTTTTGCCCGATATTGCGAAAATCATACGACGAATGGACTATTTACCAAGGAAGAGACAAGTGCACACGCCATTCAGTAATTTTACAGTTAAAAAATTCAGAAACCTCGATGACATGTACATATAACTATAATACAATACTTAATAATAAGTAAAGTTCATCAAGCTTGAGAGGATATTTGAAGCACGACGTCGTTCTCCTGGGTTTTTATTATGTTATAGGCAGATGGTCGACTTCGCCCATCTCCGTTATGGTCTCACCATTCATGGTGTAACTCAACATGAATTTCAGTGACAACGACTCCTGTAAATAATGGCACGATCTTTAAACCGAGATGCTATAAGAACTTGTTACAAAATCTTATTTACGTTATAAGGAAATTATCATTTTATATGCCCGTTTTAAAGTTTATCGCGTATACCTTGTGCGGATTTGCGATCAGCATTATTTGAGTGATGGCCGAAGGAGGTAAAAAGGGATTGTGCCCGGGTAACGTAGTCCCGGAAGGTGGTTGGAGTCTGCATTTACACTTCTGTATTAGACAAACATTATTTTAGTCAAAGGGTATAGATGAGCGGTGTAATATACCAAAGCAGTCGAATCGTTGAATTTTACAAGTTGCAAGATAGGTTAGAGATGCTTACCTGAGGTACGACTGCTTGGAATAGATAATTGGTAAGAGGCTTCAAGTTTTTGCTGGTCATCGTTATCACAATTACGGAAACATTTGGCCTGGGCTCGTCTTTTGCAAAGTGGAAAATCACGGATATACCATTTTTTTCTTCGAAAGCGATTAACGGAGGAACTGTTCCTGGAATTTCATGTCTTGAGTGAGGTTACATCCCATGCCTCTCAAATATAATACAAAATACATTACTATACATACCTGGAATTATATTCTCAAGGGTAACGTTAATATCTGTCAATGATATAGATTCACAGCTGTGGTTCGTAGGCGCTATTGGAATCGGGCTCACGGAGCTTTCGTCGCTCTTTGTGCTTTCAGCTTCTGCATTAACGTTATTCAAACTTTTAGTGAACGACGGTAATTTGATATCAACTAAAGGAATATCTCCGTTCAATATTTCGGATGATTCATCGCTGAACTCATCATTAATTACTTCTGGCGCCGCAACGGAACCATTTCGAGCATCGGGTAGAGAGTTCTGTGTGACAACTGTCGTAGACTCTAATGGCACAGGGCGTTTCATCATAGCGTTCATAGGTACGTGGGTAGTCTGTTTACTGAAAGCATCAAAGGAATGCAAACAAGGTATATTAATACGCTAACATAGCTCACACGTCAAATTCTGTTCAAGTAATTTGCACCAAATTTAGAGCGTTTCCTCAAATTCCCTTCTTACCTTGACTTGGTAAAGTTCGTCTTTACCGTAGATGGCACAATGCTTTGTTTAAGAAGAGCTTCTCCCAATTCATTCAAATCTTCCAATGCCTTTGCCCTGCCATCTAATTTTACAGACTCAACAGGATTGTCGACCCGGTCTATAGATTAAATATTTTTAATCGGGCTACTAATTTTACGATTCGAATCAGCACGGAGATGGTTCGACTTGATTTCTATTAAAAAAAGAATGTGCAAAACAACATACAAACAATTACCTTTCTTCGTCACAGGTTGGGTAGACATTGGTTGAACCAGATTAATGGTTGGCAATGAAAGCAACGTATCAGTTCCCGATGATAATGATGGAACATCGTTCAAGGAGTTGAATATATCTCCCAATATTTCCATATCGGTCTGAATTGCATTGCAATTTTGATTTTTACTTATTGACCTATCGACAGAGGGGCTGTTGCTCGTTGGAGAGGACAAATCCAATAAGGAAACGCCATTGTTTGTGCTATTTGTGTCCGTCTCTGTAGATACCTGGCCTAATTCAATCACGGCAGCATACCTCTCGAACACATGACCCAGTTCATCGCTTGCAGTAAGTACGTCGCCTATAATTTCGTGAATAGTTGAATTGATCCTTAAATATGTAATGAAAATAAACATATTGATAAAATGGAACACATCAATAGCGTTGCACTCACTGAGCATTTCTTCGTTATCTTGTGTCTCATTTGCTAGCCTTAAAACTTTAGGTAGTAAGTGCTTGCAAGCCTGATGAAGTTCCTTCATTAATTCCAGATCTTCGGTACTAGACTGACAATGCTCATAGGAATCTAACATCTCGGACAACAACTTGACATTGTTATGTACCGACTCCAATTCTAGTACTCTGAGAGAATTCTGCTGTACCTTCCACTCGTTCTAAAGCAGTCGATACAATTAATTTATAGTCAACCCACGTTGAAGACCAAATACAGATCAATGAAGATCAATGAAGAAAAGACAGCGTACATATCGATATATAGATAACAAACCTCTTTGACCATCGTTTTTATGAGCCTATTGGCTGCTTGCAAATCATCAGGATTTTTACTTTGTAACAACTTTTGCAGAAGTTTAGATTTTTCTTCGTCGTCGAATACCGTAGCAGAGTTTGTTGATTTTGACTTAGGTGGCTTAAGTACGTCGTTCTGTCTGTTTATCGTTGGTGGAAGATCATCCTAACAGAAAGAAAAAAAAAAAAAAAACTATTTTTACCACAAATACTAGATGTTTGTATTTTTAATTTTAAGCCATATTTAATAAAATTCCTCTTTTCCTACGTAAACTAACTTTAAGAACGCGTTGCTTCTTCAACATTTCATAGGCTTCCTTTATTTTTATTTCACGGGGATACTCCTTTGTCCACGTATACAAAAGCTGCAGTATTCTTTCTCGAACAACCTCTGGTGTTTTGTCACCGAGATATCTTGGCGATACCAGTTTTATCATTTCGTTTAAAAAACGAAATTTCCCAACCTCTGCATGAAACGTAGAACCACATCTCTTCATGCAAATATCTAAAACCTGAAATCAAAGTCGGTTAAGTCTTTTTGTTGTTTCTCTCCATTTTAACATTTTATACATGCCACAAAACAGGAAACACACAACCGAGAAGCATTAACTCATGAAAACATACGGTGAGCGTTTGAAGAGCCTCCCACTCGATATTAGATTGAATACGGGTTGCTATTAATTTAGTCGCAAAAGGCATTCCTTGGGGTTCCCTGGTGAGAGTAGCACAAAATGCTCCGATGGCTGCCATGTCGGGTTTCACATTTTGAGGATTCGTGGCCATTTCTGAAATTTCGTAAAATATTCACTACTTTAGAGAAAAACGGATAGAAATATATGTCGATACACCGCCGATGTGACAACATTTCTGCAATTCTTTTAATTTAAAAATAATTGTATAAACCATCAATTAATCGTAAATAATTGGATCGGTACCTTGTTTAATGAAAATACTCTAATCAATGATGTTGTCATAACCGTTTAATATTTGCGCTCAAAGGAAACAAATTGCTCGATAAATGTTAGCATCTACTCACGTAAAAGAGCCTCCAGACTCGTAGTTACGATATCCATTTTTATCGTTTGTTCGACCGATGGTGCCTGCGACTATAAAATCTGCTCATTCCAGCTGCATCGGTTCCGAAATCAGTATACTGATTATAAATGCCAAATTTTAACCTGACCACAACTCGACTGTCACTTTGCGAACGCATAATCTGGCATAATCCGTAACCAGAAAGAAGATGAGAGTAAACACGGCTATGAGACTCTTGCGATACGAGCGCCGTTATTTTTCGGGAATCTTTGAGGTACCCGATGCACATTTCTACTTTGGACATATGTCCTAGAAACTCCAATGATTGATTTAAATACGTGGACATGCAAGTAGTTTCAATTGGCGACGCCACTATACACAAAATTGAGCAATCTTGAAAATGTTGGCAAGGAGAAGTGGAAGGTCTGGCGTGGAAAAGAGCCTTAAATGTGCTTAAATGGGACGATGCAGGCTAATGCAGACTAATGGGCGGCAAGTTGCAGTAAATTCCGCAAATTGCGATTGATTCAAGAAGAAAAGAGTTGTGCGATTAAAAGTATTGTAATATACGAAGTGATGTATTCTATGAAAACCCCCACACTTCGGATAGATGATGCCGATTTGAGATGTAAAAAGGGTTGTGGCTTTTTTGGCAATGCCGAGTGGAAAGGTTATTGTAGTTGTTGTTATCGGGAATACTTGCAACAGCAACGGGCTCAGGACGAACGTGCTGCTTGTGCTGGGTCGCGAGCATACGAGAGGTAATTAAACGTAATTATTTCTTATGAGTCGGAGTCGATTGCTCGAAAGTCTAGAAGCGACAAAGGATATGTGTATCTCTAGTGGATACCTGCTCGACAATGAGTATGGTTGTCCGTCACTGTCAGTGTGTATTCACTGAAGAAATATCCTTACAACCGTTGTAAACTTCTATGCATATTAATGATTATGCATACGTTTTAATTACTAGATTGGTCATTTATATTCGATGAGTCTGAAAATGACTGCCTAAAGTTCTTGCCGATTGTTGAGTTTAATTATATATTCATTCGGTCAATGTATTTTTTTTTTTTAATTTCAGCGACGGTCATGGTCAAATCTCGGTGGTATCCGACCCCCATGCATCGGAAGAGAAGAAGCATCAACCTGGGAAACCTAAAAAGCTCTTAACGCTCACATCGTTTCGAAAGCCTACCAGAGGATGTACGATTATTACTCTACCATATTAGAATTTATAACGACCACCAGTACAATTTTGGTCCTATATTACTTTTATGTTTACACAATATTAATTTGATTATATTGTTAATAGAATATTTATGGCATCCTGCTTTATATAAACGAAAGTAAATTCTCTTTGCAGCACCAAGGTATGAGATCTTATTACACGAGCTAATGAAGGACAATCAGGATCTGATTAAGGTCAAATCGGAAAATCGTGATCTTGTAGAGGCGATAGTTAAAACATCTGCAGAAAAAGATGTGCAAAAGCAAATCTATTCGTTCGTGAGAGAGATCCTTCAGTGCAAGGATGTGAAAAGAATAGAAGAGTTGTCTGAAATAACGCAAAACTTCTACCAAATGTTTGCTAAACGAATGGACGGTCATCCATGTTATGCAGGTACCCATTCACTGATTCCATCACGACATATTACTTAACTGCGATCGATCGCAGCAATGTTCCGATTTCAGAAATTCCATTGGAGACAAGGGAGAAACTTTTAGACTACGTGGAGAGGTACACCATGACTTTACTGTACAGAATCTTATTTTGTCCATTATTAACCTCTGACGAGAAAAAAGATTTGGCCATTCAAGACAGGCAAGTGACAATGAATTGCTACTTTGTATATCTTTAAGAGGTTGTAATTGCATATGAGATTGTAAGAGTACTTTATATATCTTGCAGGATACGGCAATTAAACTGGGTTAGTGGGAAAAACTTAGAATGTAGAATTCATGAAACAAGTTCCGAGGTGAGGGAATTAGTCTATGCTTCGATAACAGGTAAACTAAATGTAATATTTACATCTTTGGTATAAATTTTATTAAAGTCAATGGTGGTGTGATAAATGAACTGTAAAAAAATGTTCATGTGTGACAAAAATAAAAATTCAATTCTCCAGATCTCTTAAATATGGATGCCGCAAAAGCACCACAGGAAAAACTTGCATGTATCGTGCATTGCTGCAAGAATATTTTTGTAATGTTACAACAGTCCGTCGGAGGTCCCGCATCTGCTGACGAATTCCTGCCAGCTCTTATCTTCATTGTCTTAAAAGCGAATCCTGTCAGACTTAAGAGTAACATTAATTTTATTACCAGATTTTGTAATGCAAGCAGGCTTATGACTGGAGAAGGTGGTTACTATTTTACAAATTTGGTACGTACTTTTAAACATTTTGACACGATTACGACATCGTTATTTGTTATAAACTTTGTTTTTAGTGTTGTGCCGTGTCCTTTATCGAAAACTTAACGGCAGAATCGTTAAACATGACGGAAAAAGACTTCGAGGCTTACATGTCGGGCGAACGAGTTCCAGCTAATACTTGGGAATCTGCTTTAACGATATGTGAGGTAATTTAAACCTTGCCTAATAAAACTCTACCCATTTCCTCCCCTTCTCTTGCCAAAACGATAATTGTCGTGTCTATTACGAACGTTACTCGTTAATGTTACCAGAGTCTGCATATAATGTGCGAAGACATCACTCTACTCGACGAGATGAAAACAATAAATAATGAAATTTTATCAGAGGCGAGCGATTTGAAAGCTGAGATGACACGGTTTCGTTCAAAAATCATGGAGGATGTAATGACGGCAATAGAGAGGATGCCGTTGATTATTGCTCGTAGTCAAAGAGTGCCTACAAACTTGGATTCCGAAGATGCGGAATCTTACCACTTACCACCACCGATTACGCCTCAGGTATAGACAAAATTTCCACGACCTCGATAATAACACCGTGCAGGATATATATCTTTATTTTTACGAATCACAGGTTTATCGTCACTTGACAAGTGACGAACACGATTACGCCACATTGGGAGATCGAGTCGACGAACCAAAATCCTTGCCAGTCCACCAAGGCGTCACGCCGTCTCCAACTTTTGAGTTTCCATATTTTGACCGTCATAACGAGCTGGATAGCAGTCAAGCGGATGACGATATCAGTTTAATAAGTTTAGATCCACGTTACGACTTCACGACCGAATCTTACTTCCAGGACAAAGCTACGTCGGACAGTTCCTTAGATGAATCGCATAACTACGGGACGAGTAGACCGACCGTTAGAAATTCGGCACAGGCGGACTACCACGGCTTTGCCGTTCAAGGTTCAAGCATCCCAACGATACCATGTAACACGGGCGATCTCTCTTCGATCTCTTCCGAGCTCGAGTCCGACTCCTATTCCGGTTACCATCGAACTTCGTGAACTTATGTACTCGTTCGAATACCAAAGACCCTCGATCGAAGAGGACGCAGCCGTGGCAGCATCGTAGAGTTTTTCGATGTTAAATAAACGAGAGCAGACTAGAACTCGAGAAAAATTTGGAGTGGTCGAAAACATACGTGGCAAGGCAATAAAATCGATAAGATAAATCCCGGAGCAAAAAATACTTGGTAAAGCGATTTCAACGCCGAGAGAAGATGGCGCCACCAACGGCGGAGCCGGTGGCGCCCTGCCGCGACGAGGCGTGGCACTCGTTCTGCTCGAAATCATGTGTCCTCTTAGTATCCTGCGAGTAGCGTTCGCGTATACCCTCGTCGAGGTGATTTCCCGAGAAACGTCGATCGAGCGGTCCGTGGCGCAGCTCCACGGGAAGGCAACGGCAGAGGTAGATGCGGGGAGCGAGACAGAGAGAGGGCAGACGACGGCGGGAGAGGGAGAAAGAGAAAGAGTGAGAGCCTTGCGTCGAGTGCGCGCAAACGCGCGGACGAGTGAACCGCGAGTGTAAGATCCTCGGCGAACGCGACACCGACGCGCCGCGAGGGCATCGCCCGGGCCAACGAGAGCGACCGGGTCGCGGGGATATGCGGGTGCGAAGTGGCGAGGGCATCGTCGCGCGATCTCACCGTCGGGACGTCCTTCCGCGTTTTTTCCCCCTCCGGCGCCGTCGTTCCGTCCATTTTTCGTTTTGAATCGAGGAGGCGGCGTCGGCGCTCGACCGCGCCGAACGAGGACGACCGAAGCTCGGATCCTCCCAATCGGGAGGATTTCACGGGCGATTACACGATGCGGACGCGGATTCGAGCTCTAGGTGAGAACTCCGATCGGCCGATCGCGGAATGGGTCGCGCGACCGTCGCGCCGCCCCGCGGCGAAAGGTGCGCCCTGCCTTACCGGTCGCACGCGGCGCGCGGCGCGCGGCGCGCGACCTATCGATTGTCGCGCGACCCATCGATCGCGATCTCGCGGCGGGCCGTCGATAAACCGCCGCGGCCGCTGTTCTCCGCAGCTCTCTGCCCATCTCTGCCCCTGGCAGCCTTTACGCGAGCGTTTTTCCCTCGTCCGAGCTGACCGCAAAAAGTGGTTCGTATGTGGTCGACTATCGCCCGCTCGCAGTTATCGTTTACCGCAATGGAAAGAGTGCGTAAGTCTCCTATTCAAACTGGCGCTTAGTCGGCCACATGCGGACCGTTGTCGCTTCTCCGAAAGTCCTCTGTACGAAGAGAAAACGCTATTTACATCGTCCAACATATACGGAACGTTGCGCGTATGTCGACAAGTAATTAAGCAGTGCCAGGAGGTCGTAAACTCACGACTACCTCGTTCGTTTTGTGTTTCAGATGAACGCCGAAGGATGTGAGGTAAGGACTCGAGCGACTCGTTATCAAGAGTATCGGGAATGGTCGACGGTCGGTTGACTCGCGTGAAAGCGAAACGGTGCAAGGAAGAAGTTGTCGGGATACGATGGCGATCGGTGAGTATTTAGATTTAATTTGCTTTCTCATCTCAGGTGTGGAGGAAAGGGGCGTGCTGATCGGTGGCGGCGACGGCCATGCGATCCGGCCCGCCGGAATCGAGTCGCCGTAGGCTTTACCGTCGCCAGTACTTGCAGCGGCTGCACGATGAATCTCGGTTCCGGCTGCAGCTGATCTCTGGCTTTCGCACGGTCCTCCTTCTTCTTTTGGCTTGGAATCCCACGCATGCCTTGGCTGACTTCTCGAAAACGATCCTTCCCGACAAGGTGTCTAGCCTCGTTTCCGAGGAAACGCGACAACCGTTGCCTGCCCAAGCGCTACGACCGCTTTTGAGTTACGACAATGGAGCGCAGAGGAAAATTCATAACCTCACGGTTGGTTATCTGACCGCTATCAAGGGAGGCTTGAAAGATCGTCAAGGGCTCGCGATCTCAGGTGCGCTGTCGATGGCCCTCGACGAGGTAATTCTACGGCGTAGTCCTTTGCTTCCAAGGTTTCCTATGTCACCCTTTAGTAAATACCCGAATTCTCTTCCAATATTAGGTAAACAACAATACGGACATATTGCCAAATGTGAAACTAGTTATGCGCTGGAGCGATACGAGAGGGGAGACGGTAGAGGCGACTAAAGCAATGATCGACATGATTTGCGACGGAGTAGTTGCTTTTTTCGGACCGGAAGGCTCGTGTTACGTCGAGGCTATCGTCGCACAGTCCAGGAACATACCCATGATTAGCTATGTGAGTATCCAATATTTTCCTATACGACGCTAGCAATATATTTGTCTAAAATATGTATTAACGGGTCGATAGCAAATTTAATAGCACTTTGTAGGAATATTATATTCCGAATTAATTTATCGCAAGGTTTAATACGTGTCACAGAAATGCTCCGATTACAAGGCCTCGAAAGTCAGTACCTTCGCTCGGACGGAACCGCCGGATACGCAAGTAACGAAGTCAGTGATAGCTCTGCTGCTGCATTATGGTTGGAACAAATTCACTGTTGTAACGGAGAGTGCATGGTCGACAGTTGCTCGTTCCTTGGAAGACCAAGCCGCTAAACACAACCTCACCGTAAACCATTACAGAATTGTGGAGGATCGACATACTTGCTGCGAGGAAAGACTACCATGCTGTCAAGTCAACGTTTGGTTCCAGTTAATACAGGAGACCAAAAATATGACTCGGAGTCAGTCCCTTTTACGTGTTTTTTTTTTTTCTCTCGAAAACGATTACGTCTGGTATCTGCATGTATTAACGATCGTGAATTTTTTTTCCTTTCAGTTTATATTTTTCTGGGCACTGCGATGTCGTTGATAGACATGATGAACTCGATGCAGAATCAACGATTACTGGACAATGGCGAATACATGGTGATACATGTCGACATGATGACGTATTCGCCACGAGAAGCGCAGAAGTACTTATGGAGTTAGTATTCCTGAGATTTGGAGCGTTACCGCGTTAGGCAGTACGCACGATGGATTACGGTATATCAATTAATAGAGTTAGTAACTTGACTAGTCTAAATATCGTGATGGAATCGAGATTTTAACTGACATGGATTCCTCGTTACAGGTCGTTTGATCGTTCTAAATTAAAACGGTTTAAAATCACGTTAATTTAGAATAGCTTAGCAAGAATTTAAATCATATTAAATAAATGAACGTGAGTAAATCGTACGGCTCGATGATGTCCACAGTTACGGGTTTATCAGTAAGATAGTATAAGTTAACGGTAATGAGTTGTGCAGTTAGTTGCTGTTCCATCAAAGAATTTCGTAATCATTTCACCTCTTTTCTCCACTTTCGCATAGAGCATTCTATGCATAAATAAACATCCAAAAAGATACCGATTGATTTTGTCAAAGATGAAGCATGGTGACGGTCATGTTGAAACATTTAGTATATAGAAAAAACAACAATGTTTGGATAAAAAGCTGGAATTCTTTTTATATATATAGCAGACTACATGATTTTATTTGTACATTACGCATAAAGTGCACGTGTATACTTTCCATGCATGAGCTAGCCTAAAAACTGAACCTTAAGGGAACCGTCATGGAATTCGTTGATGGAATACACCTGTAGGTATTAATCGAATACTCGTACTTGTCGCAAGTCTTTTCAATTGTTTCTCTGTTTCTTTTTTTTTTTTCCCCTTCGTAGAGCCTGAACACTTCGACAACTTGAAGAATTGTCGCGACCCAAAAGATTTCTTAAAGCGAGCTCGATCTCTTATGGTGGTCGTGTCTACGCCACCGACTCAGAGTTACGAGGAATTTACAAAGAAGGTGCGCGAGTACAGCAGCAAAGAGCCTTTTAATTTCGTAATACCCGATCTTCTGAAAAAGTATGAAAAGGTACTACTTACGGATACAGATATTAGACGGATGCAGACTATACCGTATTCGCTTTACTGATGGCCGTATCGTTACACATTTCAGTATGTCTCTATCCATGCAGCATACCTCTACGACTCGGTCAAACTATACGCACGAGCATTGGACCAACTTTTGCGAGACCAACCGGATCACGATTTGAAGGAAATAGCTGCCAATGGCACGCAGATTATAGAAGCGATCATAAAAAATCATACTTATCAGAGTACGTAACATCTTGACAAGGAACGATCCTACAGTGCCATGGCATCCAACAACGTTTATTCATAAATTTATGTTCAGGTGTCAGCGGAGCTACGATTAAACTGGACAAATTTGGCGACTCCGAAGGGAACTTCTCCGTATTAGCCCTGAAAAAAGATCCCTTTCGCTTGAATAATTTTTCCTGTGATTACCAAATGAAACCGGTGGGTCAGTTTCAGCAAGGTGAAACTCTAGTGAGTGAGTCGTTTACAGCATTTGTGCACATTACGCTTCTACGCTGTGAAACGCGAACACAATATTTCCATCATACGTCCTGTAAATTGCTCCTCGCCGTTGCGTTGAAAATGGACTTTTATTGTGCGCGATTCCAACTCGCGAGTGAGCGAAACGGAGCGTTGTTAACGAATCGAGGGATTATTTTGCAGGTCTACCGACCGTCGGAGGCCGTCGATTGGCCCGGGAAAAACAAACCCGAAGCGGAACCTGGTTGCGGCTTTCTCAACGAGCATTGTCCAAAAGATGACACGCATCTGCGCAGCATCATCGCAGCCGGAGTGCTCGCCGTTCTTTTATTCTGCGCCGCCGTGGTAACCATGAGCATATATCGCCGATGGAAGATCGAGCAGGAAATCGAGGGACTGCTGTGGAAAATCGATCCGAGCGAAATACACGGCTATCCTCATCTCGACACCTTGATGTCCTCCCCTAGTAAGGTGAGGATTTGAATTTCGCCGATTCGCCTTCGATAAAGAGGAATTTTTCCTCCGCAGTTAAGTTTAGTTAGCGCGATGTCCTACGAGTCGAGGTGCGGTGGTCAAGTGTTCGCGCAAACTGGTCATTACCACGGCGTCGTGGTACGGATAAAGGAGCTGAAATTTTCGAAGAAGAAGGACATCTCGCGAGACGTCATGAAGGAGATGCGCACGCTCCGCGAAATCAGACACGGGAACCTCAATTCTTTCATCGGCGCTTGCGTCGAACCCATGCGAATACTGCTAATTACCGATTATTGTGCCAAAGGAAGTCTCTATGTAAGTACTCCGTGCCTCCTTATCCTCGACGTCGGCGAGCGCCGCAGGAACTCGACCTTAACGGCACTTCTTGTTCGCTTTGCAGGACATCATTGAAAACGAAGATATTAAGTTAGACGATATGTTTATTGCCTCTTTAATTTATGATCTCATTAAGGTAAGGCATACTTGTGGTATTTCTTCTCGGAGGTCCTAAAAAGGCAATCACTCACGTTTCGCGGGTATGCACAGGGTATGATGTATATTCACGAGTCATCCGTGCTAGTTTGCCACGGTAACCTGAAATCTTCAAACTGCGTGGTAACGTCACGTTGGGTTCTTCAAGTGTCCGATTTCGGACTTCACGACATGCGCCAGTGTGCGGAGTCGGACAGCATCGGTGAACATCAGTATTATCGAAGTACGTACGGCGTCGCGCCCGGGGGACGTGGATGGGACCTCTTTATCGTAATCGATATCGCAATAATCGTGTAATTTACCGCGTTCTCGTCGCCCAATGAGCGACGATGATACGTTGATAAATCGATTTCAGACTTATTTTGGAAAGCTCCGGAATTGCTGAGGAACCTTCACGCTCCGTTACGAGGCACTCAGGAAGGAGACGTATACTCGTTTGCTATAATTCTGTACGAAATATTCGGACGTAAAGGACCATACGGAGGGGTGAATCTTGAACCCAACGGTAAGATTGCCGTTTTTCCGTTTTTCCGTTTTTCCGTTTTTCCGTTTTAGTCGACCCGGCACGCGAGCACGGTAGCCAGGGAAACGAGCGCGCGCGTGCACTGACGAACTTGTGTCGAAACAGAAATCATAGACCGAGTTAAGAGGTTTCCGGGAGATGACGAACCACCGTTTAGACCCAACATCGACATACTGTCCGAATCCGAGGTGGACTGCGCGGAATACATCGTTGGCACCATTACCGACTGCTGGGCCGAGAGTCCCGAGCTCAGGCCGGATTTCAAGAGCATCAGGACCCGGCTGAAGAAAATGAAGGTCGGTCGGCACCGTAACATCATGGACCAAATGATGGACATGATGGAGAAATATGCCAACAACCTCGAGGATCTAGTCAGCGAACGAACGCGCCTTCTCTTCGAAGAGAAGCAGAAAACCGAGGACCTGTTGCACCGAATGCTCCCCGAGTAAGCGCCCGGTTTCCCCTTTTCTCCCGTCCGGGACCGTTTCCGGGACCGTTTCCGGGACCGGTTTGGTTCGGAATTAACCGCGTTCGATGTCTCCCGCAGACCCGTCGCCAATTGCCTGACGAACGGCATCGGCGTGGAGCCCGAAGCCTTCGATTCCGTCACGATATATTTCAGCGACATCGTCGGCTTTACGGCGATGTCGGCCGAAAGCACTCCGTTTCAGGTACTCGCTGTCATTACTCGATGTCGTTACTGAACGATCGTTCAGAGAAGCCCGAATTTCATCTTGTACTCACGATGCATGCCCCGTGTTTCTACTTTCCACAGGTTGTTAATTTTCTCAACGATTTATATACGTTATTTGATCGCATAATCAAGGGATACGACGTGTACAAAGTGGAGACCATCGGCGACGCGTACATGGTGGTGAGTACACGCAACCGTTTTCGGGGTCGTTCGACGACGATAATCATCGTTCTCGATCAGGTGTCCGGGCTGCCGATCAAAAACGGGAACAAGCATGCCGGCGAGGTGGCGTCCATGTCTCTCGACCTGCTGAACGCCGTGAAACACCACACGATAGCTCACCGCCCCAGCGAGACTCTGAAGCTCCGAATCGGGATTCATACCGGTGAGCCGTCGATGCCTCCTTCCCTTTCGCCCGACCGGATATCGAATCGAATGACATTCTTCCAGGTCCCGTGGTGGCAGGAGTCGTGGGACTGACGATGCCCAGGTACTGCCTCTTCGGCGACACCGTCAACACGGCCTCGAGAATGGAGTCGAACGGCGAGCCGCTGCGCATTCACATAAGCGGCCAGTGCAAGGACGCCCTGGAGAGAATCGGCGGGTACGTCGTCGAGGAGAGAGGGATGGTTTACATGAAGGGGAAGGGCGAGGTCAAGACGTATTGGCTGACGGGTGCTACCGAGAAAGCTATTCAGAAGCGAGAGGTAAGGTTCCGACCCGATCGCTCCTCTCGGACCGAAGGTACGACCGAAGGTACGACCGATGGACCGCGATGGCTTTCAGGTCGACGTGGGCGACCTTCCGCCGTTGTTCAGCCGGCCTCGAAGGAGTCCGAAGCTAAACTCGGACTCGCGGCAGGCGTCGCTGTTGGGAGGACTCGGCTCCTGCAGCAGGAGACAGTCGAACGTCCCGCGCCCGGTCGGGGACGCCTCGTTGTCGCAGTTCAATGGTTCTAGTCCGCTGCCCCGGTCGTTCCAAGCGAAGAAGCTAGAACGGTCGCCCTTCTATCTAGCGGAGAGCTCGTCGAAGGCCGCTCTGCCCAACGCGACCAAGCTACAGGAGGAGTCCGACAACAGGGCGGTCAACATCAAGCTGGCGTTGGACGATCTGTTCCTCGAAAACGGGCAGAGGCTCCGGAAGAGCGCGCAGCTGCTCTCGACGATCGCCTCGTCCTCGTCGACCGGTGGCTACCCCTCGCAGGCGGCGATCCGCGAGTCTCGGTCCCTGGACCTCTTCCCCACGGAGTTCGGCGCCAAGAGCGCCAAGAGCGCCGAGGCGCCCCACCTCTGCTGGCACGAGCCCGGGAAGAGCTTCCGGTCCCTGGATTACTGCGAGAAGTGCGCGAGGGCCGGCCCGACCGCGAACATGGCCGGGAAGATGTTCAACAATAATTACCCGAACGGGAACGTGGTCATAGTGCCTCGCACGAATAGTACAAGCAACGAGGCGGAGACGCCTCTGCTGGGCGCCGAGGGCGGTTTCGGGGTGAAGGCGATCCCCGTCAAGCGCTGGCACTCCCTGGACCCGGTGATCCGGACCCCCGCCGTCGAGAGGGTCCCCGAGCGGAAGCCTTCGGGCCAAACCTCCTTCAGGAGCTGGTTCGTCAACCTCTTCAGTCGAGGCGCCCCGAGAAGCAGCGACGTTACGCTGAGACAAGACCCGATGGCGAGCTACAACGAGAAAGAGAGCATCGTTTGACTCGGACGTCGTCTCCTCGTCCGAGTCGACGCGTCCGAGTCGACGCGTCCTCGAGGAGAAGAAGCGGCGGGGACGAGAGAGCACGGGCATGTTTTATCGTTGCCATTTTTTTTCTCTTAATTTAGGTACGTGCAATGTTATACATATATGAAAGTTACCGACATCGTATATTTTTTATATAACAGGTATTTTACAATTTGTACCAAGACAGAGGGGTGAATCGAGAGGGCGTTGCAAGTTATCCGTAAGTGTGATCTATAATAGGCTGTAAGTGTGAACGTTTTATGCTAGAATATACTTTACCGTAACATCAGACGGTCGTTTCTCCGTAATTATCGTGACTCTCTTTAAAGATGGCTGCGGATTTCAGCGGATTTATCGTTAGCTGTCGCGTGGCCGTCTTTAGACGGAACCGTCTCGTTCGAGTTACTCGAATTCGCCTAACCAAAGCGTAGAAGCAAGGAGAGGAGAGAAGAGTCCCGTGATATTCTTGGTCTTTCTTCCTTTTCTCTCAGTCTCCGGCATCGGAGCGAAAAGACGGTCGCGACCTGGGTGTCCCCTCGTTCCCCCCGACGCGAGCACGGCCTTCGGGAGTGTCCTCGGTCATCGATACGCAAAGGAGCCGATCCTGGAGGTAGGGGGCACGTTGAAAGGAGCGCTCCGTTACCGAACCGAGCCGCTTATTTTTTCATTGTAAATACCGGACATACCGGACATACCGGACATACCGGAGAACGTCGGTCGTCCTTTCGTTTTGCCGAGACCGAGGAGAAACGGTTTCCCTTCCCCGAGACGGTCAAAGGGTGGATCCGTAGAAAAAATCTAATCTTAAGAGGTTTTTATTTATTTTTTACAACTCTCGCGTCACCGACGACTCCGCCTCAGGGTTAGATCCTCGATAAGCAAAGAATATATACATATGCATATCGAATACATTTACACATTTAACTCCCCGTGTAACGTCCCGTTAGATAATTGTAAGATATACCAGCTGCTTGCGTTACACGCGGACGGGGTATACCTCGTATGGTCCTCCTTTTGGATGTAACTTTGCCGCTCGATAGCCGGAACGTCGTAATTTGTTACTCGATTTCGACGATAATATACAGAGAGAATTGTTTGGAAACGGTCTTAATTCCTCCCCCGGGTACTTGCTTTGCGCCGGTCGACTCGCACCATGCAAATATACTTACGCGTTCCTCGACTTCCTTCCAAACGGTGCCCGAAATGCCTCGGCGGCTTCCTACGTGTACGTACAAAATACTTTCCGCACCTCGCCGGGATCCTGCTGGAATGGTGGATCGACGTTTCTATCAAATAATCAGGTCCTTTTTATTTCGAGTACGGAACTCGGTTGCCCAAAGTTCTTTGCGCGTTACACCTCCAACGTCTCGTATAGTGAGTTTTAAATTCTGATTACCGGAAAATAACTATATTTAAATAAGTCTTTCCTTTTGGTTCCGTTTGTTTGAAAAATTCTTACGTTTCTTAGTTTATATATGATACACCCGATCGAGTTCTGGGAGTCGCGATTGGTGTCGTCGTTTCTCTTTCCCACTAGATATCACGGAGAGTTCTCTCCTACGATCGGGACGAAGTTTGGACCTGCCGCGAGGCGCCCCGGGATCGGATTCTGGAGGGACTATCACATTTCGATCCAGCGAGGCCGTGACAAGGGGCGTTTCTCGTGGTACAGACATCGTTACACCGTACATATACGTAATATATGCCACGCAGCGATCCGCGCGTTACAAATACCCACCGAACGAACGGCGACTGATATGGCAGCCATCGAGAGATGAACCCTACACCTGCGTGAGCATCGTGAGCCCGTTCTTGAAGGCGTCCTTGCCCCCTCGGTAAGGCTGCTCCTGGGAGTCGGTCGCGGTGATCGCGGCGGCCTTGGTGATCGCGGTGGTGGACGTCTTGCTGCTCAGCAGGCCCCTCTCGGCCTCCTCGTCGTCGGCGTCGTCCCCGGAGCGCCTCGACGGGCCGCGGTGGCCCTGGGCCCTGTCGGCGTGGGCCTTGGTCCTCCTGGGGAAGACGCTGTTCTCGACGTGCAGCGTGGCGTTGACGTCCTTGCCCCCGGCGCAGGTGCAGGCCTTGAGGAAGCTCTTCTTGAAGTTGTCGCTCAGGAAGGCGTAGAGGATCGGGTTCATCGCGCTGTTGGAGTAGCTGAGGAAGCCCGACAGGAGGAAGCCCGTGATGCTGATCCTGGACTGGCACTTCTTGGGCGGCGTGTACGTCAGGGCCACCTGCATCACCCAGTAGGGCAGCCAGCACAGGACGTAGACCGTGATCACCGTGAGCACCAGCTTGGTCACCTTCCGGTGGGAGCGCTTCTTCTCCTTGGACTTGTTCTTCGGCCCGACCGTCTGCAGCTTCCGGATCACCAGGGTGTAGAAGACGAGGATGAGCACCAGAGGTATGGCGAAGCCCAGGACGAAGGTGTAGAGGATGAAGGACGTCTGGCCGTCGGGGTCGGCGTCGGGGTCGTCGCCGGCGGTCTCGTTGCCCCCGGAGTTGGGCCAGTATATGTTGCAGCTGACGGTCCCGTTGCGGTCCGGCATGGCGTTGGCGTAGAGGAACACGGGGATCATGAAGAGGGCGCTGGTGCCCCACGCCGTCAGCGAGACCATCTTGGAGATGAACGGCGTGCGCATCTTCGGCGAGGAGATCGGGTGGCACACGGCGATGTACCGGTCCGCGCTCATGATGAAGAGGAATATGCTGCTGGTGAACTGGTTCACGCTGGTCGTCGTCATGTAGACCTTGCACATCACCTCGCCGAATATCCAGGAGTGGCTCATCGTCGTCACCAGGAAGGGGATCCCGAAGAGGAAGCACTCGTCCGCGATCGCCAGGTTCAGGATGTAGATGTTCGTGACGGTCTGCATCTTCGAGAAGCGCAGCACCACGTAGATGACCAGCGAGTTGCCCAGGAGCCCGACGATGCAGACTATGGAGTAGAGGACCTGGGTGACGAGGGACACCACCGGGAGGTGCGCGTCGCAGTTGAGCACGATCGAGTCGTTCTGGCTGACGTTGCGGGAGATCTCGACCGAGACGACGTCGGTGCCGTTCATCGTCTCCGCCGTGAAACTCTGAAAATAGTTCGTCTCGGTCATCGGAAAGGCAGACCAGGCGAGAATCCCCGTTTCCCCGGGGTTTACCTCGGTGGCTCTAGGCCGGGAAGTCGGGGCCGCGGGGAACCTCCGCACCGCCGTACGGTGACATCGCCCCGCGACGCCGGCGGAGACGCTTCGGTGATGGGGCGGTGACGCGGCGGTGACGCGGCGGCGCGGTTACATGGCGACGGGTCGTGGACGGGCGCGGACGCGAGACGGAGATCGCCGAGTAACTACGGGCGTCGTCGGACCGCGGGTAACGGAGCGTCGCGACGCATGCGTCCCGTCCGGCGCCAAGCGGCCGAATCGAGCCCAATCTCGGAGGGACGGGAAGAGAAGACTCGGACTCCTTTCGAAATTAAATTACTAAATGCCTTGGACGCTGAACCATTCTCGGTTTATTTCTTCGTCGAGATCTCGAGGTCGCGTCCACGGATCCGCGACGTCGGTTTTATTGCCATATATAATTAAGGTCTACCGATTTCGATGTTTATACATTTCTACCAAGTGCCGAATTGCTTCGGTGTTTCCGATACCGCCACGTGATTTTGCGTCAGGGACGACTCTCGCGGTGCCGGAGGGTGTTGCCAAATTAACGTACGTTCGTGGCCGTCGCGGGCCCGCTGATCCCTTCGTCGATCCAGAGTCCTAGTCGAATTCCGATTGTGCTCTACGAAAAGAATTTAGCATTTCAATCGAATTTAGTCGGGTCGGGTTTAACGTACCTTCGGAAGATCGTACTCAGGATGTTTGCACTCTGTACGAATCTCTTCTCGTTTTTGTGCGCCTGCCGGTGCCACGTCTTGCGAACGTTGAGCCAACGCTTGATGTGGTCTTTCAGAAGAGAGTCCCTCGACCTAAGAGTCTGTCCTTCCTGTATGGCAACGATCCGGTTAATGGTATTTCAAAGATCCTGTATAAATCCAGAGCATGCTGTCACTTACGGAATCTAATTTTAACTCGTCTCTCGTGGGTGGAACGGAAAGAGGTATTCGATTCCTTGGCAGGGCCTCGTCACAGGGTAATGGCAATGGTAAAGAATGTATATCCCGTAGTTCGCCATTGGTGTCGACCAAGTCATCGTTTGCATTGGTATCGTGCATTACTTCTAAGCTAGGAGAATGTGCTCTGAAAATTGAAAGAAACCTACATGAAGGTAAGCATACGGAGTAACGACTGCTATTGACTTCCAATTTTTGTTACTTGGGAATAAGATTTGGATTTCTTGGCTGATTTGCTATCCATGCACGACAGATGGGATACAGCGGCGTGTCTTCCCGAAACTGTGCCAAATCGACGCTCCGGTCGAACAATTTCATGACGTAAGTGTGATGGAAGGCTGGATCGGCCGATATCTGCCGTCGGCGTCTCATTTTGCGCGATGACGTATATTTCAATGATTTTGAAGAAAACGAATCCCTTCAAAAAAAATAGCAGGAACATAAAGTGTAAATATTTGTTCGTAAAAGCAAAGATATTACTAGCTGTAACGATAAGATGTTACGATTTTTTAAGTTGTTTATATTCCTGGGAGGATCCATCTTCGCTGGATTCGGCAGAAGAGTCCGAGTCGGTGTGTTGTAACAATTCCTTCAGAGCTCCTTTTAGTCGGTCTCGAGCAACGAGTACATCGTTATCTCCTATTGAAGGCACACCAAACAATTATTAAACATTTTTTTTTACAGTCAACGGGGGTGAACATGAAATTCTACCCACGGAATGACATCGCTTACCAGTTTCATCCTTTACTTCAACCTTCACACGATTTAATTCGGCAGACTGAATGATCCTTTTCTTTCCCATGTTACAAGGTTAGTAAACATAAATTTAAAACCAGAACAATTTTACTTTTGCCGAGATTACCAGAGATCACCTATTGTTCACGAGAAAAACGAAACGGTTCTCCTATTCGAGACAGCGATGCTTCTACTTTGATAATACCGAAAAACATAGGGTAGAGGTTAGGTGAAAGAGATGTACAGTCAAGAGACCACGTGACTACACCACATAAGAGCGTCCTTCTCGCACTAGTAAGCAGAAGGCGCGACAGAGACAAAATGGTCTCTTGGTATCGAAGGAGGGAGAAAGGTATGAGTCGAAAGTGAGGCACAGCCCACTAGCGCCATGATACTGCTTTCAAAGAGGCGAATACAGAGATGAGTTGGGAAATTGCTCACGGATTGCGCAAGTCGCCTAAAAACACCTAAAAACGCGTATCCCCTCTATTTGGGAAGCTCGCTACATTTAATACATTAATGCTTCCTCCGGAGAAAGATAGATACAGCTGTCCCCGCATCTTTGTCGCATAGGGTACAGTAAGAAGCATGGGTGTGACGAAGATAAGCGATGGCCGGCACTCCAGCATTGTTCCACAACCTGCCACAACCCGAAAACAGCCAGAAATTGTAAAAAAATAACTGGAACGGTTGAAAGTTAATCCATTGCGGTCGTATTCAATTTGTACATAGGTGTTTTGGTGGCTGCGAGTAGCATACGAACGCAAAAGGTTAATAGGACCTGAATAATAAATGGTAGTGGTAATTGTTATATAATTTATAAGTTTGCTTACTGACGGTGAACCGAGTACAAATCTACGCGAAGTCGTTAACTTAAAATTCAGTTATGGGATGCCCTTTTACCATTCATGTAACCTATCCACCGCTCAGCGGTAGTAATAAATATGGAATCGCTGTCGATCGTGCTTAACAATAGAAGTTGATTGACATGAGTCGAATGGTAATCCCAACGGGCCAGATTTGGCGCGGTTTTTAACGTAAAGTGTCGTAAATCGTATGTCGACCCTGAACCCGTATCAAATAGAGTTAACATGTTTTTTAGCGAATGCATGCCTTGATCGAAAAGCTTCGACGCCTCCTCGGCATATTTGCCAGATGCTATACTCTTAAGATCGTATAAACCGATTAGCGAATATATGAATCCGTTGAGTATAAAGGACGGAGGCGTAGTCGGGTATTCTTCATACCAGACATATTTATCCAAGAAGTGAGCAGCAACGCCACCGTCGCTAGATGGAATCCGAAAAGGTTGCAAGCCTTTGATAGCGGCACGCAAATATCGTTCATCACCGGAATGATGATACGCCCTCGCTAAAACCGAAATGGCGTGACCCTGTCCCATGCTGGAATACCTATATTCGATAAGTGATTAGAACCCATAATTGTGTTTTCATTTAATCCCTGAGATTAAGATAGTAAATAATGATGAAGGTTTATACGACTTACCAACCAGGCTCAAGAGTTGCCATACGACTCGCTACTTTCCTTCGAACTTGATTAGGCCAACCACCGGATGTAGTATTCTGATTCGCAACGAACCAACGAGCCGAGTCGTAAAACTGTTCCATATGTTCACTGGTCGATAACGTTACATTGTCGATCATCCCTGATCCGTAAAGAATCATCTTAATAACCTAAAATGAAGAAGCGTCTAATACACCTGAATATTCACACGTGAGAAATACACTCAAGTTCTGGAAAAAGGTTGTCACCTTCAATTTCGACCGAGGGATTTTCTTTTTTGTTTTGTCGTTTACAACGAGCCCTTTCTGCAAGTCTATGATAAGGTCTCTCGTTAATCTCTTCCATCTGTTGGTCATCTGTCCGATACCATAGTAGATGTGATTATTCGAAACTTGTAGTACCGGGCTGTTCGTGGTATAATGTAAATAATAAGAGTCTCTCTTCTCTTTAGATTGTAATACAATAGTTATACTTCCATTGTCCTTAATGCACACGTCAAGTTTTAGCACAAAATCCAAAACATGATCTAAGTTTAAGGAAATTCCAGATGTACTGGTTTCAGGAGTTGCATATTTTAAAACGAAACTATTTACACGTTTATCATAAACTCTGTTTATTATAGATCCTTGGGGAACCAGCCAGTTCTGCCTGATTTTATCCGAATCTTCGATAATTTTCTTATGTGGCTCTGGCTCGGTAAGATTTTTACTATAATGTGATAAACCAAATTGTGCAATTTGAGTGGGATAATAGTATCCTTGACTTTCCCACTGAGTCGATATAGGCACACCGTCACTTCCGCTAACACATTTCACACGATCTCGTACTTCGACGTTGTAATTTTCAAAAGTCATAAACACCCCTCTGGAGTCGTATTTACCCTTCGGACTAACAATTTTTGAGTAACTATGCAACCACTCGAATCTCTCCAAGCCATCGTATGTTGCCAATTTTCCATAAATCTATGGAGTAATAAAAAAATCTCATCGTACACTTTGCAACGTTATATCTAGAAGCGTGATTTAAGGTTGTTACCTCAAAGTATTTGTGAATGAAAGAGAACGGTATGTAGACTTCATCCCCTTCTTTGCGGCATCCAATGGAATATCCCCCATTTATAAAACAGTCAATTTCTTGATATCCCGGTTCATTGTTGGGTCGATCCTGTAAGATGTACGTTTGCATAAAGTGGAGGAACGAGGACGAAACGATTACTTATTAAATTTGAAGACAACAATTAAAACTTACTCTCTGTTGAAAACGCGATCTCCAGTCCGAAGACGTCAGAGAAAACATATTTCCACAAGTTGTCCACGTTGTCAGTATGGAGCTTAGCATAGCAATAATCAAGGCAAACAAAATGACCTTGTAATTGATACGCATTAACACGTATAACCTAAACGCGAAAACTTCCTTAATACTTCCGGCACATCTATAAGTCGACGATTCAATCGAAAAGACACATATAAAGTACACAAACCAATGGAAACAATTTACCTAGGAAGCATGATATTCTTCTTTACCAGAAATGAGCAAATTTATACATTAGGCAGCAGTTACGTAGCCCCGAAACACCAACCGCACGTATAAATGCGATTTGCAATTAACGTAGAGTCAAGATCGACCGTCGTCGACTACATTTTTCAGGCTATGGATGCACAGCGGATACGACCTGTACAAGGGACATTCTCTTTCTTTACCTCATCTTTAATACCGAACTGGCCCTAGAAAAATACCACGTTTACTGCCTTAACGATGAAGAAATTCATGAAAATAAATCAAAACGCCGTTGCTTCTCTTAATCGTAAACATACCCTTTATTCTACACTCGTTATTGTCATTTCGTTTTGGCATAATCACCATGCGAATGAAAAACACTCCGGTAAATATAATCGTCATCTTTGTCCTACATTATGAACCGAGGTCGGAAAAGCGAGAACACCATAGCTTTCGGTCGACTGGCACAGTCACTGGAAACAAGGGTTGACAGGTTTCTAAAGTGAAAAGTCATCGTTACTTTGGTATATTGGGATAAAAGGGCAAATAATTGGAGCACCGAACGACAACGTATCCATCAAAACACCGAGTATGTACGTATGTTCAACGCATCGTTTAGTGCACATGTCAGCACATGTAACGCCTAACCTATATCCATAAACTAGGACCAACGTTGAAAGCACCCCCCTTGGGTGAAAATCGATTCCAGCCCGTGGCGCTGCTCGGCAGAGATTACTCGAATCGGTCGAATACGAGGTAGAAATCGATTTTACCTCGAGAGTTTACCGACGTTTCTCTTGTCGCAACGGACCTCTACGAAGCCCTTCGCATTCCGCTCGAACAGTTCGAACGAAAAATAAAGGTAAGGAGAATTTCCTGGAGTTATTCGACCTAGCGTCCTTTTCAGAAATGCAGTTCCCGACAGGAACTGAAATAAAGGAAAACTCCGACGTCCGGGTAAGGACAGATTCGAGGACCCTTAATTAGGGGATCGATCTTCCAAATTGCAAGTTTCGCGGGGACAAGAAACCCTGAAAGATCCGCGACCGGTCAAAGGCATCCCTGCTCGGGATGTCCGGGTGTCGGGGTGTTCCTGGAGAAGGAGGAACGCGAGGGCAGGGGGGTGCTCGTTCGATTCCTAAACGTCCTCCCCCCCTGTGAGTCAGGGCTCCGAAAACGCCCGACTACCCTCAACCCCTGCGCGTTCCGCGTTTTCCGCGTTTTCCGCGTGGCGGCCGTCGCCATCCACTATTTCGGGCAGAATTGGGCAGAATTGGGCAGAATTGGGCAGAATTGGGCAGAATCATGACCGAAGTCAAGAAGGACGACGTCGTCAAGATCCTCCACACCTACCCCCTTTGCAGGGTAAGTAAGTAAGTAAGTCAGTAAATCGCGGGGCTCCGAGGCCCAAAGGATCGATAAGAGGGTCTCCTTTTGCAGAAATGCGACATGACGGACGAGATGAGACAAGAAACCATCGAGCTCTGCGTGGCAGCGGCCGAGAAGTACGCCGACAATTACGAGGGCATTTCGCGGATGATCAAGGAAACCATGGACAAGAAATTCGGGGCCTCGTGGCACACCGTCGTCGGCGAGGGATACGGATTCGAAATCACCTATCAGCTGAAGCACTTGTTGTACATGTACTATGCGGGAAACGTGGCGATTTGCATATGGAAATCGGCGTAACAATGACCCCGGGAGGACGTTTTCGGAAATACGTGTCCCACTTGTAGGAAAAACCGGACCATCTCCTACCATTATACGGGTATAAGAACGGTGTACAGGAATACGCTGCGAATACGTATTTCTGAAAAGATGCGAGGGGTCGCGGGTAAAAGTACAAGCATAATAAGGAGAATATTTGCGGGGCGAACGGACCGACGTTTAACGATTAAGAATATTTTCTAATTTATGTGCCCTCCAATCGCACACCAGTCGCGCCTCCATTGCTATCTCGTGTACGTACGTATATATTCTAAGATGCGTTAACCAAAGATATTTATTTATAATCGTCTCTAATGTAAGATACTGGCAACGAAATACGCTTCGGTCACGGTCCAAAGGCAAAGTGGTTTACCATATTTATTGCTATGATCGATGGTTCCCGCCCATGTGTTTTTATTACTTAATTAAAAAATGAAGGAAGCACTCAAGGACTACCAAGGAACGATTGTCCCTGATAACGTAGCCGGAATCGAACATTTATATGAAACATAAATGAAGAGATTTGAATTTGGTTTTGGCAGGGACTGTACGGCGGAGTAACATTTTATGCACTTCTGCACTCTCTATTACATCGTATCGAAGACCGTTTACTTCATACATTTCACTGTAATAATTTATTTAATTTGCCATCCTTGCTTCTTTAACTTGAATCTACACGGTTTGAATTTGAATTTGATCTACCCAACATGTTGAGCGTAGGTAGCGTAGAAAATTTGTGATACATAAAATGGCGTCTGATAAGTAAACATGTTGAGTGACGTATGTATCCATTCGGCAGACGAGCGCTAACCGATCACTCAACAGTTGTCTCCTCTGAATGCACCCATTGGCTGGCAGTGGCTGGCAGTTGCTGGCAGTGGCTAGGCATGGCGGGATGGCCGCTCCGTGATGCCGATAAACACCGATAAACACCGATAAACGGCATCGTCGGACCCGTGGATTTTATATTTTCTACGTATTATAGTGTTTACGATTAGTTTCCGTAAAATGTACAGACTACTGAAGGTGCAAAGAGTCGTGGTGCAAGGTGCATGCCGTACATCAATTTGTAGCAACACCCGAGAACAGGCTCGAGTGTGCTCTTTTTGTAAATTCTACCACAACGAAATTCGGAGGGGTACGTACTTTGATATTCCTATTTTGTACCTACGCTCCCGTGAAATTGCCTACGGTTTTACACGATGTCGTTATATAAATCACATTTATTCGCTGTAAAAAGTTTCGAGGTTATGTTACTCCGTTTGCCCAGTGACCGATGTGTAACCTTAACCCGGCGTGTGCCGATCAAATTTATATTTATATTCCGATATAACGCGTTATTCGGTAGCTGTGTGTATTGTATGCTGCTTCTTCTATAGATCGCAGTTACGTCCATTTTCGGCAATATTCAACTACTCTAAGTACGGCTATGATGGAACTTCCGTTAAAGAAGAAATCAAAGAGAAAATTAAAGAAATATACTGAATTACTGGAAGGTAATCATTTCTATTTTTTACAATTTTTCTAAAACTATTAATCGATAATCTTTTTCACGTTTCGTTAATAATCTCCAGTTTCCGACGGTGCAACGAATAATAAAAAAGCAGCGGTGCAAAAATTGGATGCCGCATCTTTGTCGATGCTCGTCGACGATCCAGGAATTGCTTTAGATCAATTGAACAAAATTGAGAAAAAACTAGCTGTTAAAAAAAAGCGGAAGAAGAAATCCAATAAAGAATCGGTAAAAATCGAGAACACTGTTGTGGAAGTAAGTATTGTATCGATTTGCAACAGTTAAAAACTAAAGATCGTTTAAGGCAAATTGGTATTCAAATGATTAATTGTCAAATGTGACAACATAATCGATTAACAAACGAATGCATCTCTTGCAGCCAACTACAAAGAGCGATGTTAAACGGTATTCTAAAACGGAGAGGCAAGAAATTTTTCAAAATAGTGGGGCATTAAATTCATTAGATGAAACGGATATTTTGAGTAAAGCTAATGCTATGTCAAATCCAACCCTGCTGCAGACTATAGAAGTAGAAGATGACGAAATTGACGATAAACCGGTCGAAGATGGGTAAGCTATCATTCTTCAAATCAACTTCAAATTAATGTATCGCACTCTCAAAAGTAGAATCAGCGAAGGGCATAAAAACATACATTTATTTATAGTTCAAAGAGTACGAAATCCAAGCGTACTGAAAACTTAAAAAAGTCAGAAGATCCTTTATCTTCCAAAGTTATGAAGGAACGTATGAAACTGGCAAGGGAAAGATGTTTATTGCAAAGTTTGCTTGCATATGTTCACGTTTGCATTCATTGCGGATTGATTTCTCAAGCCCTCGAAGTGGTGAAGCATTACAGAAAGTTCAATGCAGCGGTTCCCGATAATCTTGTCATTAGGAATTTAAATCTTTATAACATTCTCTTGAAGTACTATGCATCCACAGCAAATTTTAATAAAGTGAACGATATAAGGTATTACATACAGGAAGATGGACTAAAACCCAATACGCAAACTTACGCTGCATTGTTCGAGTGCATCGGTAGAATGGAGAAATCTGATTATTTCCTAAGTATGCTGCTTTCGTATATTCATTATTTATGTACTAATAATTAATTAATTAATTAATTAATCCTTGAAAAATATTTTAGATTATTTAAGAGACATACAAGAGGAGATGACGGAAAACAACATATCTCTGAACGACGTGGTTATTAAAGCAAAATTTGTACAAGACCAACAAAAACATGTACTGGCAGCTATCAGATTGCTCAAACCCGAGTTTCAGCCGCAACACGTGTTTTATAATATCCCCTACAATTGCTCACTTGTCAATAAATTGTCACAAAACAAAGCTTTCACAAAAAGTCCCGCTAAAGGACTGCAGTCGAATATCAATATTTACGACAAAATCGAACAGCAATTGAAATGGGAGAAGAATGGCATTGTACATATAAAAAGTATTGCACCCCAGAAATTGACTCCTACCGTGATGCGTTACGTAAGTGTGAAGTTTAATTTTTATCCTTTTGTTTAAGACTTAAGAGTCATTCATAGCTAACTTTTGCACTATTGTATCCAACAGAGGGAGGAAGTAGAGAAACTTGAAAAAATGTGGGAGAAAACCGCAACCGAGGCATTCGATAGGGATTTAAATATATTAAAAAATCGTAAGATCATCATGTCGTCCCAAATGGTGATGCTGTATCCCTATATGTGCGTTCTGGATAAACAAGAATATATCAAAGTCATTGTGCACGAGGCAAAGATTCGAGCCCAGGGCTCGATGTCGTACAGTCCGACGCTTCAGATGCTTTGCAAATGGCTCGGCAATCGTATCTTTTCGAAATACGAGGTAAGCTGAAAATTATTATTAAGTTTACGAGTAACGATAAGTACTACCGGTGCAATTAAAAGGTAACGTTTCCTTTCCTTAGATATTATACAAACAGAATAATGGAGTATTAACCAAGACGGAGGAAGTTTATACCAGGTATTTCCACTGGTACATGAATAAATTCGATACTTTAAATACTCGAACCAAATGGCAGAAGCTTTCGCACGAGGCATCGAAATGCGGATCGTCCTTGAACGTGAATTGCATACAATGGCCAGTCTCGGTGCTGGTAAACGTCGGCAGATTTCTCTACGACATCATTCTGAAAGATCTTAAATTTAACGTAAACGGCTGCAAGACCAACAACGACAAGGAGACTTACCTTCCCGCATTTTATTCGGTATTTAAAACTTCGAGCAGTTCTATGAGAGAAGAGGTAAGTGGACATTTGCGCCGACGAGTATCGCAATTCTAACATATTTTCTTAATACAAGGTGAATCCGCACCCCGTCCTGGCGAGACTCTACGAACTATCCCAGCCTGAAATATTGAGTTTCGATACAACGGAGGTACCGATGGTCTGTCCACCTCGCCCCTGGGATTCGGTCAATAACGGAGGTTTCCTGGTGACCAAAACCAACCTTGTCAGAGTTTCCCAAACCTCGGTAATTTTTCGTGCTCTAACATTAACTCCCTCCTTCTGCTTAGCAAGTTACGCAACGGCGAAAGATAATTGCGTTTAATCGATCAGGTGACGCAGTGGGATAAACTGAGTAGTTGTCGACCGAGTCAGGTATACCCGGTTCTCGATTCGTTGAATCAGCTCAGCTCTATACCATGGAGGATCAACCCTGCCATCCTCAAAGTGGTTCTCGAGGTAATTTCATATTTCATTGGATCGTCGATGCGCGTTTCTTCTCACCTCCCAATTATTCCAGGTGTTTCGACACGGTGGGTCGGTAAAACTAAACGTGCCACAGCCACCCTCCGTTCTTCCACCGTTGCCCGTGATACAATCCAACGCCCCGGAGGCGGAAATCAAAGAGGCCATGAGACTCAGACTGCGCCTGAAGAGACAGGGGAACGAAATGTACTCTTTATGGTGCGATATGTTGTACAGACTTTCGATAGCCGAGCACGTAAGTGGTATTTATTGTATTTAATCGAGACATTTAAAGGAGTTCACCTACTCATCTTAGAATGCCGACAAGGTGAATTTGCATTTTTCCATATTGTAGTTGAAGAACGACATTTTCTGGTTACCTCATAATATGGATTTCCGAGGTCGAGTGTACCCTTTGCCTCCTCATTTGAACCACTTGGGTTCCGACTTACCCCGATCGTTGCTCACCTTTGCTCTTGGCAAACCACTGGGTAAAAACGGTCTGGATTGGTTGAAAATTCACGTGATCAATCTGACGGGTCGTATGAAGAAGGAGCCGGTGAAAAATCGACTCGAGTGCGCCAATAGGATTATGGACGATATACTCGACAGTGCAGAGAATCCACTTACGGTAAGTTCCTCGAACGGACGAAAAATACTGTAACTCATGGACTTTTCTGCCTTTCGTTTTCTTCTTCTTTCTTTTTTTTTTCCTTCTTTTCCTTCTTTTTCTTTGTTTTAGGGCAAAATGTGGTGGGCAGAGGCCGAAGAGCCATGGCAGACGTTAGCTGCTTGCATGGAAATATCGGCAGCTCTAGGATCCCCGGATCCGGAAAAATATGTTAGCAAATTTCCCGTTCATCAAGATGGAAGTTGCAACGGGTTGCAACATTATGCAGCATTAGGTCGCGATCAACCAGGTGCCGTGAGCGTGAATCTATTTCCCAGCGAGAAACCGCAGGATGTTTATAGTGCGGTGGTCGATTTGGCAAGTATCGTTATAATTCCGAACTTTGTTTATGGAAGAACGTCGACGGTTGGATACCGTATTCAATGAAACTTCTAACTTTCTTTAGGTCGAGAAGGTTCGCCAGCAGGATGCAGAAAATGGCGTCGAGATAGCACGAGCCTTGAACGGCTTCATTAGCAGGAAAGTCATTAAACAAACCGTCATGACAACTGTTTACGGAGTTACGAAGTTTGGTGCCCGAATACAAATTGCGAAACAATTGACCGGTACGCCCTTTGCTCGTTATTCACTTTTTCTTGCCATTGACTCTAGCAGTTTTTTTTTTTTTTTTTTTCATCCCGGTTAACGTAACAGTGATAAAACTATCTTTATAGATATAGAGAATTTCCCGAGAGAACTCGTTTGGACATCCAGTGCTTATCTGGTCATAAAAACGTTTGAGTGTCTGAGATCTATGTTCAATAGTGCAAGAGAGATTCAAGACTGGCTGACAGAATGTGCTCGCGTGATCACGATGACGTGCAAGCAAAATGTCGAGTGGGTAACTCCGTTAGGATTTCCAGTGGTTCAGCCTTATTGTAAATTAAATAGGACCGTTGATTCAAGACGAGTGCATCAGTTACTGTCGATGGATTCATTTGAGTGAGCAGTTTTATATACATAGATTTCTCGTGAAATATGCATATATCGTTAAGATGGTGCGGATGAGTGTAATAAATGTTAACGTCTCCGTTTCTCAGATTACCGAATACGATGAAGCAAAGAAACGCATTCGCCCCAAATTTTATTCATTCTCTAGACTCGACTCACATGATGCTGACCAGTCTTTACTGTGAAAACGCTGATGTGACGTTCGCGTCCGTGCACGACTGCTTCTGGACGCATGCCTGCACCGTTGATTTATTGAACAAGGTACTCGCAACCAGTTGGCATTTCTTTTTTTGCTCCGTAAGGGGCAAGACAGGGATAGAGAGGCTAAACATTTTTACGTGGTAACGGATGAATTACGTTTTGTCTTCCGTAGATCTGTCGAGAGCAATTCGTTGCCCTTCACTCGCAACCTATACTGGAAGATTTGTCCTCGTTTTTCATAGATAGGTACAACGTCAAACATCTGTAAGTAACTTAGATACGCTTCTCTAACTCGTGGTCCTCTGGTATTGGGTAAATCTTTAATCTCTCGTTTACCATCGATTTCTAGGGAGTCCATCTGTCTCAGTGTAGACGACAAGAGGAGCCTCTTCCGAATATTTCAACGTCAACCAAAGAAGGGATCGTTCGATCTAAAGCAGGTCTTGGATTCGATTTATTTCTTCAGCTGAAATAAATTGAGTCCACCCGTATGATGCTGCAAACTTCCTCCTGCGGTTTACCGTTTATCACCGGTTAGTTAGACACGAATCAATGATGTATAAACAAGTAGGAAACGGTATATTTAAGCGTAGCACTTAAATTTCATTATAGATTAAATCGAGGAGAGGAAAGAGTAAACGTCTTGACGATGACCGCTGCGATCGGTCTTCATTTCCATTATAATTACGATCGTAAGACCACGATCCTATCGGTAATTTAGTTCCTCCTAAGTGCGATGCCTACCCATAATCACCGTCGTCGCGTACAATAATCGTCCACAAGTAAGGATGTATTCTCACGGTCACGGTATAGTGGATCGAGAGAGAGTGGGGTCTTTTCGTTTCTCATCCCCGATGACTCGGTTTTGACGCGTTTCACCCGGGGCATCGTATTTACGCGCGGGAACACGTCCCGTATGTACACGTGGGAATCGGTGGCACTTCGCACGTACACCTGATGCACGTGTCCTCCGACGTAAAGGACGGCGTCAGTTCGTCCCCGATTTCCATAGTGAGATTGCCAAACTGGCACTTCGTGTCATCTGGAGAAGCAAAAATCCAAATTAGAAATCGATAACCACAAAGTGACCGATCCGTATAAATACTCGATGAGCGTTCTCACCGGAAGCTGACTTGGCGCTCGAATTTCGAAGGACTCCGTCGCCTCCTTCCTCTGAAAAGGTAGAGGTAGTCGTCAATTGAAAATAGCGCAAAGAAAGAGATCGAATTCGACGAATACGAGAAGCACTTTACTCACGGCATCGCGTCTGTATCGAGCAGGATTCCGCGGGCTCGCGGTAAGTGGTGTACACCGGGGCACACTTGGCGTAGACGTCGTTGATGTGCTCCAGTTCGGCGTGACACCACGTGTGTCTCGGCAAAACGCAGAACGGCTCGACATTTTCTCCTAAAGAACGCCAGGGATAGGGTCCGATAAGGAGGAAACCACCGCGACTAGGTACTAGGACTCACCCGTGTACCCTTCCATGCAATAACACGACTTCTCGGGTTCCGATTTAACATCGAACGATTGCCCGTCCCAATACGTGACCCCGTCGACGACGCACCTGGGCCTGTCCTCCGGTCGCTCCGCTAAAAATAACGAGGATTGCGCATAAAGGAAGAGAGCGTAAAGAACGAGATCGTCGAATCGCGCCACGCTCGCTTACGACAAACTTCATCCCCGGGACAGCAACTGCCGGCGGATTGCTTCAAGTAGCAGCCAGGGGTAACGTCCTCGACGCAGTCGACAACGGCGCACGAGAAATGAGCTCTGAAACGGTCGAAGCGAGACCTCCTTATCGCGGCCGCTACTTTGCCACGGGTACTTTGCAACGGGGAAAGGAACTTACGCCTCTTCGCCATCCTTGGTACACTTGCACGAGACGTCGCAGGGATTGGAGTCCTCCTTCCTCAAAAATTCCCCGACGCCGTACTCGACGCCGTTCACGTGGCACTTGTCCCTCCGCCTGCGGTCCAGGTGGCTGCAGTCGTACCTCGAGGGGCAGCGATCGCCCTCCTTCTCGAAGACGGCGGTGCAGCCCAGGTCCCGGTAATGCATCAGAGGACCGGGACACGGCAAAGGAAGGCGCCGCGTCTCATCGTCGGCCGGAGCGGCTCCGAGAAGAGTGCCGGCGCACGCCCAAAGCAGAAGAGCGGCTCTCATGGCGTGGAACCGCGTGGAACCGATTCGGGCGACGTCTTCCTTATATACCTTGCGGGGCTGGCAAGCCCCGAAGAGGGGGAGTCCGCCCGGTCGCCCGGCGAAGCGCCAGCAGGGGGAACGGGAAATCCCGAGACACGAGGCACGATGTCCCTGTTCGTCGGGCGGAACCAAGACCTCCTCCGGGCGAATCCACGAAAGCTTCGGAGACGCGGCTCGGTCCGAACCGGATCGATCGAGAGTTCCTACTTGAAATTGCTTCGAGATATTTTTTATAGTCGCTCGTATCTCGTAGAGACTCTTTGCTTCACGTGGAACGTTTTCGGAGACGAATGCCTTCGTTAAAGGCGAACGTCTCGAAATGGACCCGTAGCGGTCGGCAAAAGAATATCTCGCTTTATAAATATTGATGGCATTTCGAAAGTTCGCCGGAGCCCGGGCGAGCTTCCCCGGCAGCCGAAAAACACGATGTCGTCAAGAATCTTGAAAGAAAGAATTGAGAAATTCGTCGCTAATTAGAGGCGTTATCGTTAACCAGTTAACTGTGTCGACCTATTGGAAACGTGTGTTTTCATGGCGAGTATACTAGTCAAACACAGCTAACTGGTTAAATGAAAAAGAGCGAGGAAGCGCCGGTCGAGTTCCACCGTTTTGAAATTCTCGAAATTCCAATTGTCGCTCGTATCGTCCTTGACTAAAATCCGCTATTATTCCCCATTGACGCCATCGTTGCGCGTCGGAAAAAAACGCAAGAGCCAAGTCCTCGAAGACGTCGACAGAATTCACGTTTATTCGCGTCAGCACGCTGATGTCATTCGAATGTATTATCTATTGAATCTCTTGAAGACCCGGGATGTTCCGTATGTATGTACACTGGCGGTCATGAGTGGCTTCCTCGTGTACATGGTGCAGCCTGGTGGTGGTAACGTAAACGTAACGTAAAAAAAGGGGTTTGCTAGACATGTTCGTCTAATTAAACGTACTCATTGTTATCGTTCAATAAATTCCTTTATTACATTAATTCTTTTACAGTTTATTATACATCAGGTACCGCAAGTAAATAAGTTCTCGACCTCGTTTAAAAGAATATTAACAAATTGTCCAGTCTTGTCATTAGCTCCTTCTCTCGTTTCTTCAGGTTGAGACCTCGTAGAGTATCCGGCCGTCACCTGGTTACTCGACATAAAATCCCCTAAAGATGGCACCGATCCGCGAACTAGCTGCAAGGTAGAATTTTTAATGAGATAATCAGCGCGTACCCACTCGTACTCGCCCAGCATTTTCGTGGACTTAAACTTGCCGCCATGTACATTCGAAAGTCATTCATGACCGCCAGTGTACAAAGCAACGTGAAAAGAAATCAAGCGTTATATTTAATATCATTGACGCGCCAGATTTTATTGGTTCTATCAAATGAAAATGATGAAAACATTTCCAAGGAATGGTCCAGAGGTTGATTAACTCGAATGTAGTGAAAAAGATAAAAATGAGCACTCCCTCGATTTTGTAACTTTCACTATGTCAAAATGTGAGAAACTTCACGTGAGACTACTCTACAGCAGAGATGAGTTGAGAGATTGCTCACGGGCAGGATCGAGCGATCGCATCCTGTGCTGCCCTCTGGTTTCGTACTTTAGCTTTCACCGTTTTTTGCCCCCAAGGGCGGCGCAACGAATTTCTGATAGGAGCTCGCGCACTCGCGATGGCGGTACCATTTACCAGTCGCCGTTGGCGGCTCCCGTACTCGTGATGGTAATACCATGCGGCAGTTGACGATGGTGGCTTACCTACGCTTACCAACACTGCTCGCTTTTGATGGTAAGGGAAGAACACTCGTGACGCTCCATTTAACTTTATCTATGCCACCCTGCCCGTGAGCAATCTCCCAACTTATCTCTGCAGAAACTACGTGTCTAACAGGTGATACGTTTCCGCAAGGATTGTTTGATGTCGCCACCATCGTTCTCAAGAGTTCAACGTCACAAATTCTTCTAAGATGGCTCTCTAGATCTCTCATGAATCGTGATCCTTTCAGGCCTCTGGCACGATGGGTAAGCAAGCCGATTTTATACACCTTTCGTCGTTATCGAATTGCATCGGCGTTATTCATAAATATTCTATCAATGTAAGAATCGTCGACGATTCTTCGATTATTTGTCGAACTTGTTATCGTTGTATTAAATTGGTATCCACTTCCTAATCCTGCGGAAGGATACTTCGTGTCAACGCCGATGCATTCGTCTCCTTTGATTTGACTAGAATATTTTTTAAACTCTTTTTGCGAAATACAATTTGCGATTTCGTATTTGAAGTCTAATTTGCTTGTGTGTATATATATATATGTATATACACACATACTTATTTTAATTGTCGTTAAACAGCATTGTGTACGATATCTGTTACGTGTTTTGCCGAATTAAGGTAATCTGTCTTGTATTCCAACTGTCTGTAACGCCTATCACATTAAAACTTGCAATTTCAGGTATCTCGCGGGACCACTGGCATAAGAGAAGGGCCACCGGTGGCAAGAGGAAACCTATCAGAAAGAAGAGGAAATTTGAATTAGGACGTCCAGCTGCAAATACTAAACTCGGTCAGAGAAGAATTCACACGGTAAACGCTTTAGTTTTATCCTTCTAAGAGTTGGCGTAACTAGTAGTATCGAATTTAATGATGATCACCTTACCTACTCTGAGTGCTATGACGATATTTCCCACAGCGCGCTGATTATTAATTTTCCACAAAAATTCATGATATAGTTCAGCTTTGATTACCTAATGGGAAATATTTTACTATTTTGCAGGTTCGTACTCGTGGAGGAAACAAAAAATACAGAGCACTCCGTTTGGACACCGGAAACTTTTCATGGGGCTCAGAATGTACCACCCGAAAAACGCGTATTATTGACGTGGTTTACAATGCTTCAAACAATGAACTAGTTCGAACTAAGACATTGGTGAAGAATGCGATCGTTACGATCGATGCTACACCATTTAGACAATGGTACGAAGCGCATTATGCATTTCCTTTGGGACGCAAGCGGGGTGCAAAACTGGTAATTAATTCTTTATATCTACCTCTTAAAATGTAAGATGGTCAGTGAATTTTGAGGATTTATAACCGACAATGGATTTTAGACAGAAGCTGAGGAAGAAGTTTTGAATAAGAAGCGGTCAAAGAAAACCGAAGCTAAGTACAAGTCTAGACAAAGATTTGCAAAGGTCGAACCAGCTCTCGAGGAACAATTCTCGACAGGACGTGTTCTCGGTATGTAACCTAATTTGTTATTTGATTTTCTTGGGGAAAAAAAGTAAATTTTATATACCAAATTAATACCGCTCCGAGTAATTGTACTTATTTCTTATTAGCTTGCGTAGCGAGCAGGCCTGGACAGTGTGGTAGAGCCGATGGCTACATTCTCGAGGGCAAGGAACTCGAGTTTTACATGAGAAAGATTAAGAGCAAAAAAGCCAAGTAAATTTGTATCACTTAATACATTAATAAAAGTTGCGTAAGAAAAGTGGCATCAAGTTATTGTATCACCCGCTACAAAAATTTGTATTAAAACAAGTTACGTATTAGTCTCGGTACGAAAAGTTTTATTTCTTCTTTAACGTGACAGCCCTTACCTCTTTATTCTAATTATTTCGCTTTTACTTTTACCATAACTATTCAATTTTATAAATTGTACAGCATTTTCCAGAACAACTGCTCGATACTATCCAACTAATGATACATATGACCTTCGAATGTAAAGAAATATAGACGTACGTTGTTACGAAATGATACAAACTGTCTTATTTAGCTCGTAGTACCCTTCTTTCGCGTTCAAGGAAATAAATGTGGCATCACATGTTTCCGTTGACGTAATTGGCGTATGTATACAAGTATTTAACTAATAGCGATTTCTCTGATGACGCAAAGATTACGATTTAGACGTTTCCGCAACGAAATGGTTTAAATTAAAGTAATAAATGCATCGGACACGATAACCAGACCTAACGACTCGATGACAGCAGTATAACGTAATTTGGGAGTAACATTTTCATAGATTGCATCTTTGCATAATATTTCTCGTTGCGATATCATAGATATCACGGACAAAGGAAAAAAAGAAAATTAACATATGACAGCATATCTACGATCGAACAAGCGTCGCAAACAATCCGAGACTCTGGTTAACTCGCTACGTTAAGGAATTCGTTTGCAATCGTTGGCACCGCCGTCGCATCGAGGGTCGGCGTTCACAGCTCCGAAAGGACGATTCAAACTTAAATTGCACTAAATTAAAGAATCTATCGCTCGTAGGGTGAATTCGTACGGCCTGCCGAAGACGTTGATCAGCTCTATATAGTTCGGCAGGCAGGAGAAAGAACCGCGTCGAAGCTTCGAGCCAGGAAACCGCCCTCGAAACGTTGCTTCGCTACGTCGAAATACCCTAAGTTGAGTCACTTAAAAAGATAACGGGAATACGAAAGGGAACCGCCGAAAAACCATGGATAACGCGCAGTTTCCGTACAAACCTTAAAATGCCTTAATCGACCGCCAACGGTTTCCAACGTACGCGTCACTCTTGGATTTTTCTTGGACTCAAAGGGGGGACGGACCTAGGGCCGCCACGAGGGAGGCTTGTTGGTCAGGAGACGGGGCATAACCTGGGGCGGGGGGCCNCCGGGGGTTCCGGGGGTTCCGGGGGTTCCGGGGGTTCCGGGGGGCTGAGCGGCCGAGAGCCTCTGGGCGCAGGTCCTCATGTGGGCGGGCCAGTGCGACTGCTGGCAGGGGTAGTCGCAGTAGGCGGTGTTCCAGCAGCAGTAGAAGAGGGCCTCGCGGCCGCACACCGAGCACCACTGCTTGCGCTTCGTCTCCTCCAGGCAGCGGGTCCTCTCCTCCTCCGTCTCCCTGCGGATCTCCTCGACGGCCCGCAGCCGCTCGGCCTCCATGCTGGACCTCATCTCGCGCAGCGTGCGATCTGAAAGCAGCGGTCGGTCGGTTGGCGCGCCCTTGTCGGCCCGGCGAGGTCGCAAATACCTGTGTTGTGCTTGAGCTCCGCCAGCTGCTGCTCGTGCTGCCACTGCATTCGCTCGATCTGCAGCCGCAGCGCGTACACGGTGGCCCGGTGGTCCTCCGCCGAGTCGCCGCCGACGGACTTGAGGAGGGCGTCATCCATCAGCTGGGCCATGCGGCCGGCCAGCTCGTGGGCACCCTGGTAGAGGTGCGCGCTCAGGGGCCCGGCCTCCGGCGGCGCGAGCCTGTACCCGGGGCGCGTCCCGGCCGCCTCCGGGGCCGGGCTCTGCGGGAAGCTCGGCGCCCTGTTGGGGAAGGACTTCCTGGCCTTGCTCTCCCTTTTGCCGGGCGACGCTTGCCGGGCCCGAAGGTCCGGCCCCGGGCGAACGTCCTCCGACTTGCCGCTCGAGACCGGGAAGCTCATCCTGGAGGAGGTCTTGCTCGGCGCCCTCGGGAGTCCGGCCTCGGGTCTCCTCTTGGTCTCCGGTCGGCCGTCCCCGGCCGACTCGGTCCTCGGCTTGGGCCCCTTCGGCTCCCTAGCCGACCTGGGGACGCCCTTCTTCGGCGAGGCGCTCCTCGTCTTGGCCTCGACCGGCTCCTTCTTCCTCTGCTTCGGGGTCGGCGTCCGGGGCGCGGCGTCCCCGGCCGCGTTCTGCGGACTCCTCTTCCGCACCGGTCCGTCGGAGGACTCCGGGCTCGCGTTCGGGGCGACCGGGGCGACCGGGGCGACCGCGGCGCCGGCGTCGTCGACGGGCGCCCCCGTCGCGTCGCCCGGACGGGCCGCGGCGGGCTGCCTGGGTGCCGTCGCGGCCTCGCCGTCCGAGTCGAGTCTCAGGACCATGGAGTCGTTCGTGGAGTCCTCGGCCGCGGTTACGGGCGAGGGCGCGGTGCGCCTCCTCGGGGGCTTTCTTTTAACGGGCGTGGCGGCGCGGGGGCCGGCGGGCGCGGCGAGGGTCGCGGGGGTCGCGGGGGTCGCGGGGGTCGCGCGACCTAGGGGATCGTAGTGCGGCAGCATTATCTTTATCTGCAGCGGGTCCTGCGGGTTGTAGGGTACCTTGGGCGGGGCGAACTTGAACTCGCCGAAAGCCATCTCGAGCTTCCTGCAGTGCCGCGTGATCTCGCGCACGCAGTCGTCCATGTCCTGCTTCCTCTTGCGCGGAAGCGGCGCCGGGGGGTCGCGCGAGTAGAGGTAGAGGTCCCGGGGCGGGACCCAGGCGCGGTCGTGAGCCCCGAAGAACCTCACGTCGACGAAGCCCTGCCCGTTCAGACGGGGCATGGCTTTCGCCGGCCAGAACGGGAAGCCCTTCAGCTTGGCCCACACCAAGGGGTGGGGCCTCCTGCAGGGCTCGATGAACCAGGACGGGTGGGGCCGGGGCAGGTTCCTCCCGTGGGCGTAGCAGTCGGGGCAGGCCTCGATCTCGGAGACCTCCTGTCTGGCCACCTTGATTATCTGCTTCGCCGCGTTGGTCAGCTTGGACGTGTCGGCGTACACTCCTCCACCTGGGTGCACCGGGTCACCGGGTTCGTCAGGAATCTCTCTCGCTTTCGCGCCCGAGCCGAGTACTCACACGTGTTGAAGACGACGCAGTTGTGCTGGATCCACTTGGCGTCGGCCATGAAGGCGTCGGTGCTGCCGTACAGTTTCGCACGCACGTTGGCCTCGAGCAGCGTCAGGTCCATGGGCTTCGCGACGTAGTCCATGTAATTTGGAACCTCGTTCAAGTCCACCGCCTTCCAGAATGGCTCGGACTGCGGAGGACATTCGCGAAGGGTGAAAATGGGCTTCGGTTTTGACTCGACAGGGTCTGCCGATCATGCAGGGGAGGACCGATCGTTCGTTTACCCCGGGATAGTCGCGCATCCGGCCGACGACGTATTTGAGCAACAGGCCCAGCTGGTCGACCGACAGCTGCGACATCGAGTCGGGGCGCGTCTCGGCGTTCTCCGCCGTGAGGATGGTCGCGCATTCGCCGCATATCCAGTTTTGTACGGACAGGGGCGGGGCCCCGCCCATGCACCTCCGATGCCAGGAACGGGGGCACGCGCTGCACCGAGCCTCCACGGCTTCCTTGTGGCATCGCCAGCAAAACCGGTCGCTCGAGCTCTTTGTTTTCAGCCTCTTTACCCGGCTGCCGTCCTCTTCGGCGACCGCTTCGACCGTTGTGCCACTGAAATTCAAATCGAACCAATTACCATATATATTTAGTCACATCGATGATCCTTAAAATCAAAGATATCGCTACGGTATAGCGCGCGAACGGACCTCCAATTCTTTCGCTTCCTTCTTCCATCCTCCTTTTCCTTTTCTTTCTCGTCCTTGACGGAGATTCGATCCAAGGATTCTTTTCCGTTGCTCTTGCATTCGGGATTCGAGGAATCAAAGGATACCTTCTTGTTTAAATTCTGCATCAAGTCGAGTTGTTTCATGCTCTCCATCTTGGAGTCGTTCAGAGCCTCGTCGTGTTGCGTCGACGATTCTTCGAGATCCCGTTGGTTTTCCATCGTTAGGTTACCGTTTTTTGACTCCGTCAGAGTATCGACGTCATCGGCTTTCCCGAGCTTCGTATCTTTTACCTCGGGTGACTCCGTGAAACCTTTAAAAAATTCGTGTCTTCCATCTTTATCGTTACTCGATACCAATTTTCTGTCATCGACCGACTTTTCGTTTTCGTTAAGTCCTTTAATGCTTTGTTTACGATTCTTGGATAGCTCCATTGGTTATCGTTTCTTTCTTTGCCGTTCGGACATCTTCCTCCTAGCTTCTGGTAAAGCCGACGAGACCTCGGTATCGGTGAATACAAAATTCAAAACGACGCGGCAGTCTTTGCATCTCTCTGAACCATTTGTCTAATTGTATTCACACTCTTTGATCAAAAAAGCAGCGTGTTTTACTTTGATGCATACGGAGTACGTTTCTGTACGCTCGACGCAGCCATTTAAAAGTACGGCGTCATTGTGTGTACGTTCATCTAAGATAATTCGGTGACCCCAGTTTCTATTTCCACCATTGCCCATAACTTTCACCGCATTTTCTGATTAGAGATAGCACGGCGATGTATCTTGTACGCGTAGCCGATACCTAGCCATTGGCCAAGATAGTTCTCAAGTTTAAGACGTAACGACAACATCTCTTTCTCTTGATTCCCAATAATACAGTCAACTTTTCGTTAGAGTTTCCATAGCTATCACCAATTCTAATCGGCTTTGTTGATCAGAAATGGTACATGCATCGAGTTACCTTTTGATTTAACTGTCGGAGAGCCTTTTGGCCTTGGTGCTAACATCATCCTTAACCGAAACGCTCGTCCCTCCAGCTCTGTGATCGTTCATGGTTAATTGAAAATATCCGAGGCAGTAAACTTTATTTACCTCGTACACGTCTCGTCTAAACTCGCATTCTCAATTTTTTAAATTGCGCCTCCGGACGCCGACTGGAGACGAATCGGATTCCTTTTGGAGAACGATCTTCCACGCGGAACAGCAGGTGACATGGATACCTCAAAACCCTCAAAATCCAGAGAACCGATTTAAGTCATACGTCCCCGCTATTTGCACGACTCGCTGATACTCGTTTCCGAGAATCTTGCTTCTTTGCCTACACTAGTCTCGTTAATAACCGACGCTCCGCCATCTTTTGCCGATGTGCCGAAGTTCGTAAGTTGAAGATGCGAGAAGTGAGCATTCTCACCAAAAATACACGAGGTCGATTCTGTATCTTCTGACACGAAGGTATTTCACACAGAGATGAGTTGGGAGATTGTGCTCGCGGGCAGAGTCGCGCGATCTCGGTCTCTGCTGTCCTCGGTGGAGCATGCCAGCGACTCACTCACTTGCCTCCAAACCAATCCAACTCAGGGATTTGACTCACTTCTGCTCCCAACTTATTTCTAAGTTGGTCGCCATTGGGGGCAAATACACGAGCCGCCCGCATACTCCACCAAGGGCAGCAAAAAACGCAATCACGTGACTCTGCCCGTGAGTAATCTCCCTACTCTTCTCTGTTTCACCCTTTTACCGTAGTGAAAGTTACGGAATCGCGAAAAGTGTTCACCAAAGTTTTAACATTTTCACCAGATTCGAGTTACAGAATCGACCCCTTGATCACGCAACTTGATTCATGCGTGATTTCGACGCAATTCTGATAGAAATCGCGGGAAAATGGGGAAAATGTCGGCGCAGAGAGGTCTACAACCGAGCATAACGTGAGTCTGTCATGAAATTAATGTTAAATCATTTTTTAACAACTTATTAAAATTGACAGATTTTGTGTAATAATAGGTCATTCTTCACTGTATGTGCTCCCAAGAGAAGCACAGATGAAACGAAGAATGACGAAAGGTATGTCATGATTTAATAACAGTAATTACACTGCTTTTTTACTAACATGTTAAGACATTTGATAATCCATGGAAAGTCTCATATCTTCCATGTCGAATGCATGGCCTTGGCAAGGCTACCATGTAATGTTAACGTTATCAATGTTTTTAATTCGCTGCATATCGGTTGCGATTACCTTAGCGAGAAGAAGACTGTCGACGATCCGGTAGAAAGCAAACGAAAAAGAGAGAATAGTTCCTTCAACGGCGATTCAACGAGGTATATATTTTACTATTATTACTTTAGATTTTTTGTTCTGCTGTAATCTAAATGTTTGAGTATTTTAGTTCACCACCCACAAAAAGGTCAAACATAAATATAAAAAGTTCACAGCCACGTTCCTTAAGCACGTCTCCTGGTTCTAGTAAGTAGAAAGACATATAATTTTATTATCCGATTATTACTTCTGTTTTGAGATATGTAAAATTTTAAATATTGTGCTCATCCTTAAGGGATTGCTTAATTGTAGGTGCAACAAAGGAAAATAATGCCAAGCGTAAGAAGAATTCATCACCTAAGGCTCCTGCAAAACGTACACAAAAAAATCAAAGTAATAAAAAAGACATTGCCAAAGAAAAGGACAAAGTAAGCCAACCTGTGGAAACGATAAACATTGTTGTTAATACAAAGGAAGACAAAGAAGAAGATCCCTGGAACTCTGAGACCAGTGTAGAACTTTCCGCTAAGAAGGGAAAAAAGAAGAAAGTGGGAGAAAAATATTCCAGAATAATTCGAATGCAAGATTCAAGTGAAGAGGAAGATCATTTGCCAGTAAGATGAATATGCTTAAGGTGGCATGTGTTTATTCTTTTTTTTTTTTGTATCATAAATTAGATATTCATATTTAACGTTCACGTTCAGTTACCAGACAGCCCAGTTAAAACAGAAAAGAAAGATGAAGAGTTAAGCATATCCAAATCTGAAAGTATAAATGAAAAATCGAATGTGGACGATTGCAAGAGAGTTACGGAATCGAGCTTGGTTGTGTCTGAAACTGAGTGCAAAGACCGGAATTTTTATGGAGAGGATAAAAAGGTGGATGGATCTTCTAACGGTGAAAGCAAAGACGACAGCAACGAAGAAAACCCCAGAAATCATAATTCCAAGACATCTCCCAAGGAAATGCACAGCTTTTTTGGTAAAAAGTTAATTTCTAGAAACCTATGTTCAGTGATATCAATTGAAATCTTCAAATGTATTATTCCACAGAACCAAAGCAGAAAAGAGAGTTGGGAGAAAAGGGTACTAATTCAAAAACTAGTGGAATCTCTTACAATCCAAGCAAATCAAATTACCATCCTATTGATGATGCATGTTGGAAGGATGGAGAAAAGTAAGTAATTTGAGAGAATGTCCATGGATTTTTAATCTCCCTTTACAGCTAAATGGTATGTCATTCATTGTATTAGAAACATATTCCTTAATCCCTGATTGACAGTTATAATCGTCATAACAGGGTACCTTACGCCGCACTGGCTCGAACGCTAGAACTGATCGAGGAGACAAGTGCCCGATTGAAGATTATTGAGATTTTGTCAAATTACTTTCGCTCCGTCATTACTCTTAGTCCCGATGACTTACTCCCTAGTGTGTACCTGTGTTTGAACAAATTGGCACCAGCATATGAAGGTATTTAGCAATACCGTTTATCGCGAGAAGTGATAAATCATTCGTACGTAAGATTACAAATCAAAGTATTTCAGGTATCGAGCTCGGCGTGGCCGAAACGACGCTTATGAAAACCATAGCTCAGTGTACCGGCAGATCGTTATCTCAAATTAAGGCGGACGTGCAAGAAGCCGGTGATTTGGGCATCGTAGCAGAAGGAAGTCGATCGAATCAAAGAATGATGTTCCAACCAGCACCTTTGACTGTCTCGGTCGTATTTGCAAAATTGAAAGAAATCGCTCAGATGACAGGTCAAGCGGTACGTAAGATATTAAATGAAACTTCTTTTACTCCTAATCGTAAACCTTTGCATCGGAGCTAGTTTTTCGTAATATTTTCCAGTCAGTTGGGAAGAAAGTGGACAAAATTCAGTCCATGATTGTGGCTTGTCGTTTCACGGAAACTAGGTATCTCATCCGATCCTTGGCTGGCAAATTAAGAATTGGCCTTGCAGAACAGTCTGTTTTACAAGTTCGTACCTTTTTGTCCGTAACATATTTTTGCTCATACCACTTGTTATCTTTATTCAAAGTTATTAATGTTTATATTAAGGCATTAGCCTTAGCCTGTGCCACGACACCTCCCGAACGGAATCGTCCCTTAACAAACTTAAATGCCGCAAAGAACATCTCGAGTGAGACGTTTAAGCAAACCTATGACAAAGTTGCCCTTATTCTCAAGACTACATACTGGTATGTTATATATGTTTTACAAACTGAACTTATAACATGAAGTGTAATTATAAGTATCTTTCAGCGAATGTCCTAATTACGATATGATTATTCCTGCTTTACTGGAGGTTGGAATCGAAGGTCTACCCAAAAGGTGTAGATTAACCCCAGGCATTCCCTTAAAGCCAATGCTGGCCCATCCGACAAAAGGAGTACAAGAAGTCTTATCTCGTTTCGAAGGTTTGAAATTTACATGCGAATGGAAATATGACGGAGAGAGGGTGCAGGTTCGTTTTATTTCTTTCCGCTTAAGGAGCTTTGAATCAGAGATACGGTAGTCAGTAAATTAACTCGAACGAGTAGATCCACATTGCTGAGAACGGAGACGTGAGCATTTACAGCAGAAATCAAGAAAATAACACCAGTAAATATCCAGACGTTATAAATCGCCTGGACAATGCCCGTACCGATTCCGTGAGGAGCTGTATTCTGGATGGCGAAGCAGTCGCCTGGAGTCACGAGAAGAAACAAATACTGCCTTTCCAGATCTTGAGTACCAGGAAGCGCAAGGCGAGGAGCAACTAATGATTACGTTTCTTTTTTATGGGGCTCCTATAGAGCCGAATCCTGGATAAGCGATAACTGGCAACTTTGTTCCTTGGGTAGGCCCTCCGTTATACAATAATTATTAAAATTATATCTCTTTCAGGATGCTGTCGAGGCAGACATCAAAGTGCAAGTTTGCGTATTTATGTTTGACTTATTGTACCTGAACGGAGAGGCTTTGGTTAAGGAGCCGTTTATTAAACGACGACAACTACTTAAAGACAATTTTAAAGAGATTGAAGGTGAATGGAAATTTGCCACGAGTCACGACCCGACAACCATGGAGGAGGTCGAAGACTTCCTCGAGGAATCCGTAAAGGGTACGTTTCATATGTTACGGTTCTACAGATTTCAATAAAGGAACTTCTTTGTACAGGTAACTGCGAAGGTCTCATGGTCAAAACTCTGGAGGAAGATGCTACCTACGAGATAGCCAAGAGGTCGCGAAACTGGTTGAAACTTAAGAAGGATTACCTGGAAGGTGTGGGTGACACTCTGGACGTTGTGGCAATCGGTGGCTACATCGGCAAGGGAAAAAGAACCGGCACCTACGGAGGCTTCCTCCTGGCCTGCTATGACCAAGAGAACGAAGAATACCAGAGCTTGTGCAAGGTGAATACGTAACTTCTGCCGTCGCGATCATTGCAATTTTCTCTTTCTTACTCATCTCTTTTAGATCGGAACAGGCTTCAGCGAAGAAGATTTGCAAAATCATACAAAGTTCTTCAAGGATCGCATTATTTCCCAGCCTAGATCGTATTACCGCTACGATACCAATCTTGAACCCGACCACTGGTTCGAACCTTGTCAAGTTTGGGAGATCAAATGTGCCGATCTGTCGTTGTCTCCGGTTCACAGGGCTGCTGCAGGGATTGTAAGCCTTATTGCGTACATTATCGTACAATCTTGTTCATCCAATAGTGAATGCATATTCAAATGCATAGACTCGGGGATAACGTAAGATGGAAGATAAGCGAAATTAATTTATTACATAAATTTACGCTCGCACAGGTTGATCCCGAGAAAGGAATATCCTTGCGGTTTCCACGATTCATCCGAATAAGGGACGACAAAAACTGCGAAGATGCGACTTCTGCTCAGCAAATTGCAGAGATGTATCGCAACCAAGAACAGATCAAGAATCAATCCTCTTCCACAAACGTCACCGAAGAAGATTTTTATTGAATATTTTATACTTCATTTTAACCTTTCACCTGTACGTCAGACATATTTTATTGCAATCTAGAGGTTTTGTAAGGCTGCGAAGAAAATTGGCGTTATGACTATTTTATGCATCAAAACAAAACGATGAATTATGATGAGATCTCAAAAACCTGTAATTGCTCTTTTCCAGTCCTGATGGATCTTTTATAATTAAACCTTTTGATGCTCTTGCATGAAGGTATTGATTCAACAGGGACACTATTCAGGCTCTTCAGACAATTTCTCTACTTAGATATTACGTTTTTAAGGGGATGTGAAAGCGGTATCCGCGGAGTCAATCGTTTATGAAACTAATCTCCGAACTGGGTGGACCGAATTATTTCAAACTTTACAACGTGAACGTGGAAGCCTTAAGGTAAGTCTTAAAACCCATGAGATTTCATACATTTTTTTTTTTTCAATATGAATACATCTATACCCAAATTAAAAAAAAAAAATTAAATTTTGTCGTGTTAGGACCTTTATAGCTTCCATATTCAAGTTTGAAACGATTCGGTACACTCAGTTCGGAGAAAAGTTTCATAAACGAGACCTCTTTGACATTGCTTTCACATCACCTTAAACGGCTCGTGTTTTACTTAAACAATTTTTAAATATCAATACAAAACTATAATTAGCTAGAACTACAAATGAATCTCAAAGTTCGTCCGTAAATCGTTCGATATCGTGTAAGTGATCTCCATAGTCAAGCGCTTCGCTTCCGACAAAAATGTCGTAATGGTCCAGAACTTCCTTGAAAGTTAACTGGTCGTCGTGGTCGTCATCCGATACGGCAAACAAATGATCCACCTCATCCGTTGCAATATCCCTTAAGTTAAGGACAATAGGCTTAATTAAAAATTGATTTCAAATAAGAATAAAAAGTTGAAAGTTGGAGATGCTTACTCGTTGCTAGGTACAAGCCAGGCCAATATTTCATTTAAATCCAATCTGCCGTCTTTATCCTTGTCGAGCTCGTTATCAAACTTGTCCTTCTCTATAATGAGCCACTCTTTATCTCCATCCTTTGCTCGATTACCCAAAAACTCTTGAAAACTAATAAAACTATCGTTATTCGTATCTTTTTCTGCCAAGGCCTGCGACAGTATCAGGGGAAACATTCTCGATGTCTCTTCGGGATGTGTATACGCTCTGAATTCATCTGAATCCAAGTAGCCATCCTTATTAAAATCGGCAGCTTGAAAAGTAGCTCGATCGTCTTCCACGAGTTTTGCATCCAGTACTAAGTCTTCCGGATCCGATCCGTAGGTGTCCAACAGAATTTCTTCCCAAGTTACTTTGCCATCCTCGTCTGTGTCCGCGTCATCTAACCGGTCGCGCGACTCTTCGGCAGAGAGCATACTACCCAGAGTATAAATTGTGAATACGTACGATTAATACTTGTAAGTCATAGTATTTCCCTTACTTGAAATGAACTTACTCGAATGAACGTAGAATCCAGGCCTTCAATTCGTTTCTTTCAATTAATTTATTATTGTTCAAATCCATTTTTGTCAGTAATATCATCAGGCGTCTTTTAGATTCTTCGGGTGATAGCTTATTGAATACTTCGGCTTGTTTGATGCTTCCTTTGATTATATCAGATATCAAAGAAACATGGAAAGTAATTACAATAAGACAATTAATAATGCTTGATTAATAACAGCAGTTGTAGTCATATTATTTAGACTGTATATTCAAAGCATGTAAATTCACCGAGTATTGCTTCATGATCGAACTCTTGATGATGCTCCCCATCTACATAGTGGCCCTTGTTCCACGGACTAAATGCCCCATCTGCTGTTCTCTCATTTACGGATACATCTGCTTTACTGGTGTGATGCGTATGAATATGTGCGGATGCCGCCATACAAGGTATCAACATATTGCACGAATTTAAAATGAATGCGAATAAACAAATCTGCCAGCGTTTAGACGTCATTGAAAAATCTTTGGAACATCCTTTACCTAAAGTATAAAAATATTTTACAACTTCCGTCAGGATTTTGCAATTCAGTTTCAGTTACGCTATCGTAATCTAATCGTGGCAAATACCAGCAAGTACAGTTTTCATAAAACATCATGTTATTATATCACCGTCCTTGTTCTTTCGAAATATGATAACAATGCTGGAGCGACACAAATAACACAAAGGATGGGATTCAGAAGCAAAAGCGGGTAACATTTGCACAAGAAAAGAAATCTTTTGCTTCACTGGAGATAGGTTATAAAATGATGTACCGGGGAAAAATATTCTCAACATTTGCACAACAATCTCATACTAACTCAGAAACATTAGCAGAGTTCATTAAAACCCGTGAAAACCTGTAACCGGAGATGAGCAGAAATGTTTCACCTTAGACTATACAATACACAGACTTCATCAGTGACATGCAAAATGAAGCGCTGGGAAGCAAGCGTCGTCAACCCCTGTGTCTGTGATAAGGTAAAATCAGAGATGAGTTGAGAAATTCACGGGGAGGATCGAGCGACCGCGTCCTGTGCGACCTCCGGTGGAGGATTCAGACGGCTAATGCACTTGCCACCTGTTACAACTCTGGGCAGCCGGAGAACCGGCTGAAAAAGTGAACAACTCCTCACAAAAACTCCAAAACCCTGTATCTCCTCCGAAAAAAATCCCAGCCATTAGCTCGAGGGATCAATTTAAACCGAACAACCTTCCCCATCAAGCTACCGTGGACGCAATTCGCATACCGGCCCAATCACGGACCATCACCGGCCCGATAATGGTCCAGTACAAAGAGTTGCAAAGAGTCAAGAACTTGTCCATATGGGATATTTTCCGTGTCATTGTAGCAAGAACAAAGAGCAATGTGTTGCGTTAATACGGTGTGGATCTCTACCTTCCTTGTAAGCAACAATTAGTGCTGCATGACGCCACAATTGATGATCCCGACGCTTGCATTACCAGTGATAGGGAGCATGAAAGAGGTTATCTTGCCATATCCGAATTAATCAATTGTATTGGAATGGAAAAAAGGAACGGCATGATTGCCAAGCGCAATTTACAGTAAATCTCTGTTTCTCATATTTATTCCTACAAAATGTCATCGCGTTTCAGTGGTGCTCTTCAAATCACAAACCTGGACGATTTTATTACTCCGTCTCAGGTAAGCAGATAAATGTTAACACATTCATTTATTGAAAGGTTACCCAGAGAATATATCGCTGTCATTCTTAATATGAATTTTTGAAGGCGGTTTATTTGTAGGAATGTATAAAGCCAGTAGAAATTCAGAAAACGCTGACCAAAACTGGAGCGAAAATAATAATTCAGGAAGATGGAGCTTACACGGAATTGGGGGAGGTGCGTGCTACCTTTATTATGCATCAATGCATTGTAATATATTAGAGTAATTCCATTCTTACTATTTATTATATGTAATTATTATAAATATACGTTATCAGAGCAAATCGGCTGAAAAACTTCAGAAAGTAGCGATCACATTGGCCGACTGTTTGGCTTGCAGTGGTTGTATTACCTCTGCCGAAAGTGTACTCGTAACGCAGCAGAGTCACGAGGAACTCTTGCGAGTATTTGATGCAAACAGAAATCATGGACAGGTATATTATTGCGTTATTTATGGGTACATATGTATGGTATTACAGTGTATGAAGCATGATTCTCATCAAACGATTAATTAATGGATCTTTTAATTTCGTGTACCTTTACATATAGAATGGTAAAGTCGGGGATCGGAAGTTTATAGTTGTAAGTCTTTCGGTTCAGCCAATATTATCCTTAGCGGAGCACTATAAACTACAACCCGAGGAAGCGGCAAGGAAATTAGCTGGTTACTTTTATGAATTAGGCGCCGATACCGTCTTGGATATGACTGCAGCAGACGATTTTGTACTGTTAGAAACAGCCAAGGAATTTGTAGAGAGGTACAAATCTGCCCAAGATGGTATTCAAAATCAATTACCTATGTTGTCTTCTTCCTGTCCAGGTAGATCTTCAACCAAGTAGCGATCTCAAGGAAAATAGATTTATATGAATAAATTGTGATATCTTAATAGAATGGACTACATAAAGGATACACCTTATTAAATTTCAGGATGGGTATGCTACGCAGAGAAAACTCATGGAAATTTCATATTACCATATATAAGTGTAACCAAGTCCCCTCAGCAAATAATGGGATCAATTGTGAAGTATCACCTGGCTGAAATGAAAGGATTTGCGCCGGAACAAATATATCACGTAACACTGATGCCTTGTTACGACAAAAAACTTGAGGCATCCAGACAGGATTTTTATAACAGTCTCAAGGAAACGAGAGATGTCGATTGTGTAATTACATCAAGTGGGTTATTTTGTGACCGATATCACATAAAAACCTGTCGTGAGTTTGCATTTTGATTTTGTATGTTTCTTTCAGTTGAACTGCAGCAGATGTTGAGCGAACGGGGAACGCCATTGGATGAAATCAGTGAACGCGACATTGAAAGACCGTTTGGTCTGTACCACGAACAATGTGACAACGTTGTTCTCGGTCATCGTGGCCTAGGTTCTGGAGGATATGCAGACTTCATTTTTGATTATGCAGCTCGTAACCTATTTCAGCAGTCCGGTGTAACAATTGAATTTAGGAACCTTAGGAATCCTGATTTCCAAGAAGCGGTTTTAGAGCGAGATGGAATCGTTTTATTACGATTTGCAATTACTAATGGATTTAGGAATATTCAAAACCTCGTTCAGAAATTAAAGAAGAGAAAGTGTTTGTATCATTACGTTGAAGTAATGGCTTGCCCAGCTGGTAAGATTGTAACATTTAATAATTACATTCAGTCATATTATGTCACCGATTCTGTAAAATGCTGGTTTATGGTTATTAGGTTGTCTGAACGGTGGTGCTCAAATTAGGCCTCAAAATGACTTGCAGCCGCGGGAACTGGCTTTAAAGTTGGAGACAGTGTATCGCCAACTTCCACAATGTGACCCTGAAAAGAATGAAGTTGTACGGAGATTGTACAAGTCGTGGCTTGGCGGGGAACACTCAGATAAGTCCTTGGCATTTTTTCATACGCAATATCATGAAATTAAAAAAATGGATACAGCACTAGCTATAAAATGGTGATGTGGAGAATGTTCAGCTGTTATTTATTGTTGACACTCGACAAAATTGTACAAATACAAGTCTCCGTTACATATTAAAGAAATACATACATATAATACACTATCGTATTCGGGTGCACAAAACCATAACCTGAGTGCAGAATTCTAAACTTTTACACTTGTACTTAAAGTTATTGACGGAAATAAACAAACGTGAAACCTACGATATTCGTTTTAGGGTGTAACATGTATTTATGCAGAAGTATGCAAGAAGGCGTACTTATTTTCAATCTGATTACTTCGAGGGAAGCAAAAATTACTTGAAAATATTTATTTTACGAATTTTCGGTAAAAATTTATAAAACGGTATAGAGCTCTTTTGCTTTGCGTGTGTTGTCCAAGAGTGAGAAAGCAAACTGCCAAAAATGTTGAATACACCGCGGAAGTCGAAAATGATGGGCATTGCGTTCGTCTTACATATGCATTCATGGTAACTTCGATCTTATGATTTAATAAGTTCCATTCTACATCTGGATTTTATATACAATCATGTGTACACGACGTACTTTCGTAAAAATTATACTTCAGGGTGGAATTTTAATTAGTGAAGAATTATTCATGTTAATGTCCATACTCCTGTCATCTCACGGAACACATTATCATTCCTTTTTCATCCAGTCAATAGACTTCCATTGTTCATGGACAGTAGCGTAACGGTGTCGTAAAAATAAGCAAATCTGAAAGCAACTTTCTCTGTGTAAATAAGATGAACATATGTTAATAGGTTTCATTCAAGTGTTACAATGTCACGTAATGTCAACTATCTCTATTACTTGAATGCCCCTTGTCATAAATTTTGCAATTAATTGCACGGTACACCATTGACTTACATATTAACAAATCGTTGAAGAATAGTAAAAAAACAATCAGTCTTTTGATAAAATCAGATCCAAGTTTCATTACATTCAGGAAATGCTCTAGTGATACAGTATAAAGGAGCGAAAATGAATGGCGTTAGAAAACGCAGTAATGTAACTTTGATATTTTTTGGTACATCTTATGCTTCTTAAAGAGAAATTCTTCCCTTCGACATTCATCACGAAAAATAAAAGAGACAAATATCTACTCTATAAATAGATAGAATATAATAAGGATTTGTAACTATTTGTACTCCAGATGACTATCCAAGTTGCATGTAGGGTAGAGATTTCGATGTAACATAAATGATCAATCATCCCGTTTCTTTTTTTTTTTTTCCCCTCATACGAAATATGTAACCTAATCATACCATGTAGAAAATTTATCTAAGCAGCTCATCTTTAAGCCTAACTTAACCTTTATCATCTCGTCGTGAAACTGTATCGCACTGTTAATAAATTACAAATTATGTGCATTCACAGTATGGTACATACGTTATACCGAATATTGCAAGTTTACATCAACATATGTGAACGTAAGCCAGAATGCTTACAATATATTATTAAAAGCACAATTAGCTACATTAGAAATTTGCTGTTTACAATTAGCATAATAAATAAGCGTTGTATTCACATTGTTTTTAACGATATCTTGTCAACACCTTGTTGCTCTGTTATTTAACATTTATGCTATTGTCACGTATATTCCATACAAGGTAACATTTCCCTCTTGCTCTGGATTCATTTTTCTGGCAACGTATTGTAGCACATTTCCGCTTTAATTACCTGGAATTTTGTTAAGATTTAACTTAAGCTTTGTCATTACTTTCTTCTTATACCACACTTTTTTCATATCATTTTCCAAAGAATAGCCATCCTCAATACAACTAACAGAATTTCGTTCAATGTTATTGTCTACATTACGCCCGTTTGTTTCCGTTAACCATCCTTGTTGGCTGTCGACTTCTTTAGATACGACGAGAAACAATTCCTTTTCTTTGCTGTCTACTTGTTCCTTCAGGTATGCTAATAACTCATTGTCCTGATAACGCGAACATTACATTATTATGCCTCAAATACACAGGAGACCGTCAAAAGATGGAGCATACGTACCGTTCCAATGAGTTGCGGTACATCCAGCTTTGAGTCTAGGTTATAAAAGGTACCGTGTATCTTGCGTAGAGCGATCCAGTGACGCTTTTTTAATGGCAATAAAACAAATCCCAGTCTGTATTCGGTTGGAACATTTAATATGAAGCCTTCGATGTTGTCCAGGCACAGGCACTTTGGGTCTCTAAATGAATCGTTTATTTGACAACGAATCATCTACCTCTGATAATTTAAGAAACTATTTATACAGTGTCTGACCTGCGCTTGTCGAACCAGACCACTTCGCGTCCTTTTCGCTGCAGCGCAGCCATGATAACATTGATATCATAATTTCCAAGACCTAGTAACGATTTGTGGGGGTTGATCCACACATGAGGGCTAAGGCTATAGCAGATTTGGTCCAGCTCTTGTTTACTAAACCCTCTCTCTTGGAATAGATTATTTAAAGCGTGTAACGCACACAGTTCTTTAACCTGCGGTGGAAACATTTTATATTAACGGGTTTCTGGATATTAGTAAGTGATAATGACACGTGCACCCCTTTCACGATAAGAGATATACACATACTTTACAATGAATATAAAAAAGGAATGTAAATAATTTTCAACTACCTGGCGCTCGTGATATATAGACCCAGTCATATCAAATGCCGTGCTCGTGACCATCTTAACTACATAATTCTACTACTTTTTCACTTACAAACGTCCTTGGTAACGGCAATAAGTCTCGGACTTACGCTTCACTGATATTCCTTAAAAAACCTGAGCAGCATTGCAATTGCCACTGGCAGCGAATTCACCTCTGTTCCCATCTATTTCACTGATAAATATAACCTATCTACATTTGACAGTTCTATTCATAGTTTTAATTTTCTTTTTCCAGGAAGCTACAACGGTTCACCCATGGTTTCATCAATTGGCGCTTCGTGCTCGGTGGCGAGAAATTCAAACGTCGTGGTCACTGAAATTCAGATGACCTCCGATACTTCATCCAGCGAGCAGTGTCTTTTCCATAGAAAGAAATAAAGAAGTAAACTGATGATTGAAGTTATGTAATTAATAAGTTTTTGTGAGAAAGCTTAATTAAACGAATAACGAAACTGTTTCATGGATCTAACAGAACGAGCCAATAGAATGTTGCAATTGAAGGACGATTGAAAAGACATCGTACATGGAAACTGAGCTTCATCGCAATGTCTTATGAATTTTTCCCACGAGTCGTTCGTCTATACGTACCATAGTCAGTGTTTCTCGATGTAGGATTTCTTGTATAATCTTTGTGAAGAATTATGGCGTCCATAATTTTTAAGAATATTCTGTCGAGGGTGCAACAATTGCAGACGTTACCACTCAAGTGTAATTGTCTATATATGTGAAGAAACGTTTAACGGTACCACTATATATTGTGATTACGAAATTTGTCTGTAACATTTTAGGTTGTATTTCTACATTTCCTTCTCTGAGATACTCTTCTCAACCCACTACAACTGAAAACCCTACGGAAACGCGACGTATGTAATGATAATTTTTTTAATAACTTATTAAGGAACAGAGCATTAAATATGGCATGTATATTTTTTTAGCCACCGTTCGAAAATGGGACTTCGAAAAAGTCGAACGGTTGAAAGGCTTCGGACAGTACGTCCTTGAATGTTTATCAAAGTATGTACAAAAGGTACAGATCGTAACAGGAGACGAGCTAGAGATTTTAATCGCACCCGAGGGTATCGTTCCGACGATATCATTCCTGAAAGATCATCATACCGCTCAGTTCATCTCACTAGCGGATATTACAGCCCTGGACGTTCCAAGCAGGCAATATCGATTTGAAGTAAATTTCATGTTATTCGATTATACAGTGTATCTAAATGATTAACTAATGTAATATTATAATTTATAGCTTGTATACAATCTTCTGTCCTTACGTTTTAATTCGAGGGTGAGGGTTAAAACGTATACGGATGAACTTACACCGGTAGATTCGATTTATCGTGTCCACAAAGCCGCAGATTGGTACGAGCGAGAAATATATGACATGTTTGGCATATTCTTTGCCGATCATCCCGATCTACGCAGAATACTCACCGATTATGGCTTTGAAGGACATCCATTAAGGAAAGATTTTCCTCTGTCTGGATACATGGAGGTATACGCATAGCAGGTTATCATAATTTAACATGGCTCAAATATATAAATGCTTAAGTGCATGAATGCGCGTGAAATGATCTTTTTCAGCTTCGATACGATGATGAGAAAAAACGAGTAGTCGCAGAGCCGTTGGAATTAGCGCAAGAATTTCGTAAATTCGAACTATCTGCCCCGTGGGAACAGTTCCCTAAGTTTAGGCAAAGTCCCCCATCGATCGAAGAGGTACCTCAAAAGAAGTAGGTTTTTATTCGTATCTTATACTAGTATCTTATAAAAATATATGAATTATAGTAAGCAATTGTTGCGCTCCAGCTTTATTGCGTTCCTCTTGTAATGTACCGACGGATGTATAATAAAACGAGGCAATTGACGAATTCGGGCGAGTTTAAATTTGGCGCGGTTGAGAGTGCCGCCCGTCGAGATTGGATTGGACGAAGTTGGCTCCATCTATGAGTCACGCAACACATCGGGAAGCTCGATATCGGTCGCCTACTGAGGGAATTCGTGAGAGATGGAGCTGACCGGAGAATCTTAGGGATTCCGTTAAAAAGGTAGGTGCCAAAACCGAGGGATATTCCACGGATAATTCCTAGAACCGGCGAGGTAGTCTCCGCCGAGTCGGGCGGGCGATCGAGTGGTTTTCTCCTTAAGAAAATGGCTCTCCTAGGCAGGCGCGTCCTCCTGCGGTCCCGCGCACGTCCGGTCGACGATTCTTTCCCACCAAAACCGTACGCGGTTTCCGATTTTCTTCCGAATTAAGGTTAATTCGGAACTCCGTGCTCGGCCTCGACATACGTTTCGTTTTCGCTCGGTTTTCGGGCCTACGATGATTTCCGCTCCTTTGTACCGCTTCTACGGAGCGAGCGAGCTTTTAACGGGCTGGTTGTGATCAAACTCGCCGAATTGATTACTGGCTTCAACGTCACGATCGTGCGTTGACAGCAACGCACGGCACGCATCTTCAGGTACTCACGTTTTCATTCTAATCACGTATTTTAGGTGGCCGCTCCACCCCTTTATCTGGAAATTCAATTTTACACTATTTCCATTTTTCCGCGTCGACAATTCCGTTAAGCTTGTTACTCGAAATCTCTATTGGCTTCTGGCTATGCTCGTGGTTCCGGTGATCTGATCATGCCGATTTGTTAAGTATCGATGCATTCGGTCCTGTCGTGGATCACTGACAATCCGCAGATATTATAGCAGTGCATTCGTTAATTATTATAGTATCCGAGCTCTTAAGGATTAACGTTTAAAATTATTGTTTAGGCCTTTCATAATGTCAACGTCGGTTCAAGGAAAACAGCTCCCCCTGCGCGGGTTGAAGCAGGTTAAGGTGGACAATTGGGGAACATTTTTTCTCCAACGACTTCAACAGCTCTACTTTGAAGAAGAATTGCTCGACCTTACGATTAAATTTCCTACAAGTGACATCACCGTACAAGTAATTAAAGTCAAATTTCATAACTTATGTTAAAAATTGATATTGGATTAGATCGATTACGTAGCATGACTTTAAACCGTCAGAACAAAGAGGTTACGTTTTGGTAAATTTCTAATTCTATCCCTTTGGAAGGGGTAATAATTGGAATTCTTTGTATCGTTACCTGGAGAAAAAACCATTGAAACTTATTATATTTTTCAGGCTCATCGATTAGTTATTACGACATGCACAGATTATTTTACATATCTCGAGCGTCAGCAAAGGGAAAAGGATGAAAATTTTGACGGTATACTTATTATGCCACCCGACATGCCTTACGAATGCGTTAAGTCTATTATAAGGTACAACGTTTATGGCGTTCTATGTTTAAAACTGCCTCTGCGCTTATTCCATTTAGCAGCCACTCGTTTAATTATCCGTGACATTTTTCAGTTTCATGTACACAGGCCAGTTGGAATACTGGACTTCGGAACAAAATGCACTGTATCGCACCGCTCAAAAAATGAACATGACCGTTTTAACCAAACTATTGGACGCACAGTTCAATACCAGCGAATTGCAAGCGAGCCCACCGTCTACTAAATCAAAGCCTACCGTCCAACCGGTGATAGCTCTTTCAAAGCCGAGCACTCCTGCAAAAAAGGTTTCGTCGCAATCCCAACAGAATCAAACTCCTATGCTGCCATCACAGCCGCTGCCTGGGAGAAAGTATGTAATTTTGCATTATTCTTCTGTACTTTCGTTGTCATGACAGAATAACATAAAAAGTATTAAATGGGAATGGAGCTCGTGAAATTAAATTGATTTTCATAAAGGGCGCAAGGTGGAATTGACTGTTTCTACAGAAGTATGAAATACTAATCGTGTCTTACCTTCAGGCTTCCGATTTGGAAAAGAAAGCTGGATGCACGTACTTCGTTTCCATCCCCGAATTACGACCTCGGGCCCTACAGCAGTTCCCTGAGCAGATCTTCGTCGGACGTGACCCCGGGTCCGTCCAGATTCGATCTACCGGAAGCCGAGGAGTTCTCCCTGGGCGTCTTCTCGTCCTTCGACGATATCACGTACAACACGAAGCCAATCGTGCAAGCCCCGAATAAACCTAGCGCGGAAAATAACTCGGAATATAAGAGTTCGATGAACACGGAGGCGGACGAGCGCAGAAACGATACCACGGAGGACGAGGACGATGACGACGACCCGGGTAGAGACAAGGACAAGAGCGAAAACTCGGACGACGACTGGTCGGGGCCCAAGGGCATTCTACGAGCTCAGGAGGTGCAGACCTCACCTACCAAGAAGGTGAGGTTCAACCTCGAGGAGAAGGAGAACCTGGAGAAGTCGAAAAACTCGCCAAACTCCGGGGAGTCCATAAAGAAGCACGCCAAGATCATCAAAGAGGTGCTGAAGAAGTACCCCCACCTGGTGAAGAACAACAAGAACATCAGGCTGAAGATCATGCAGAAGGAGGCCAAGTCCTCGGAGCCGAGTACCCCAGCGAAGACCAAGGTCTCCTACGTGGTGCTCAAGTCGGACCAGCTGATGCGCGGCAGCGCGGACGAGGAGTCGAGGAACAACGGCGGAGAGGGCGCCGAGAAGGGGCCCTGGAAGTGCACCAAGTGCGACCTCGAAGAGGAATACGCGATGTACTACATGTACAGGAGGCACATGCAGGACGTCCACGGTGAGAAGTTCGACCCCAGGGTCTGCGAGCACTGCGGCTACAAGGCGACGAAGCGCAACATCCTGATGTACCATCTCTACACAAAGCACAACGTGCCCCCACCGAAGAGCATGTGCTTCCCCAAGTGTCACGCGTGCCCGTACGTGGCCCTCTCGGAGACGTTGCTCGTCAGACACCAGATCAACCACAACCACCGGCCGACCTCGCGCACCACCCTCTCGCCGGCCGAGGAGCTGCAGTGCCTGCACTGCACCCAGACCTTCCGGGACATCACCGACCTGGCGACCCACGAGATCAACACGGGCCACGGCAGCGCGGAGAGCCGCGAGAAGGGCCACCGCTGCCCGCACTGCGGCAAGACCTTCATCCGCATCACGAATCTGCAGGTGCACCTGGACTGCGCGCACAAGGACCTGAGGGAGGCGGAGCCGGCGCCCATCTCCCTGGAGCCGTCCTCGGAGGCCGAGGCCCTGAGCCACGTGGCCAGCGGAATCGCCGCCTCCCTGGCCGTCGGCGACGCCGTCCCCGCCGTCGACCAGCAGGAGGCGCGCTCCTCCGACGCCGAGTACGTCGTCCCCGAGAGCCTGGAGCTCGCCGACATCGAGCCCAATGTCGCCTACAACGGCCAGGAGATGGCGGGCCAGCAGATGATCATGCTGATCGACAACGGTGGCTACCAGCAGCAGGAGATGGACGAGCACCAGCAGCAGCCCCAGCAGATCGACATCTCCGGCAACGAGCAGATCGTGATGCAGGGCACCGAGGAGGGCATGATCGTTTACATCCACGAGAACGACGTCGAGCAGGGCGAGCAGCAGGCCTACGCCACCTACCGCGAGATCGAGATGGCCCAGGAGACCGAGGAGATCGTCGAGGAGGTCGTCGAGGAGGTCGAGGAGGAGCTCATGGAGGAGGAAGAAGAAGAGGAGGACGAGGAGGACGAGGAGGAGGACGAGGAGGAGGAGTCGAGGAACGGCCAGGCTGTCGTGCTCGAAGACGGGAACGTCGATCAGGTCGAGGAGGTGATCCAGTACGTCGAGGAGGAGACGGAGATCGTCGAGTACGACGAAGAGCAGTGCGGCAGGAACGGCCCCGCTCGGGAGTCCCGGGACGCCCGGGACGCCCGGGACGCCCGGGACCCCCGCGACTCGGTCATGATCGTCGAAGAGGAGGAGGAAGAGGAGGAGGAGGAGGACCGCCACCACTTCGAGGCCGGCGAAGACGAGGCGGCGAAAGCGAGCGCGAACCGGAAGAGCGCCGACATCATTTCCGACGACTGGGACGAGGACAGCGCCGACATGACCGACTCGTAAAACGTCGGGAGGCGCGGTCCAGAGATAATCATTGGTTTCCGATGGGACGAGTCCTCCGAGTCGTCGCGGGGACGCTTCCGCCATCCCTCGGTCCGGAAGCGCGAGTTCCTCCGGGACTCTCGGCGGTTTCCCGACGTGGCATCGAGCAACGGATTCGACCGGTTTTACATAAGGCTAGGGTAGATCGAGTTTCATGGTAGACTAAGGCCTTTGTGTACATCATTTGCAAAATGTCATATTACCTACCAATAAATACATTTTCATTACGAATTCGCGTCGTCGGCGCTGGCAACGCGACCTCGCGTGGGACTCGTCGAGAGGACAATTTAGACTTTTGCCGATCGGCCATATCGAATTCGGAGTTCCTCGGCGCCGACGACGAAATTCAACACGGCCGAGTTGGGTCGTTGCGTTCGACGCGCGTGAGCAGGACCTGGGGAAAACGGAACCCTCAAAACGGTGGAATTTTTTTTTTTTTTTTTTAATATTTTATTGCTCCTCTGTAGACGTACATTTGGGCGCCGTTGGGCGCCGTTGGCCTCCGCGAGACTCCCGAGGACTCGTGGCGGTTCGCCCCAAGGAAAGGAAACTCGTACCCCATTGGCCTTCGTTTTACGCCAACGGTGGTGGAGTTACCAAGCCTTGACGCCGAAGGGAAGTCACTCGGCGAACACAGAGGCGAACACGAGCTACGGGTTGAATCGGAACCGTGCACTCGCGGTCGGGTTCTCTCGATGGCCTCGTAGGAGAAACGGCGCGTTCCTGGTCGGGCCCGGTCCAAGTGGAGAACGCCTTCCGACGCGCGTCGTCCCGCTGTATCCTCGTAAGCCGCGTGCTCCGCTACTCCTGGACAGGGCAAAAGATACGTCAAGCGGAGACACTATTTTGGCTCGAGACGATCGCGAGAAAACGCCCCAGGGGAAGCCCGTCGACGGCGCGACTCCGCGTCACTCGCGATCGCGAGGTGGAGGTCTCCTCCGGGGTGCCGAGGAAGCGGAGAGCTCGGTCGGCTGGACGAGGCGCGCCGCTTCGGCGTCTTGGCGACTGATCCGAGCGCGATCGGTGGGAACCCTCGGTTTCCTCCCGGGCCGAGAAAGCGCGCTGCGACTGCATTCGCACGGCTGGCACACCGGGTAGAAGCGCGAAACGTGCAAGAGGGACGTTAAACGATGTACGGCCTTGACCGAAGGCTGTGCGTGTGGTGGAGCGTCGCTCGGCTCCCTCCCGGTCTCCCACCCGGTCTCCCTCCCGGTCTCCCTCCCGGTCTCCCTCCCGGTCTCCCTCCCGGTCTCCCTCCCGGTCTCCCTCCCGGTCTCCCTCCGCGACCGCGCGGACGTTAAAAACGACGCCGAGAACCCTCGATCCCCGACGCGTCCTTGCGTCCTCCCGGGGTCGAGGGCGGCGTTCGCGGACAATGGGCAGGCATTCGCCCTCGCGCGGGAAAGACTTACCGGTTGCGAGGTGCACTTGCGCGAGGTCGCGTCGAGGAGGCCGGGCGCTCGGTTCGAATGGACTAAGGTCGCACGAGGTAAGGTAAGGTACGGCGAGGCGGGAGGTGGCCTCGGTAGGTTAGGAGGAGGAGGAAAAGGCAGCCGAGACGCCGCCGCGGCAACAGGTGAAGGACTGGGCTGCACGCAGGGAAGCGCAGGGGGACGCTCTCCTGGTCTCGCGGGAAAAAAACGCCCTCCTTGGAAACGCGAAAGTGGGGTGTCGCGAGTCCGGCCGAGTCCGGCCGAGGCCGGCCGAATCCGGCCGGGACGGCCGGGGCGGAAACTCGACCCGAGGATCCTGCCGTTTCGGTCTGCCGAAAGGGACAGGAGAGATCGGTCGTTTCCCTTTTCCAAAAAGCCTCACCCCCGGGCACGGGGGCAGGACGCGCGGACCGCGGCCGTAAAAATCGGAAGAAAAGAGAGCGTCCCTCGTCGGCCGGGTCGGCGCATCCAACCCGCGACAGGAATCGCAGACAATTAATCATAAAAGGCACGGTGTTTTAGCCAATCCCGCGGGAGGGGGCTCGGGAGGGGGCTCGGGAGAGAGGCCGAAAAGAAAAAGGAGAAACCCGAGAAGCCGAAGAGAGGAGAACCGGTTTCGGCTCGGACGAAACGATCCGTCTGGCCGACTGGCGGCGCGGCCGGTCGGACGGCGTGCCGGCGTGCCGGCGTGCCGGCGTGCCGGAGCATCGGGACCCGATTCCCTGCCGGCCGCATTTTTTCCAGGGACGCCCGAGCGAGCCGCTCGGATGGGAACGGCCGTGCGCCAAATCGAAGGATCGAGAGAGATCGGCCTCGCGCGTCTCCTCAAGGCCGCGCCGTCGACTAGCGCGCCCTTCGACCGACGAGGAGACGGGATCCGGCAAAACTGCGTTTGGAGCTGATTTGCGAGCCGATGGAAAATCGAATAAATGCCGAAATAAAAAAGGAAAGAATACAATGCACTCGTCGTAATAGTAGACATCTTGGACCAATAAACTCGCGCATTTTATAAGTTTTCAAACAACGTCTCTTAGGTCCCATTTCACAGTTTGAGTTAACTGAAGTTTAGCTGATTTACAACAGGTTGAAACAGGGGTAAACCAGTTAATCTTCGGTTAACTCGAGTTGGGGAACCGGGCATAAGTCTTGTGGTAACTTTTCACCAGTAATACGTTCTTTGACGATACGTTTCATCTTCTCTGGAGGAATTTTCTAACAATTTCACGAAAAACAATGACTAAAGGGCAACGAAACGGTACGAAACATTGAAACCTGTTTTGGTAGAAATTTACATTTTTTTTTCTTTTATAAAAATAACAGATGGGCTACAGAACGCTATGCAATTGTCACGGTCGGCTTTTTACGACATTTGCAAAATGGGGTGTGTCATATATCTGCTTAAAAAAAAAACGGAATTTCAAGCGAGTGGCAAATAAGAACTTTTTACGTTTCCTTTCTTAGAATATACAGATTCCTGCAATTTTTTAATCCGCAACTTCAGAAAGGAGTATAGCTGCTGCCCTCTGGCGTTCGCACTTGGACCGAAGGACTGAACATCTTAAATACTTTGGTATGGCGGAGAGAAGATGAGAGCTTTATAGCTATCGGAAGACGCCGGTGTTTCGATGAGAGATGGCGCTTCGTCCTTCGTCCCAGAGTTGGAACGACGAATCGAGTATGTGTGCATATACTTCAAGTATCCGCAGGAATGACACACTGTGACACACCAATGTCGACCCGTGGATTCATATGTTTACCTTATGTTCAGTGACTTATATCGGAGAGGAGAGAAGCCGCGACTCGAAAAAATCCAGTTGGTCACCCTGTCATTGGTTCACGGTAGGTTTAAACCTGGTGTAAACCAGGTAAACTTTGGTTAACTGAGTAACGGAACTAGACCTAAGAGCAGGACGGTATCGCAAGAATATTTTCTACTGTTTGTGCTTTAACTTTCTGAGATAGTCATTAACGTCAATGCTTGCAAATATATTTGATTAAATATAAGATTAATCAATTGTCTTTTAGTGGGAATATTCTGTATATGTGATAACTCATGTTAGATGAGCAAGTACCAAACACGACAGGAGAGTGTGAAACAAATGATAATGTAATAACCTATGCAATGTGGAATTTGTAAACAATGTCACTAGGAAATAAGAATTATCATTGCCAAGTGAATATCTCTGTAAGCTTAGCAATATACATGTTACCATAAACAGCTTATGAACTTATAGTATCATTTCTTGCTTGGTACTCGATGCGACTTAGATTAAAAAATGGTTACAAATAAATTGTGACATCCATGATATACAGTCGTTATCGTGTTTGTACAGCAGCTTCTTTTCGGGCAGCATCTTGTAATAATTGGGTATCCACTTCATCTCCAGGTAATTGAACGTACCGTACCACGGATCCACGTATGAAGCAGTTTTTGACCGACAACTGCAAAATCATATTTAAAAATGTTATCTTCAAATTTGTAATTCCAGATATGAATTTACTTTTTTAAATTATCAGAGTTTTATTATCAAACCATGTGAGGGTATTTATCAGGATCGGTCACGCTGATGTCCGTAAGTTTGATATTTAAGTACTGATCGACCGAGTGTAGGGTACCGCAAATACTGTAAGAAAAACATCATCGATTAATAGTAGTATAATCAAAGCAGTAAATTCACCTATCGCCTAATAGTACATTTCTGCCATAAAATGTACAAGAGTAAAATTATGCTCGTCACTTGGCACATGGTATTTTTGTTTCGTTACGATGACAGTCGACAGGCTTACCTAAGGTCATTTTTTAGTTCGACGACCACATCTTTCCCGATTAATGATTTAAAAAAAGAATAGAACAACTGAAAAAGAAAACATTATTTTGCATAAATCATTGTGCAAACGTCATACCGTTCTAGAAATAATTACTTGAAAATGTGACACGTATGAACCGCAATTACTAAAGTACTTTACCATGTCTTTCGGTGTGATCTGAAAGGCTCCCTAGATTTAGATGATACCAATTGTTTCGGTATATTTACAGTTTTAATAATACTTGTTTCCAATTCCTAACCTCTTAAGCGGCTCGACAAATTTAAAAGCGAAAACCGATGGAAGTCGCGACATCTCGGGGGTGAAGCTTGCACCCGTTTGAGAGTTTCGCCGCTAGATGGCAGAGCGAGCCAGTGCTGGCGTTAGTTGCGGATTCGCGGGAAACTGATTCTTACCAAGTGAGTTTACCGTTATTTAGTTAATTTCTCGTAGTATTTTAGTACACCGAGCTGTATCGAATGCAGGTACGTAAATGTCCGGATCACGGAACGCTTTTCTGGCTCAAGGACTTATCGTCCGCTACGATTTATCAAACATCGACCGTTCGAGAACTGTCGTGCCGCCATCTTGTACCCTGTAAACGGTAAGTAGAAAAATGAACATTTTCGAATCCCGTCCTCGAGGAATATTTGGTAAATTGCAATTTTTCTCGAAGGTTTCGTCGGCAGGCTCGTCCGATAAAGGAGTCGGATTCCAACCCACCGTGCACATCCCGATCGAGGCGTACCGTTCGCGCGTTCGTCTGTAGGGGAACGTAGGGTAAGTGGTTTTCGCGGGTACCCATTCCCCGGTTCGAAAAATAAACAATGACAGAGCGATCGACACGAAGAGACCCGTGAACGGAGGAGGGGTGCCGGAGTTAATTCGCGACTGCCATGTGCTCCCGAGTCTTCCCTTGAACTTTGCCGGGTCCGTTTTTCGCGGTTGCGTCATGCCGGGCCTTCGCCGGTAAACCGCCTCTCGGTATTCCGTACGCGATCTCCGCGATATGGGGGGGAGGAAGCGGTCGTCGGGCGTCCCGTGTTTACTGTTGCGTGTTGTTTTTCAGCAGGCTTCGTGTTTACGTGCCGGTCGATCATCGGCAGAGTCGTTCGGTGTCCCTCGCTTTCTCGGGTACGCGCTCGTTAGACGCGCCCTAAAATCGGCGGGACGTAAGCCATGCGACGTTGTCCTTTTGGTCGGGCGGTTTGGGCGGTTTAGGCGGTTTAGGCGGAGGCGCCGGAGAGGAGAGGATGGCGAGCTTCAAGGATCTGATGCAAGAGTGGTCCATGCTCGGCCAGGAATGTCCCGAGTGTTGGCCGAAAACCGGTGAGTGAGACAACGTTTTCCGGGGTAAGTCGTCTTTTCCGTTTACCGAATTTACCGAGGGACCTCGAGGCCGGAAAATCGAGGGCGTTCCGATTTTGACTACCTCGTCGTTGAGCGGAGGCGAACGGTTTTACCTAATTACCGACCATTTTCGCCTTAACGACCCTCCGTTCGTAACGACCTCCAGTGAGACTCACTCGTTAGGTTCGACCGAGTCGGCCGAAAAGTCGACGCGATCGTTCGTTCGTTTCGAATCCGCTCTCGGGCGAAACCTGCACGTTGCGCGTTCCGCGGAATGTTGCGAAACGTCCGATCATCGTTGCAACGTTCCGCCCGCGGACACGCCAAGGCGAGGCGTCGAGAGTCGATGAATGAAAATGCGGTTACATTCCTCTCCGTGCGTACGTATCGGGCTCGCGATACACTTTTACTCCGGTTTACGTCTCGATCGCGGACTCGCGTGCAGGTGCGGCAGGCCTCTCGCCGTTTACCGATAACGGGAATTCGGGATTTCAGCCCGGTCGACATGGGTCGACGAGGGTAACTTGGTCGTCCGTAGGTGACTCTCGGGAAGCGCACCCGTCTCCCCGTAGGGATCGGGTCCGCTTCCTCCCCCGGCTGCCGGAGAAAGGCGAATCCTCTCGGTTCGGTTCCGGCGGTCCACGTTTTGGCCACGGCGTACGTATAGCGTACGTATAGCGTACGTAAATCGCGAGAGACCCGGCTTATTAACCCACTTCTCGGACCCCCTCGAAGATCCTCCGATCGCTCGCCCGGCCGCTTCCTTTAGCCACTCCGCCGATTGGGTCTTACCGACTTTCTCGAGTCGACGCACCCTCTCCCTCTTCCTTCGCCTCGCCAAAATGCTCGCGTTCGGGTGGCAACGCCTATCCTCTTTTTCTTCCGCTGTCCGAAAGAGTCGTTCGTCGCGGGAGAAATCTAGGGACGAGGAGTCTTCGACGACCCGGACGCGTCGATTTTGCTCAACGGCCGATACCGAATAATCGTCGCCAATTATGGCGGAGTTCTTCCGGTTACGAATCGAGAATATCCCCGCTGCTTCTTTACGTAACGTCATTCGTTACGCGATATCGTGCCCGCCGCATCGTGCACGCGGCATCGTGCACGCGGCACGCCCATTGGAACCGACCTCTTGGCCTCTCGATTGTTATTTAACAATATGCCTGCCTCGCTTTCGTCGATTCCGGATCCGTGGGAACTGAATCTTCCGTATCGTCGAAAGCCTCCTCAAAAGGAAATTTCCTCCGCCGCGCTCCCCGGGACGATATCGTCCATCGCTTTCGAGATCTCGGCCTACATATCGCGTGGTCGTTACGGCGTGACTTATTACAGGTGGGACCCTCTTCGCCGCCGTAACAATTTTGGAAAGCGGGAAACGACGCGTACGCGCAACCACTCGGGCTCGGCGTGCATCCGCGAGAGCGCTATACATTGGGCCCGGGGAGTCGCGGATCGAAGCAAAGGTCGGGTTCCCGTCGACCTCGACCTCGGCTTCGCTGGGGGGGCGCTTCGAGGGGCGACCCGCGGCCGGCACGGCGCAGCCGCGAGTCCATCGATCGCCGTCGGCCGGTCCTCCTCCTCGGTAGGCTCAGTCGGTGGCCCGTCGTCGCGTCGGGCAGCTCCCGTTCGCGTTCGTCTCCTCCGGCACCCGCGACGCGAGCGACGCGAGCGACGCGAGCGACGCGAGCGACGCGAGCGACGCGGGTCGTCTCCTCGGCCCGGGGACGCGAGCGACGCCTGGCGACTCTCCGCGCTCGGACGAGGTAACGCGGGCCGCGGCGGGGTCCTGGGAATTTCGCGGAAGACGAAATTCTCGGTTCCCGTCGGCCGGCGACCGGAGCCGGCCTCCGACTCGGCTTTCCGCAACACGTATTCCGCAGGCGGCCGAGGGAGCGGGCGAAAGTAACCGGCCGGTATCAGCCGGTATCGCAGCGAGCGCGCCGATGAGGTGAAGGGCCGACGCGCGCGGGCGCGCGCACTCGACGCGCCGCCATCTTGGATCGATCTCCCCCTCGAGGCCTCGACATGAGCCTGCTGTCCCCCTCCGCCGCCATCGGCGCCGTCAGGTGCCGCGCCGACGAAGAGGCCGACCACAACATGCTTCAGGGTAAATTTCACTCTCCGTCCGGTAGCGCGCCGCCTCTCCCGCGGGAGGACTCTCCTGCCCCTCCCTTGCCGCTTTTGCGTCGGCGCGAGGCCGAGGGACGCCATCTTGGAACGCGCAGGAAAATCGAGCTTTTCTTCCGCCGGAGCGGCTCGTTAACGGAACCGTGCGTCTCCGCGGGCCTCGCTCCTAAGCCGGCAACCTCGACATCACGGAGAGGAGTCCCCGCCGAGGTGAAGCTAAGCTCGCCCCGAACCGGTCGACTCGAGCGAGAAATTTCATCTCTTGTGAAACGAAACACGTTTGGATGCTCCCCTGACGCGCGACGATGACTCAACGTGGCACGACGCGGCGGTCGATATCCGCGCAAACGTCAAGGCGGACGCGGCGCGCCGTCTCGGAGTCGAGAGAATTTTTCTTTCCGACAACGATCGAACTTCTCGACGGACTCTTTACCAAGTGGTTGCGCGAGCGTCGTCCTCGGCGAGTCTCTCCTCGCGATCGGAGATAGACGCTCCCCGACGGGACAAAGTCCGAAAATCGAGGCGCTTATCGGGGGCTCGAATTTCGGACAGGCCACGTCCGGGAGACGAGGAGCTCCTTATCGAGCCGGGATTCCTTTGTTCCTTGATCCGTGGCTCCGTCGAACGCGGCCTTGACCCTCCAACCGCGAAAGATACACGCCCCCCGTCCCAAGGAGTTTCCGTATCTCCGTTGCGCGTGGACGCGGATCTCGGACGAGAGTTCGAGAGTGTCGAGGTCCTCGCCTGGTCGCAACAAAATTGGACGTATCTTGGTCGTTTAGCTCCCATGAGCGTCCTCGAAGAGGACTCCGGAAACGGAGTCGAGGATCGGATCCACCGGCGATTTCCCCCTTTCCCTGGGAATCGATTCGCGGCGCGATTACTCGCGAAATTAATTCCGAGGAAGAGGAGTAGGGCTCCCTCGAAAGGGGCAAGTCGAGGAGAAACCGAGTCCGAGGGTCGGGGGTTCGTCGGGTCGGCCCCTCTCCCCTCTTTCCCCGGGCGATTTTTCTTCCTCGGTTCCGAGGCAAAAGGAAGTCGCGATTATCGATGGTCGCGCGTCTCCTCGGCGAACCGCAAGCGCGGCGGCAGATTTTCTCCCGATCGAGACTGCGGTTTCTGGAAGTGAGCCGGGTTATTATCCATCCTCTAATTGTTGCACGTTGACGGGAGAAGTCGAGGCGAGACGTTTCGCGGTTAAGTTCCGTATTTTTTGCCGAGAATACCTCTCTTCACGCTTTATGGTGAAATTGTACAGACGCGTTTCCGCGATTTACGATCGAAGCGGGCCGGTCACGCCTAAACCCTGACGGACGACGATCGTGCCTACGCGATAAATCGGAAGTCCAGTTCTCGGGTCGAGGGAAGCGGGAGGGCAATCGTTAATTATTATCGCGGCCCGCGATTGTTGATCCCGAGTCCCGATCCCGAGTCACGATCGCCGGGAAATACGAGCCGCGCGGTGGGAACGCGTCGACTCGGAAAGTCGGGAAGCCACTTTTCTCTCTTCCGCTCGAGGTTGGCCTTCTCGTCCCGACGACGAGAGGAGAAAAATGACGTTCCTCGACCCCGTAACCCGCGGGAGAATTTCTCGGGCGACCGGTGTCGGAACTCGTGATCAGGAGTCCCGTCGAGGAACTACCGGGACCTGAAATCGTCCCTCGCCGGCGGGTTTCGCGTAATCGAATCCGGAATCCGTCGACTCGACGCGGGTGTGCACTTGGCGCCGCTCGGCCGCTGGAACGCTGGAACGCGGGAACGCGGGAACGCGGGAACCGGGGACGATTGGAAAAGCCTTGGAAGCCGCGGTAACGGTACAAGGAGTTCCCGATAAGCGCCGTCGCGTTCTCCGCTGATACGCCCGTCCAGAGTTGGAGAGCGCGCTGGAGAGCGCGTCGTGACCCGAAATGGAACGTCCCGCTGCTCGCATTGCGATCGTGCCCGCCGGGAGTGCGTATGTCACGCACCATCTTACCCGGCCTATACGGAATTTTCAAACGATCGCGTGGAAACGCCCCGATAACGGGAGGCAACTTTTGCCGACTCGCGGTCGGAACGCCGTTTTAACGAATCTTCGATCGATCCGGGCAGCCCGCGTCATCGTGGCGGATTTGTCGTTCCGAGGGGAGAATCATCCGGGGCGGGCCGGAGTATAAGTTTCGTCAGGCGGTAATTAAGTGTAATTAGGGGGCAACGAGATTCGGACGTTCCAAGAGTAACCGGAGATACTCCGGGAGAAAAAGAAAGAGAAACAAGTTGGTTAATCGGCAAAGCGGGACCGATAATGTGGCAAAATAGCGAAGAGAAATTTCTCAGGGATACCGGTATCCTCCTATCGGGGATCGATTGGAGAAAACGAATATGTGCGGCCCGAGAAAATGAGATCGATGATCGCGATCCAGTTCGATCGTGCCGCACTTTCCAGTCGATGGCGCGTCTCTTAACGAACAAATGTGCCGATGATACATCTGCCAGCTCTAGATTTACCGTGTCCGAATGAAGCCTCCTATGCACGTTGATGAATTAATCCCAGCCCTCGTTAACGGTGCATCCATCGGCCGCCATTTTATCGTTGGTTAGTTCCAATCGTCCGAAAGTTGCATTTAAACGAGCTTGGCCTTGTCGTAACCGACTGCAATCCTCGGGTGGGATAACGACGGTTGCCCCTTAATTTAGCCCTTAATTTCGCCCTTACTTTCGGAGCCAATCGCTCCCCGGATATTTCTTTCCCTTCCCGTTAACTCGTCCACGGCAATAAAAGGCAAAGAAATGAATTACCCTCCGAGCAATAATTCTCGAGACTCGTTGCCACTCGTTGCCACTCGGAGCGACCGGGACGCTTCTCCGAGGGCACTTTTCCGCCTTTCCCCGAAAACGCTTCCTCGTCCGGAACATCTGGCAGTCCCGTTAATTATCGCTTGCCCATAACAATTGGAGGAAAATCCGTCCTCGGATTAAGGTCGACCCGTACAGAACCCTCGCAATAGCTTACGACCCCCGGGGCCGGTTGAAGCAACGCGGAGCCCCCTCGGCCCGGAGGCGGGAGGAGCACCGGCCACCTCGTAAACCCCCGAACGGGACTCGATGACTCGATTGCTCCCTGCCGGGCCGGCATGTCCGGGCATGTCCGGGCATGTCCGGGGATGTCTTACGGGGATTACGCTTCCCTTCGGAGACCAAAGGTGCGCGCGCACTCCCGCCTCTCCCGGGAATCGGATAATTGCCCGTTCCGTTGCCCGGCTCCGTCCGGCAACTTCGATCCATCGCTTCTTCCGGACTTGACCCTCCGTGACCGTTTCTCCGAGAGAGAGGGGCAAGAGAAATTGCGGGAGATGGTACCGCAGCCCACGGCGGTGTAACTTATTGCGCTCGATTATTACGCCCGGGTATTACGCTTTCCCGCGGCGTTTCGCCAGGTCGGCCCTCGACTCGCGAGGGAAGGAGGAATTCCTCCTGCGCGCGGAAGAAATGGATCTCGGCTCGGTAGATCGGTCGAGACGTTAAAGCAACGCGGTACGTTTACCCCGGATATTTCTCCCGTTGGGTCGCGACGTCCTCGAAGCGGACCTCGCCGTGCCGCGGAGCAGGGCAATTCGAGGCGAACCCCGCAGTTCCCACGCGGACTGGCCGGATCCGCGGAAAGAAGCTTCGGAGGGTCTGTCCAGCATGTTTTGGGCCAGATCGGACGGGAACGACGAGGTTCTCCTTGACCGTAAATACGACGAGTCCAAAATGTCGTTATAAAATCAAACTCTTATCGGATCGTTCGTTGGCCGGCGGATAAGCTATCGGGTTATCCGTCGAAGGCGCTCGGCGTGTCATTTGACTATCTCGACGAGAGTCGATCCCTTTCGGCTTCGCCGCGCGGTTTCTGCCGTCGGCTTTGCCGCTCGGTCCCGTGGGAATGGGTAATTTTACCTCCGGGCGCGGCGCGTTCGCGCTCGGCCTAATTGCTTTTACTTACGTCCAGGTTCTCAGGCGGACGGAACGCCAGAGCGGAATCGAGGGCGAATCCCCTGCGGACGCGGCCGCGCGCGGGGAAAGCCGACTCGATGCTCCAGGATCGTTTGTCCGCCGTTAAGGGCGTTCGCTCGAGCCGGACGAGTTTGGTCCCCAAAGTTGCGGTCGACCGCCACGGATCGCGAATTTTCCAGCTGCGTAAACAAGGAGGATCTTCCGCGCCAAGTGGGACGCAAGAGAGAGACGGACGACCGGCCGGCCAATGGGAGCGGAAGGTGCCCCCGCTCCTGCCTCCGACGGACGCTCACCTCTCCCGTCGAAAGTTCCTTATCCAAGGTGACGCGAAAGGGACATCCGAAATTCGCGAAATTCGCGAAATTCGCGAAATTCGCAATCCCGGGGGACGGGACCTTGGTCAGGACTCGCCCCTTTCTTGTACCTTACGGAAAGCCCGCGCCGGGGCCGGGGCCCTCGGCCCGCCGAGTGGAGGGGATGGGGAAGGCGACTGCGTGCGCGATGCACGCGCTTCCTGCGTTCGCCTCGATCGGGCAGAGCACCGGCTGCCACCGAGGGAACCGGTCGTGTGGGTGCGCGCGCGTTTCTCGCCGGGTCTACGAAGGGCGCGCGACGCGCTCTCCTCTGCCACGGATCGACGTCGACGATGAACGGCGACAAGTACGACCTGGTGTGGGAGCCGGCCGCTCAGCTCACCTCCCTCGACTATTGGGATTACTCCATGGAGCTCGCCTGCCTGCAGGGATCGGAAGGTATTGCCGCTCGCCGAGGAGACGACTCCCCGCGGATGCGCGCCTCGCGCCTCGCGCCGTCGGACGAGTGGCCGGGCATTCCTACCTCGCGTCGAGGGGTCGGGCTGAGGTTCTTCGATGGGAATCGTCGGAAGGTCTTTCCTCCCTCGCATCTTCCGACGTCGCTGATGGTACCCCAACGCGCGGTGGGCATCGATACGGTGGAATAGGCGTCGCGAGCGCGCTCTGGTACGGGATACCGTTAACGGAGAGACGTGCACGTGTCATTGGCACTCGCAATAAACTCCGATCGATTTCCATTTGGAACGCGTCTCCGACTCGAGGCGAGGCGCAACGGTGCGGAGGCAGGTGCAGGAGTCCCGACGTTACCTCGAAACCGCCCGGCTGCGGGAGGCCCTTGCCCTTGGCGAGCCGGGGTCGCGGCCGGGGGTTTTCGGCGCCGAACCGCAACGACCAGGACTCTCCGATCCCCGAGGGGGTCGAAAATATTCTTGCCGTCGAGGCAGCTGTCGCCGCGGCAAGAGCGAAGCTGCTCTTTGGCGAGGGCGCGGACTTCCTTTCCCCGTCCTTTTCCCCGGCCGTAATCGTTCGCCTTTTCTCTCCTTCCAGACCTGCAGCTGGCGGCGGAACTCGGCAAGACATTGCTGGAGCGCAACAAGGAACTGGAGAACAGCCTGAAGCTGCATCAGTCCACCATCGACGAACAGGCCCAAGAAATAGAGGTGAGCGGCAAAGTCGGAAATACTCGAACGACGGCAGTTTGGCACGACGAATTGGTCGGGTCTCTCTTTTCCAGTACATGAAGAAGCAGACGACGGCGTTGAGGGAGGTGAATGATTCTCGCCTGAAGATCTACGAACAGCTGGAGGTTAGCATCCAGGACTTGGAGCGCGCGAACCACCGACTCGTGGTCGAGAACGCCGGCGACAAGAAGCTGATAAAAAGGTAAGCCTCCTACTTTCCTCCGCGCCACTCGAGAAAATCTCTTTCCCGGGTCCCTTCCCTGGAAAGCGACTTTCCGAGTGCGCGGGCATAAATCCGGAGGCCGGGGTGCTCTCTCGATAGCGCGCGGCCTTGAACCCGGGTCGTGCCACCTTTGGCGCGGTTCAGCGGAGCCGCCGGTCGATAAGGCGGGCCAATCGGCGAGCTTTCCCTTTGCAGCCAGTGCTCGACGATCGAGAACCTCGAGGCGAGGTGCGAGGAGCTGCACAAGAAGGTGGACGAGGCGCGCGACCGATACGAGGCCCTCCTTCATCGGCAGAGCGGCGGTCAGTCGTCCAGCGGGGCGGACTCGCGAGCTACCGTCCGGAAGGGGTCGACCTCGCGAGATGGCAGCACGCAACAGGCACGTGGTGACGGACCTCTGGAGTCATGCCCCCTCCCCTCCAAATCTAACGGACGCATTTTCAGAACGCTGCCTCGACCCCGCCGGCCCCCGTCCCGGACGTCTCGGGTAGCTCGAGTGCCCGGGAATCGTCCAAGAGCGGCGCCAACGACGAGGAGACGACCGACCTGCTGAGGCAGCTGAACGAAGCTCGGAGCCAGCGGGCGAGGGAGCAGAAGAGGGTGGCCGAACTCGGCGAACAGCTGACGACCCTCCTGCAGGAGAACGCCCTGCTGGAGGAGCAGCTCAACGTCTGGAGGCACAAGGCGCAGGACATGAAGAGTCTGCAGGAGGAAATAAGCACGCTGGAGGAAGTGAGGTGAGGAGACGAAGACGCGTCGGAATGGGCCGCGACGCCTCGCCCTAACTGAGCCCGGATTCGCGTCTTTCGGTTTCAGACAAGGACACCTCTGCGGCCGTTGTCTGCGAGGCATCGACACGAAGACTCACGACGAGCTCTCCGTAATGCTGGACCAGGAGGAGGACGACGACGTCGGCTTGGCCGAGTCGTACACCAGCCTCGGCCCCTGCGACGCGGAGTCCTTATCGCAGGTAAACGATTGATTCCGCTCCCGCTGTCTTGGCGGCGCTTTGCACGAGACGCTCGGTCCTTGGCTTCGCGTCGAGGATCGTCCCCGCTTTCGCGAATGTCGCCGGTGACACCTCCGAACTTACCAAGCCGTACCGCGCCGGCTCCTCGGCCGAGGTAGTCCCCGGGATTCCTTTCCCGAGACGCCGGCACGGCTTGTCGGGTTTCCCCGAGGCAGCTTCTCTCTCTTTCCCCTCAGTAATGACACCCTTTCGTTTGCTCTAGGAAACGGTTACCGCAAAAAAAGAGCGTAGACAATTCACTTTGCTCATCTGGAAGATAGTGACTAATATATGGAACGCGCCGTCCCTCCTGTATATTTTTTCGGAAATGCTGGACTATTTGAAAAGCGAGTGCGCATTCTCCGACTTACTCAAACCTTTTCGGGTACCGTTGTTCGTCCTAAAGCGAGTGCTCTCTCTGAGAGACTATAGGAGGGTGCTTTAGGGTACGTAACTCGTTGGTCCCGTTTGGCCCGCACCTTCCCGCAAGTTCGAGCGATCGATTAAGAGCATATCGATCTCGCCGACCGATCGAGCCTCCCGGGGATTCGACGATCGAGCCAAATTTCGCGGGTCGTCTCGTTTCCTCCGCGGAAGCTCTCGGCTCCCGATTGTCTCGGATGTCTTTTACGTCGAGTCGTCGTCACCGTCACTCCTGGATTTCTCAAATTCTTCGAGCACCTCTTGCAATCCTCCCCCCGATCGGCCCGGACCGAAACATTCCCCCCCACTGGGTTTTTATTAAGACGCGTCTTCGGTGTGCCTCCTGCCACAGGAGCGTTAAACCCCCCCACATGTTGGCTTGGCTTTGTCGTTGCACGGGCATGATTTAGACCTCCAACCTTCCGCAGCGTCCTTCTACCTCTTCGGGTCGTTGGGGACCAAAGATACGTCGATACGCATTCTTTTTTTTTTTTTGACAGTAAGTCGAATTTCTCCTCAAAGGGGGAAAGTCAAGTTGTACATAAGGTCCCCCTTGAAAATCGCAATTACCGTGCGTACTCCATGCGCCCCGGCGGTACAGTAAATCGATAATCGACGGGGAATCGTCGAATCGTTAGAGGTTTAAGCTACCCACATACGTATTACGTTATCGGTACGCGATAGGTTATAGCGTTTAAATAGGGATTATTACACGGCGCGTAGTATACTTGGACATATCCAGGGGGTTACTTAACGATAATTACTTCATTTTCCCTACTAACGAGCAAGACTGATTTGAAGTTAACCCCCTCGCGAGGTGGTCTATATTAGATTCGTAGTGTGGTCGAACTTGCCAAAGGATGATGCGCTGACGCGAATTAGCTTAATTAAGGCGATCAAATGCCAAGGACGGTAACCGTACTCGATAAGCGATCAGAGCCACTTATAACCGAGTTAAGTAGATCGTCCGTTAACAATTTCAGGCCGATCGAGGTCCAAATGCCTCCTCGGAATTTCCCGTTGTCAGAAATTCCGTCGAGGAACGCCCTTTGCCACGGACAACCGATATGAACTTGTCCGCGGCTTTCGATGATCGTTTGTTTAATGTAAATTTAATTTAACGTTTACTTATTTGTAACATGTGGTACAACATAATTTAACATATAGAACGATCGGCATTTTTCTAACACTCGCGTGTTTTCTATCGACGTACGTTACAAATGTTCAACGTATACGATAAACGTAGTGCACCAGGGCGTCAATCGTTCCTACGCAATATCTCTAACGCCGTGACGCCTAGGACAAGTTCGTGGTGGTCTCTTCACCCGGAGGGGGTTTTCCGCGGGTCTAAAACCATCCGTCCTCCTCTTGCCTTCGTCCTCGAGGCAAAGGTTGAAGCACTGGACCCCGCGGGGTTCGGTTCGCAGACCGAGGTCTCGAGGTGGTCTCCCGTCAACCAAGCCCCCCGGAAGGCGGCCTTTCGCAAGGAAAGGGACGTCCCTTCCGGTCCTCCTGCATGCCGGAATGTCGATGGCGCGCATCCAATCGCGTTACTTTTCGTACAGTTGCTGTGCCGTGTGCGATGTAAGTGCCAGATTTATACGATCCTGAATAAATTGTATTCTCCAGAAAGACGACGGTCTCCGTTCATTGGGGTGGCCGCGCGCGTGGCGGCAAATCGTCAGGCCCGCGGCCCCCTTTGCTTTTCCACCGGGTCGATCTCTGCGGTCCTATAAGTCTGGCCTCTCTCTCTCTCTCTCTCTCTCTCTCTCTCTCTCTCTCTCTCTCTCTTCACCGGCGACGCCTTTTCGCCCGAGACGCTTTCCCGTTCCCGCAACGGGCAAACGCAAAATGTCGTTCCCACCCTGGGGATCCCCTCGACCGCCCTCGGGCGGAGGGGCGGGACACCCAAGGAAACGTTGGCCTGTCTGCTTAGGAGCCGGCCGCCGGCAAGGAGGAAGTCGCGGACAACCCCTACCGGGTGCTGGTCGAGAAGTACGAGGCCCTGCTCAAGGTGCAGAGGCGGCCCAGGAGCGCGGCCGCCCCGGCGGGTTGCCTGTCGCTCCAGGAGGAGCTGGAGATGTCGGGGGAGTTCGACGGCTTCCAGCCAGAGGCGCCGCCCAGGGACCGCCTCGCCGGGGCCGCCAGACGGCAGGCGGGCCCCAGAAAGCCGTTCTCCGCCACGCCGACCGATTTCTCCTCGGAGACCTCCTCGGGGTTCGCCGACGAGACCAGCAACAAGGCCACGCAGACCGAGGGCAGACCCGGCTCGTTCCTCTGCACCATCGCCGACGGCGAGGACTGCCGCTTCAGCATCTACGACGATACGAGCTCCTTCGAGAGCAGGTTCCTCAAGACGCCGGAGTACCGGCAGACCTTCAGCGAGATGCTCAGCGTACTGAAGCAGGCGGCCGAGGGCGACAAGGTGCCGCCGGCCTCGGCCCGGGTCGGCTCGGACGCGGGCCCCGGGGAGGACGCGCCCAGCGAGGCCACCGACGACAACCGCAGCGTCGTCTCCTCGGCCGTGTCCTCCGTCGTCTCGGAGCCTCTCTTTAGGGTGCACGAGCGGGCGGAGCGCCGGAGGGACGACAGGGCAAGGGCCGAGGACGCAGCCACGCCCAGGCCCCTCCACGGCCCCAGGAAGCCTCTGGAGTACCTGTCCGTCAGCGTGCAGGTGCGCAAGAAGGCCTCGGCGAAGAAGGCCGCCTGCAAGAAGCCGGGGCCGGGCCAGGGCGAACGGCCCACCACCCCCGACGTGGTGCCCACCACCAACCCCAAGGTCGGTCACATCAAGCCCAGCCCCGGCCGCAGGCGGTTCCGGCCGCTGGCCGCCGACGCCGGGGTCTGGAACGGCAACACCCTCCACGTGTACCCCAATCGGACGAAGACGTCGACCCCGGGGCCGAACCGTCGGCAGGCCGCCCCCGAGTCGCCTGGCGCCGCCTTCGAGTACAGGCCCGGGCCCGCCTCCGAGGAGGTCGCCAAGCTCAGGCGACTCGAGATGTCCTACGCCGAGGCTCTCCGCATGCCCAACAAGCCCAAATCCAATAGTCGTAGGAACTAGAGCGCCCCGACGCTCCTCTAGCAGGCCGGCTCTCCAGGGAGGACCGACCCCGCCACTCTGCCAAGTTATTCTCTCGGACGTTTCCGTCTCGTCTCGTCTCGTCTCGTCTCGGCTCGCCTCCGGGCCGGCTCGGCGGCAGCGGGGCCGGTTCCGGGGCCGGTTCCGGGGCCGGTTCCGGACGATTGTACATAACTACGCGGCGGAACTTAGTCAGGCCTAGACGAGCGCTGGAGCGGTCGAATGTCTCGTCGATGCGACCGTACGTACGTTACGCATCCACATAAATATTTTGTATTTCGTGTTGTACATTTTTCCTTTTCTCTTCTTAATCGTCGCCAAAGCGGGAGCAACTCGACTCGGAGATTTTCATGGATTTTTAGGACCAAATCGCGACGGAGCCTCGACTGGACGTTGCCAACGAGTCGGCGAACGATGTCACGGTCCATGTGCCATTTTTAGTCGAGACGTCGAAACACTATCCGTGTTCTCTTCCACGCCGATTTCGTCGGTCCTGACCTAACGATGCATCGTGGAGTTCGTTAGCTTTTGTATTATTCAGGTTTAGATGCAACGTTAGCGGTCGTCCTGGATAAGCGAATAAACTTCTTCAATGCATTCTCTTGGTCTCCAAAGTACGATCCCGTCCGTTGTACATTTTCCGTTTCTACCCGGTGTAACCAGGGAACTTGGCCTCCGCGGGATTTTGACAGTCCATGAGGAAATATATCGTGCCGGCCAACCCTGAATGACGGCGGGAGAAGTTCAATGTGTGTGCGCGCACAACTTTGTCATAATGTACGATTTAATTACCTTCGAACAACGAGAAAGGTCGATCGGGCGTTCGGCTCTGGTGAGTGCCGTAATCCATGCACCATTCGGCAAACTTGCACGCTCTGTACAAGTACTTGATATCCTGGAGGGAAAGGTAATGCTATGTAAAAACGTCAACATTTGGTGAGATCGAAGTAAAATTATGCCGTGGGTAGTTCGATGGCTTGCCTTCGTTTGTTTGTAGAGGTATAAGAACGTGTAACCATTTCCTGCTACCCCATGACACAAGCCATATCCCTTTTTCAACAATCCACGCGACCACACGACCTCGCCGCACTCGACGGCAATTTCGTAGAAGTCTTCTCTCTTAAAAATCTGTGAGGGAATAAATAACGGTGTTACTTTCTACTGTATTTGACTTTTAAAGATTACCCAGGAAAAAGGAAGGACAAAGTGAGCATCAAGGTGAGCGGTGTACCTCGGAGGCAAGGGAGAAGAGCATTGCAAAAGATGGCGCACCATGACACCAGTGTACCAACTTGTCCGCTTTATTTCCCACGGAGGATGGAAAATTTCCCGAAGAAAATTTAAATTGCCCAAGGTCCTCTATTGCCGACTCCACTACCTTAAGTTGGTCTTGGTTTAAATATTCTCTAGCCTAGAAAAGGTGCAACAGTTTGGTTTAACGCTTTGAAAAGTGTCTTTTCTTGCTACGAGTTTGAGATATCGTTCCGTAATCATTTACTGGTAAGATTTGAAAAACTGCAAACGGTATTTGAAAAGCCGCATTGTACGGTGAATACCTGTAACAGGACATAGAGGATTCCAGATAATCCATGTGCTCCACCAAGGTACTCTTTGTCGTGCCATTCGTACATTAGTATAGATTTACTTTTGTTCTTCTCCGAATAAACTCTGCCAGAATTTATTATTTTTGCTGCAACCTAATAATAGTCAATTGTATATGAAATTCTGAATATACGGAAACATAGCATCGTTGAGAGTCAAACCTGCTTAATTAATTCGGCGTCGATTGGAGGTGGTGATATGGTAGAATTGACAAATAAGAGACCAAAGAGGTATCCAGCTCTGCCATACAGAAGCTCATTGGGAACTTTATCCATATCGTTCAAAACATATTTGGAGAAGTGCCTCAACCTGCATCAGTGATCGTTATCGGTGCAGAATGCAATGCATCTTACACAATACAAAAAAAAATACAAACTTAACGACTAATAAATAATCGTTCATTTCCAAGTAATGATTCTAACATTTTAATCATCGACGTTGCATCCTCCTGTTTAGCTTGGGTATGATTAAAGACTGCCCCAAGGGCCACTGGCCCAGCAGTTCCAGTTAAGAATGCCACTCGATGCTTACTATGGAATCCTTTTATGCTTCTTTCAATTAGTTCTGCTGCTCTCTGAGATATTTAATTATTTTATGTAAGCAACTATTCCAGTAACGACACAGGAGATTCATTGGTGAATTTGTTAAAAGGAATAAACCAAATCCTACCTTATTAGATATATGATCGTTAAATTGCTTTCCGTGTTGATAAAATAAAAATGCAATGCCTGCTACTCCGGTATAAATGGAATATTCATCGTTGACATCCCAATACTTTTTATTCTTGTCTAACCGTTGCAGCAAATCTTTTATGCTATTGTTTAATCTGTCCCTAAAAATCCTATGCACCTGTGGTAAATGCATCATTGAAATCATCATTGAGATCAATTTAGTAACGTTCTGGATTTAATCAAACTCTACCTGGTTTCCATCAAGTATGTCTCTGCTGTTCCCTTGGTTGAAGTCATTAAATGGATTCTTATAATATCTGTTATCTGAAGAGGTCGCGGAGGAAGTAGTTGTCATTTTATCAACCGTCTAAAATAGTAATTATAAGATAGTTTATCCGTGCTGTATGTTGATATAGTTTCGAGCCCAACACCAAGGTTTATCAGAGATGAGTTGGGAGATTGCTCACGGGCAGGATCGTGCGATCGCATCCTGTGCTGCCATCTGGTTTCGTACGTTAGCTTTCACCGTTTTTTGTCCCCAAGAGCGGCGCAACGAATTTCTGGGAGGGACTCGCGTACTGGCGACGGCGGTACCATCTACCAGTCGCCGTTGGTGGCTCACGTACTCGTGATGGTAAATACCATGCGTCAGTTGACGGTGGTGGCTTACCTACGCTTACCGACACTGCTCGCTTTTCATGGTAAGGGAAGAACACTCGTGACGC